ACTCACTACGCACGCCCTACATTTAACTGGTTTCTTTCAGTAACGACGAAAAAACTGAGAATTGCTGGGTTCTTTGCACCATTAACTTTTCTAACATATCTTTGTAATAAAAGATTAAAGCCCTCAATACACTGCGCCAACTATAGAGAAAAATAGCAGATAGTGCGGGTACATATTGAGTAAATAAAATGACCGCTCTATTGACGGCATGTTTGTTTTTTACAATCCATGTGCACGCACTGAATTGCATCAGCAAAAGCGTGCACGAAAACTGTGTTCAGCCACCTTAATACTACTATAAATTACGACACAATGAATATAGTATGCATCATCTCATTGGTCAATTCAGTTTCCAAGCGGATGCTTTATCAGGTTAGAGAGCCTGCATGTAACTAGTAATGTCATAATAGCAATAGAATGCATTTTTTTTCGTGCTTTATAACATGATAAAGCCACTTGGGATGTTAGAAGAAAACTAAAAAAACTTAATATCACGAATCGAGTGCTCCCAACATCATTCGTGGCTTTATCACGTTATGGAGCCCGGAAAATGTGCTATGTATATTGCTAACAAACATTTTACTTTTGGATCAAAGTGTTTACTTGTGATTCCTGTATGATTTTAAACCCATGAATCTTACGGTACCTAAACAAAGGCATTCTAGATTCACTGATTGAGTTTAATGACTGGATCGTTTTTCAAAAGTTACCTTTTTTTCTTTTAAAAATATGAACATTCTGACGAATAGGCCATGTGGAAAATAAACGCGGAGAATAATATTTCCTTACCGCCGTAAGAACTCTGAATTCCTCAGAAGAGAGGTATCGCAGCATAGTTACATTCAATTTACCCATCTTTAAAAGTAAAACAAAGAGTTCGAAAGATCTAAATCATGTGGAAAGGAGAATTCATCGAACTCATCGGCCCATGATGATGGAAAGGCCGCGGAGGTGTTGAGGTCTGGTACCAATTTTGCACCCTTGGCGTCGCGCTGGCAATGTTGCGTAATAATTCCACTTCTTCCCAGGACCTCAGTCAAACCATTCCACCCTAAAGTGCACCCGGAAAAAATTCCAATAGCCTACGGATATTGAGATACAAACAAACAAACCAAAATTATATGCAGAAAAAAAGAGAGACCCGAAACCACTTTTGGAAAAGATAAGGAACGGACTTCTCAGTGTATCTGCGAGATATTTCCTTCCATTCTTTGAGAAGTGACAGATAGGTCCCACGGAAAGCATAAGAATCTATGGACATGCGCCCAATGATTTCTCTATATATGTTTAAGAAAGAAGATTCTCTAACCACATTGTAATGCGGCATTTTTTTAGGTTCTAGGTGTGCCACCAATATAATTATTAGGCACTCGATATGAAGTTGGGGCTTAGATACGGATATTTTAAAATGAGGGGTGCTGTGGTTAGTTACCATCTCTACGATCTAATCAACGTTTACCTCAAATGACCCACCGCACATGCCTTAAAATTTTGAAAGCGTTATTACGGAATAAGTTAGGAATTGCATGAGTTGAAGTAAGTTTTACTAACTTATTTCCGACCGAGATCAATATATAGTTTATTTTAATGGAGCCTTTAATTTGGTCACGGCGTGCGTGCCTTCGTGAAACACTCACTTAGCAGCACGCGATAAAATATGACCGGCCCGCTCCGGTATACCAACATCGAAATGCATCTAAATATAATTAAATAAGAAAATATAATATCAAACCGTCTGAAGATCGCAGCGCAAGCTGCGTGAAACTCAGAGTAATGGTGAAACGATCTTCCTGTCATTAATTTATAACCGCTCTAGATTAAGTTTTATATTTTCTTGCATGAACGAGATCTTTCATTTATCAAAAGTGCCCCTTTCGTTTCAGCACTTTTCAACTGGAGGCGAAAAAGCCGAACGCTCAGTATAAGGTTAACCTTATTGTGTTGTAATTTGTTCTTAAAAGCCCGTATTGCAACTTAGGAACACTCTGGCCTAGCTGGCAGAAAATTGTTACAGCCTTGCTAGGAATTCATGCCAAAGGGGTTGACTCCCTTCGGGAGATATTTAAGGTGGCAAACTTAAGATATAGACTTTTTTGTTATAGCAACAACAAAGGCAACAACATTTATTATGAACACTGCTCATTGCATAAATTAAATTAACCAAACAATTAAATCTGTTTTCTAGCAAATTTCATCATTTTCGGGTTGCCCTTTGCCATCTTCGTAGATCGGGGAATAAGCCAATCACTTCATTAAGGCCATACTCTCTTGATGAGTGTCTTTGAAAGGAAACGATTTTTTTAAGCTTGGTTCAGTCATGGAGAAAGCGGCACAACTATCAGTCTCCCGGTCAACTGAACCCTGTCTCTAGGATAACTGAGAGGTGTCAGGAGTTACTTTCGTTATCTTTATTTTGACCTCAGTAGTAACCCAGATTACCGGAAATCTATTTTGGAATCGTTCAAGTGAACTTCCGGACGTAAGTTGTGTTGTCCATCTAACGGTTAGCTGGCTGTCGAGTGGCTAATGGCCATCAGTCAATTGGTAAGACTTTGCAAAACAAGAGAAAATATATTTCTTCCCGTGAGTCCGAAGTTTTCTCATCCTAAAGAGAAAAGATCCAAATGATATACATTTTGAAAGTGAGAACTCGAAACGGCCTTTCTGTTACTGGTGCCCTAAAAAATAGTTACACTGCGTGGAATATGAATCAAACTGAAGTTGGAATAACAAGGCTTTTTGTCTCAGTATGAGCTGCTCATCCCAGGCTTACTTACCAACTCATGCGGCAACGTTGTGACGCGAGCAGTGCACTAAACGTAATGGCATTAGCTTCCTACGCCCGTCATGGCCAAAGGTCAAGACTCCGAAATAACTATATTCAGAGAACTGTGAAATTAGTAGAATTGTGAAAGAGTCAATAAAGTTACTTTTAGGACAAACTGTTCCTCGTGCATTTTAATACTGTAATCACTGTTATTCGCCAGTCCACATAAAATGTGAACTGCTTCGGTGCAAATTGTCCTTAATTGAAACACCTTAAGCACTTCTTCTGCCACCTTGGTGCATGGTTTGCAGTGTTCACTGGTGATTTCATTCTACCTCTTTCTAAAATATACCAATTTTATTTTTGATAAAGTTTTTACATTTTTGTCATACTCTTATTACTTCATCTTTCCACAATTTTCAAGTATTCGTGTGGAGCCGTGGTAATACCACGCATTCTTTTCTATGAAAGTGGCTTTAGGTCCAGAAAAGTCGCACAGAGACTAAATGAAGTTTTCATCAAATTGGTAAATTGAACTGATCAAAGTAACAAAAGAGTTCCATTCATACTTTTTCCACTGAACACATTTAAAACCTGAGGAAAGTTCAATTCCAAATATCCAGGGAAAGATGTTAATTAAGAAAAAGACGATTTGTTAGATTTGAAACGCTCGATACTATCACCTAGCAATATCATCATCTCTTCCAAACAGCATGCTTTAATGAAAAGGACAGAAAGTATATACTGTTGCTGCATGACTCTGATAATCTTTGAAGCCAACAGATTAAATTATTAATCAAATAGTCTAACCAAAATTCTTACATTACAGACACACTCAACACACCTGTATAACTTGAACTATCTTGTTCTAGCAATTTCAGTGGATAGCTCAGTACCCAACAAAAAGCTCTGAATGGCAGTAACCTTATTCGCAAACGTTTATTCATATTGCTGAGGTTTAAAGGAGCACTTATTGGAAATCGAATTTATCACAACGAAGGGATCTGTGCGGCGTCTTCAAAGCTCAACGAAAAGAGCTTTACAGCAATGAGGAATATGATTTAATTTAAGACTAAGTGCTTTTAGATCATAATGTATACAATTCTGTTGCGTGGCAAGTTTCCTCTCTCATTTATGGTTAGAATGAAATGTTTAAAGAAGTTATTGATGAATTGTGAGCAAAGAAATTATTTCTACCAGTTTAATAAAAACTTTCTTTCCTTATGATGACCACTTTCCGTCGCTACTTTGTTCAAACTTCCCTTGCTGTTGTGACAGCTTTTGCACGGTAAAAAATAGCAATTAAAGCGAAGTACAAATCAATTCTATGTTAATTATAACTGCCAGAAACATCAACTGCTCAGTCTGCATCAGTTTGCCGAATAGAGATTCTTCATGTTTTTAACATAGTGTGAATGTTCCAAACGAGAAGAAAGAACCAAATGTTGAGGACTTGCAAACTTCAATATTGCGGGTTCTTATTCTCATTTAGCATAAGAGTCTAAAAAAGACAGATGTAATTGCTATTTTTTTCTACGGGCCGAAGTGTTCTTGTTTTTAGTTTTTATTTTCTGTTGATAAATTTTTTTTCTATTTCATTATAACATCAAATTCTTCCGAAACACGCGGAATCAATTTTGTTAAATTTGTCTTCATGCGGTCAAACTAACAAGACGGCAGAACACCATAAAGCCATATATCACATCCAACCGCATACAGAAGACAGTCACCGACCTTTCACTTCCTTTCATTATTTACAAAAATGATAAATTAAATAAAGCAAAACATTATATTATAACCTACATTGAGCACGTTAAAATTCCCAAATTGAAAAGTTTGCGCATAAAAAATTCATGACATGAAAGAAAATCTTCCGTGAGCGCTTTTTGCTCTAGATGAATCAGATAGCTTTAAAGAATATCCATGTCACTGACGCGCAGTGCTTGATTTAAACGCTTTTGTCATCTACCGCTCTGCGATTGCTGTTGCGGTAGCAGTTAAGAACTGAAGCACTATTCTTTATGTAAATTAGTTACTCCCCCACAAAGCAAGTCTATTTGGAAGATTTTGTGTAATGTTTATATTTCGGTACATCATTTACCTTTTATACTGATTTCAAAGATAGCTTATTGCACAGCGAAATAATATTAAACAGCAAATGGGAGTAAATTGCTCTCAAAAATAGCCTCCGGGCATGAATAGAGCTGAGTATCCATCGCCCTTCAAAAATAAAGTTATCAAAATGATCCACTGACTGACTTGGCTGACTCTATATCGAGTAGAAACCAAAATAGATGTACTCGTTCTGTTAGTGACTGCAGTTCTTTCAAACAGCTAAGCCTCTTATGAAAAAAAATATGCTAGGGATACGTAAGGAAAGAAACAAACTCCTTCGGAAAGTCTAAATATTTCAAATGTCGATTTCAGATTCATCTCTTGGTGGACCTGATATGGTTGAATTCGCCAACAGTAGGACTAATATGAATTTACTGAGATACATTAAGTAACCATGTCAACTTTGAATGGATTTGAGAGTCGATGCCACGTTCAAAAGCTGCCTTTTTTTGCTTTCCTCTCTCTAGAAATATCGTGCAACTGAACGCGTTTTTGATAGTGTCAGAAAAACAGAAGCTATATAACCAAGCTACACAAAAGAAGATTTTCTTTCAGATGAATTCACTCTCTAGAAAGCTTTCTTTCTATTCAAACTTTATTGAGATTTTTGTACTTCGATAATATTTCACTAAATAAGACGTCTTACTCTTTATTTCTACTAGTGTTTCATCTACTTAACCATATCGCCATGTGTAAAAAATTGACTTATCCGTTGGCTAATTGAGTGAAAATGTCGACGCATCATATCAAATGCAATTTGGTGTTTTGTTTCTATAATCTCTTTTAAAGCTTAGGTCATTTTTCCTTGTCCGACAGGGTGAAATACATCAATTTCAGGGATTGAGTTATGTTATGGTTTTGATTCAAGGACAAATATCAACGCAGGTCTTGTAATGGTTCAAAAACAGTGTGCCTAATCATGCACAAATGAAAGAGAAACTAGTTCATTCACGAGTCTATTTGCGATATATTTCTTTTGAGCTTCTCATTAAAATGAGCCTTGGCAGGTACGTTTCTGTTCTACTGAGAAACAGCAAAATTTCCTTCCTTAAGCAGTTTTAATTGTCACATTCCCTCAGCTTTTGTGAGTTTTTACGGAAACAGTTTCTTTCAGGGTGTTACTTTTCTCAGTTGATCTTGTAATTTAGATAGAGTTTCTTGCCAGCTTTCTGGTGTAGAGCCCTTTTGGCCCTGTGTGACAACAGTTTTTGATCCGAGGTAAGTCGAAAACGCCGACGACTCCAGTGAGGTTGCAGCACACCCAGGAATAGCGTTTGTTGCCAATTTTGATACGCAAGAGAGAAGCTTCGGTGAGGTATGGAAAAGAAGCGAGTGGGGTGGCGAGGTGGCAGGATATTCTCGACTTCCAACCAAACTCAGAGAAGGGTACGACCAGACGGATAATGGACTGTACAGGTAAGGGGACTCGTAAGAACCCATGATGCTGTCAATGGCGAAGCTTTTCTTGGTAGGACGAATGTAGGTCAGATTCGGGTATCCGCGACAGTCGTCAGCGCGAAAAGGAAAGAAAGATGAGGATGCTGAGAGAGGACTCAGCCCCCGGAAATACGCCGAGGGACAGGAGCTGCTTCCATATTTTAGGGGATTACTTCTCCTCACCCGCCGTCTGGCTCTTCTACGCCTGAAATCACCATTGGCGAAGTCTTCAACGTTGGCCGGATGAATAGCCCAATAGTTTCCTTTGCCGTTCTCACTGCGACCTGCTTTGATAAAACACTCGTTTAGCGACAAGTTGTGCCTAATACTATTTCTCCAACTCTTGTCCTTATTTCGGTAATACAGAAAGTTATCTGAAATGTACTGGTAGATATCTCCCAGTATCATCTTTTTGTTAGGGCAGCTTAGTATCGCCATCGCTATCAGCGCAATGTAAGAATGAGTTGGCTTCACGTCTGGATCGTTGCAATCAGTTTTATGACTACCATCTTCTTCGGGCGACTGGCTTTGGTCCATCTTTGCTGGGTCGCCATCACAGTCTAGCCCGTTCACTCTATAGTTTTGCTCATATTCTTCAGAGCCCTGTGCTCCGTGATCGCTCTCTGAAATAACAAGTTCACTCTCTGCGTGTTCAATTTCTTGGTTTTCGGGCAGTAATGCCATTTTACTGTGGCCCTCTGCAGTCGAAAGTTCTGCAAAGTTTGTAAGGTCAACCACTCGATCACTTAAAAATTCGCTCATGTCTCCTGTGTGTATTCTCTTGAAATTACCAGTGCCGTGTGTACTTTCTACGGCCCACTGCAGATTATGAATTATTATACTTTTAGTTAGTCAAACAAATACCGTGCCAAACAATAGGTTCCGATTGGTTTCAGGTCGCTGACATATATTTATCACCACCCTCATGAGTGCTTATATTGACCTTACTGCAAATTGTTCTGTCTCGGCTAAACAAAGCCAAAAACTAACCAGCTAAATTGAGCCGAACGCGACACGAAATCCAAGGAAAATTTCAAACGAGAGCGTTTTCCAAGCCACGAAATTGCTAAGCTCCAATAAAATTCCTATACCGATAGATAAAATCAGTTTTTCGATAATTTCAGGTCTTGATTTCACCGCGTTTCTTTCATGTTATTCTTGACTGTTAAGTTCTTTTGTAGACAAGGTGATTAAGGTAATTGCAAGGCCCGCCTCCATTGCTAGGATCGACCACCCGGTCCGCAGTCTAATAGTGACCGCGTTTTACAAGCAGAGAGCTGATTGGCTGGACATTACATTGACACTAAGAAACAAGCTCTGGCCAATAAGTAATGCTTTTTATAAAATATAAGTTGCTAGAGACAGATGGCACCTTTTCTTTCTTCGCCAACAGACTAACAACAATAAAGCAATCGTTTTGATCCTCTAACCACCATTCGATGTGATAAATACTAAAAATTAACTGTTTTTGGGAAGTTTTCTGTTTGACAATCTGAACGAAACAAATTATGGTAGGTTTACAGCAGGTGCATAGCAAAGGTTGTTATTAGTTCGGGTTTATAAATAGGAAGAAAATTTATATATACGACGGACAAAGAGATGATGTTTACCTCTATTGTACATACCGCGCCAAATGACGTTAGCAAGCAATATTTCGCAGTGAGCGCGATCAATTTGACACGTCAGAACTCTTTAAACACAGTCTTGCTGGTACTTTGAAGAGTTATGAAAAACTCTTCTAGATAAAATTGTAATATCCGACAGAGCATCATATAATTTAAAAAATTTAACATCTAAATTTCGATGGTCGATAACTTTCCAAATGCATACAGAGCAAGGCGTCAAAAGCAGTTGTTTTGTCTCACACATCTACTGAACTTGGGATTAATGTTTACATTTCTTGGCTGACAAATGATTGCGGTTTGGTCCACAAGTTCATTTTTAGCAGTTCGAAAACGCGTTTCTCGTTTACAAAAAAATCATCTCCATCCCTTTTCAATAATTGTGTCCAGCAACGTTTAGTTTATGGGTTCTATTTCGTAGTTTGCGATGTTTGGGAAACTTGTATCATTTTGATGTTGGATCAACTTCAAACAAATTAAGCCTTTCCTTTCGTCCTAAGGCCAAATAGTTTTAATGATTTGATAAAACCTTTGGCACCCCAAAAATAATGAATTGATTAGCCCCACAATAACTATTGTTAAAATGCATTTATATCAGGGTAAATTTGAAGTCAAATCATACACGAAACAAAACTGTTTGCTTGCATACATAGCTTCCGCTTACACGAACACGAATTATACTCAAACAAAGATATAGTCAGAAAAAAAATCTATGAAATTAGACATTTCTCAAAATTGAGAGCAATTAATAAGATGTATTTTTTGAAGAAATGGAAAGAAACCACATTCTTTTGATATTTTCATTTTTGCCCACTGACTTGTCTTGCAAATTAAATAGGTAAAAATGCCGTAATCTTGGCGAGGCATATATATATAACTGGATACTCCTTCAACTATTTCTATTGTTCGACAGATAAAATAGTTGTTGGTGCAAAAATACACCTGTTAATTGCGTTTTGCCGCTTGCTAAAATTTCAGAAATATTCCTCCTTGATTTATTGAACAGCAAATGACGATTTTTATCAACGGAGATATGTTTCTCTAATTTTTACTCAGGTGGTGTCGAGCGATTGCGGTATATACATGAACAGAACTCTCGAGAAGCAGCGCTCAGCGAACCACGATATAATTGTGGAATTTAAGTTTGTTTTCCTCCCAGCATGGCATCTAAAAACACAAAGATCAGTTTTGATAAGTCTCCAGCTGGTTTCGACCGAGTTTATGAAAAGAACAGAGCAGTTTGTTGTTGCAAAACAAAGAATTTACAATGTGTGTGGCAAACAACATATTGACTTGACTTGTTTGCGCTTGTAGCCCGAAGTGCATTTTACATATTGACTTAAATAAGTTTCATGGAATGTTTTTTGCCACTATTATCTTATTGAAAGAAAAATGATGGTCGTTCGACGTGGGTGAAATAAATCATTTTCCACCGAGGCCAAACTTTATGTATAAAACACTTTTCAAGGTATTTTTAACTAGATTTCAAGACTCACTAATTTTGAATCAGTAATATCTGTAGCTTTTTTCTAGGTTGGAAAGCGTGAAGAAAATACTTTTTTTGTCGTTGGCCAATCTTTTTTGCTGTAAATATTGTCATCTGGTTTAGAGCACATTTGCTTGCATGGCAAATATATTTCGCCTTAAAACACTTTTGTGTGGCTATGCCACATAAATCATCTTGGCTTTCTAAGACAATTTAACTTAATTATTAATGGCCATTAGAAAGTGTCGTTCAAATCATTTCTCTCGGCTTGCTATTAGGGCCAACGTCAGTACAGTCTATGAATAAGTCTCTGTTGTTTCTGTGACTGAAAGGAGTACGAATTGTTAAGTTTACCCCACGATTAATAATAACGAGCTCCAACTGCACGCCGTATGTGAATAAATCCACACAGGGATATATAGAAAGCGATACATGTACACATGATTCTCAACTGTTTTATTACATTTAGAAATTGAGTGGATTATGGACAGGCAATGATTAATTAGCTCAATTAAGGTGATTAGCAACTTGTTTTATTGTCTTTTTCATTATAGCATCATTGTTTGAAAACCAACCCCACCCCCAAAGGACAGCTGCCAGCGAACTGAGCTTAATTCGATCTCTTTCAATAAAATATCGGTTTTTCGGAACGAACATGAAAACTTCCTTTGTGAGGTGATCTTTCTCTTTATCTCCCTTTGTTTGATGTATTTTGCTTGCAGTAAACATGCGTAAGGAAAAGTGAATAAGCGTCGTACGCTGAATCAGACAAAAACAGTGAAAATCACCTTTCAGCATCAAATGAGATACACCTTGAATTACTTTTTACCAGAGATTGATTCACTGCATTTGTGCTCTTGAATAGGTTCGTCTAATATTCGTGAAGAGTTTGCTCTTTTCTTTTTCTTTTGCTTGCCGGAATCGTTGTTGTCTTTTAGTGACATTACTTGGCGATTAAAAGACTCGCAGGAAGCAATATCGTTTACATGAGGTGACACAAAACCATTTCAATATCACAAATAAACCATAGAGAACTCATTTGCAATTGAGTTGTATTGTGTAGTTAGTTAAACGGTTTTAGTGTTTCCTGGAAACAAATTCGAGCCGACTCTCAGTTAAAGAAAAAAAAAACAAAACTGAAATAGTAGGTCAACTTGGCAACGAATTAATTATCGAGTCACTACCGGTCGTACATTAAAGGTCTTTCGAGTTTTGAACATTGGGAGTGTTTTTTAAAGCCGTTTTTGCCTCTTTGTAGGCGATGCGGTCAAAGAGTAAAAAAATACAAAGCTCGGTGGTCAATTTATTTCTTGCCTTCCTTTCTGAATATCTCAAAGTATCATCCAAGTTTTCATTTTCTGTTCAGTTTCGTTTCTTGAACGCGGAACCTTCTGGCCTGACTTATTCTTTTCTGAATCGTTTGCAGAACTACTTTCATCGGATTTCCATTTGATCAAAAAATTGCATTTGCAAGTGTAACTAACGTAGACGATTATAGAGAGCCGAGCTGTTGTTACAATCCGAGCGAAAGAAATTTCGCAAAAACTTGAAAACGACTCAGTTTGTGGAGATTCAGTTATCTTAATGTTTAGTTCAGTACAATCTACTCATAAAAACGAAAAATGGCGAAGTTTTGATGCTGTCGATAATAAAGCTCGAATGGGCCCAGAGGAGGGGAATGGGTAGAGGAGTTTGAAGGATCTTACCCACGACATGACAATATCATTTACTCTAAAAATTGTCACTCGCATCAGAAGGTAGCGAACCTAACGCATCTCAGACCCTGTAATGACAACGAAAACAGTTATAATTGTAATTTAAGTTACATAAACAAGTACTCCACTAAAAAGACGTTTCCAGTTATCTACTGTAAATAAAGAAGAGAACGAAAGCTTTTCAAATTCCGAAAAATTCACAAACGGAATCTTCTTTCTGCAACATCTACTGGTCATCGAGTCTATTGCTATACAACATGGACAGTACAAGATAAAAAGATTCGAAACTTTCCAGCAATGAAATATAAGGATAAATAACTGACAAGTTTGCTTATGATTTTATATTTATGCTACACGACTGTGCTAAAATTAAGATTTATAATATATTATCTTCAGCTAAATTTCCCAAAAAATTGAACTGTTCCACTTATACGATGATTGGAACTAGTATTCGAATATCATCTTTTTTGTTGTCCCGGCAACATTGACATTCGTGTTGTCCTGGAGACGTTGGTTTGACCAAACATGTTTTCCTCGATCTCCAGAGCTGTACTTATTTTTGGATGACTACTCGATGGTGTGCATGCTCGTATGAAGCGGTAAAATAAAGAGCCAATCTTAATCTATAATTATAACATTTTCGCACACTAAAATATGCCCTTTTTTCCAGATATTTTGTGTACATAAACTGTTTCATATTCTTTCGGGAAAGAAAAAAAAAGTGGTTGATCAAATGATAACGAAGAAGCAAGAAAAGTTTAAGACTTACCTTTCCCCTTCAAACTCTTTTATTTTTGACCAGTTTCAATAGCCGGCAGTATTCGTGATCTAAGACGCACAATGTAAACTGGACTTCTAAGAGTAATGACGTCAGTAAGTCTCTAGTGACTCTTTAAAGTTTTTAACATAATATTGAAGCTATATTTAAACGTTACCCGAATTAAGCACTTTTTCTCTCTATGAATATGTTTGTAATAACTTCTTTAAGGAAAGATGATAGATCAAATTTTCGATCAATTTTTTTTTATTTCATTTCATATTTTACCTGGATGTAACGGCTTGTCATGATCATCTTCCACTGCAAAAGAAGTAAATAAGAAGAATAATACACTAAAAAAACAAAAACAGAAAGGAGAGAAAACCAGTGTTAGAAGTTGATGGAATCCCTTCACCCTTGCATTGTTTGGCTGCGTGTTAGTCGTCAAATGTAAAGAAGACGAGAAAATTCATCATCAAGAGTGAAGTTCAATTATTACAATCAACAATGAACCCTGAGTTAAACTACAAGTAAAATTTGCATTGTTTCTCACTTTCCTGATCTAGTTTCTCTGTGATGTAAATGAGATTTGTAACAGTCATTTACTCACCGATAGAAATCAAGTGACCGAGAGAGTACAATCTTTCATATCGAAACGTTTGTAGCTTTTATTTTGGGATCAATTAATTTGTTTCTCAGGGAAATGTTCAAAATTTATTCAAATCCTAATGGTTTGGTCTCGCTTCCCGATCTCAGTGATTACTGTGGGTTATGTCATGCAGTGCGTACTGAGATGTTACCTACTGACTGATTTATAACTGAAATATTTTTGTTTCAGAGAAGAAAAGAAACATTTTTAGCAGCTGGAAAAGGATTCATTTTCAACTTTGTATGAGAAATAGTTGATACGGTGAAATGGGGAGAGAGCGTGGGCCCTAAACACAAATATTGCCCATACCAATTCATGGACCAAATTACGTCGGAAAGTAATTTGGAAAAAAAAACAGAAAATGGGAATACTTAATAGAGACTACAGAAAACTGAAGTAACTGTTCAAAACTTATAAAACAGCATATGAACAATGATGTAAAATATCTTTGCAAATGTTACACCTTTTGCATATTTGTTTTAATAATAACAGTCTTTTATTAGGAAGCTCCATCACAATAGTGGTTTACGTATTCGTGGATGTAAAAAAGACTCAAATATTCAAATGCAAGACAGCCACAAGCTCCAAACTACAAAGTTCGTAACCTAAAAGTATAGGTAAGATAAGCTTGTATTTGGCAAATGACAGGAAATGCAGGTTATATGTGTTGATAATAACCCATGGAATGGGAAGGGAACTTGTCGAACTGAAACAAAAGTAATGCAGCAAGTATTGTGACTAAATATCCGAGAAATATAACCAAGAGTCAGACCACTGCTAGAATCATAGTCAAGTGTTAAAAGGCTATATATCTGAATACTTTGTAATGTAGGATGGCAAATTCAGACGGTGAACTGTGTTTTATTTGCAACACTTTCTTCAGAGACAAATTAGTCCATTGGCCAGGACCCCCAAAAGGCAGATTCACCATTCTAGAATGAGCGCTCGTTTATTTTTTGTCAGATCGGGTATAATCTCGATAGCACTGGCAGTGGGGGGTATATACAGACCGAAGACCGAAGACAAACCAGATAACGAACACCTAAGACCCACAACCGAAATATCGCGCGCTACATTTTGTGAGGCCATGAGCGCACGTTATGGACAGGGTTCTCGTTTCTGGAAAAAGCTGGAATCAAACTTCAAAAAGACCTTAGCCTGAATGTTTGCCGGCCGCCGGCATAATGTGGAAAGGTGTTCGTTTTGAAAACCCCCGCTAGGACGAGTTGTGGACGTTTATACAACAAAGCATGGCGAGCGATTTATCATGTATTTTGTGGCCTGAAAAATCGTTTTAGAAAAGGTTTTCGTTTTTTATTCTGAGCCTACTTTTTCTACAAAACAAGGGCCCTATCAATAACGTTATTACAACTCCTCACAAAATGTAGTAGCGACGAGTGATGAGTTCAACGTCCTCTTTATGTTGTTTTTCACAAGTTGCCACACCAAATTTTTGTGTCCGTTGTTTATTAACTATGTCTTTTTAAAGCGTCATAAAAGGGCGAGGCTTATATGACGAGGACTTTGAAGGACTTCGCTTCTTTGAAGCTTACTCCTGATACCTTTCAAGTTTGACTTCTGGTTTCATTTAGTTCTCTTTTTGGCTTTTAGCCAAAAAATTGTTTTCAAAATGCTGTTACATACATTGGTTTATTTGATATGGTAAACAAAGAATGCGTTGGAAACGATCATTTTTTCCAAGTTATGCAGTATTTTCACAAATAAGGGAGAGCAGAAAAATTGGCAAAGCTACTCTTTCACTGTTGCTATCAAGTAAATTTTTTTAAGTATTTCACATAACCTTTCATCAGATAACACTCAATTAGAGAGGTACCGAGAACCTACTCTGGACTAAAGGATTATAGGGGGATCATTAAGTTTCTGATGTTACGTTGACCCATCCTCGGGGCAGAGTCGATTTCAAGTCAGGCCAGGAGGCCACTGGGGACAGTGAAATCGACTTACAGCCCCTGGGTCTCTGAAGATGACACTGTCCCTCAGGTCGTCCTGGCTGGGTCGCAAGCTTCTGCTAATATGACAGCTGTTAACTGACCGCAGGAAAAAGCGGGCTCGGATTGCAGTTCAGAGCGCCGCCATATCCCGCCATGTTGGTTACCCAATGCTTTGGAAAGTTATATTGTAAGTGGCTGTGATTAGGTAGTTCTACCATTTTTGTGGCTAAATCTAAGTATGTGAACTTCGAGGGTAGAGTTTACTTTGAAGCATCAGTGTGTACCGCATTTTTTGTTTCGTAAAATTAGGATGTCTGACGTCAATGCGCTTGCCTTAGTTTATTTCTGATTAGACAAGTTGTACCGTAGTTACTATGAACGTTCTCTTGGTTAATAGTGCAAGGTAACAGCTGAGTGTTTGAATTTAAAAACTAACCATCGATTCTGAGTGATCATCGCCGTCAGTGTTGAACTTTGATTTAAAATTTTGGGTATGATTAGTTCTTTACTCTTAAAATGAGACAATATTTTTTCGTAATCTTCAGGCTCTCCTACAAGATTTGCTGGACTCGCACTTTCTTTTAAGGTCAGCACAGTTTGTGATTATCAGTGTTTTAATTTTTAATGGTTATTATTGGCATTCTTTATTTTATGTGTTCAAGGGGCAACACTTTATGTACATAATGTTTGTTAACACCAAGGTATTATAACATAATATAAGTCCAGTTTATAATAAAGTTTGGATATAACGCATTCTGTCATTGGTTGAAAGGGATGCTCTATCAGAGTACAGAGCATGGGGCTGAGCTAAAGCTGTCACAGCATCTGCGTATTTGTTCTATGTGTAGCTGTTTTTGTTAACTGAAAGCAAAATTTTGGAGTAAACAAGCTGGAAAGTTGTATCAGAGAGAGGAATATAGGTTTGTAACCATGCCAAGCATTGTAATTTGTATTACTATAACATATGCTGAGACAAAAATCATTAAGGAGAAAACAGAAGGGACAGTTTGAGTTTGAAGGTTTTCACACTCAGTTAGAATTTAAACTTGCATACAGTAGTAAAAATCAAACACAGCAAATATTTTAATAGTGTAAATAGTTTTGTGTAAACAAAAACAGAACAAAACAGGAATGACAAAACTTGAAAATATATCCTAACTGGCCCCACTGTTAAAATTCTTACAAATCATGACATGTTAGAGTGACTACCGTTATGCTGAGGTCCATTGTGGCTAGCTCATCATGGCAGTCTCTGGTCATTACAGTGAAGCAAGCCTCAGAAATTACATTGGCCGCCCTTCAAGTGAACTGAACTTAGAGCTTGCTCTGATATCCTTTCCAATGCATCAAGTGAAAGGCCACATTAGTCACAGCAGCCAAGTTTATGGAGCTGTCATCCTGAGCAATTTTCATTCATAAACACATCCCTTAAGCTGTTTGTATTCTAATTGTCAATTGTCAGATTTCAAGCCTTCTCAAAAAGATCGTAAGGAGTAGGTTAATGGATTGGAGGAGTAGGTTGAGGTGCTAACGGCACCCCTTTGAGTGCCCTGCATGCACGAGCCTGTAGGGGGGTCCGGAACATGCTCTCCGGAAAATTTTGGAAATTTACATGCTTGGAGATCCAATTTGGTGCATTTTGGGTGTGTCAAAAGGGAAAAAAGTCGTGTAATTATTATATAAGATATAAGTGGATCACGCCAGCTAAACGCACTCTGGTGGCTTTTCTTTAACTTTCTCTGTTTGTGTTTAATTTTTCTTATTTTCTTTTTTATTTGTTGCCATTGAAAATTATATATTTTGACTGAAAAGAGACGGCCAAGATTTGAAAGGAGGTGGCTCGTTGAGCCACTGACCAGCCAGTTTTGAGAAGGCTGATTTCACTGCACATTTCATCAGATTCAGTATTAAGACTAAAAAAACTGAAGGTAAAAGTATAAATTTGACCAGCCAAACTATTTGAGTTTGTGAACTATTGCAGATTGTGAACTTTGATGGTTTGACATTTTTGACAGCATTAGTCTTGTTCAAACAATTTGATTTCTTGAACCATTCCAATAAGGATTCTGACTGGCTTATTGTAGCCTGCTTTATAAGAGTATAGAGCATGCTGACAGCACTGTTGTTCGCTTTGGGAATAAAGTTTGTTTGGCAATTTGGAAAGTTCTTTATTACAAAACAAATAGAGAAGCCTTGACTGTGCTCCATTCTGTTGTAAAGCACTTAGGAACTGGCTAGAGCCCTCAAGAAGTAGGGAAAAACACTTCACTACCTTTCATGTTTCTCCCCTACACTTCTTTCATGCCAGGGCTTGACACTAATGGTAGCCCACTAGCCACAGACTAGTAGACATTCAGTTTTGGATGGTGGTTTTCAATTTCCACCGGCCAGTTTGGCTAGTAAATAAACTAAAATTGTCATAAAATCTAAGATGTCACTAGCCACTTGGCTAGTAAGTTGAAAAGTTAGTATCGAGCCCTGCATGCTCTAGCCACTTCCTAAGTGCTTTACAACAGAACAGAGCACAGTCAAGGCTTCTCTATTTGTTTATTTTGTCAATTTTTCTCCAGTAAAAGACCATATTAAGTATTTGAGGATTTTTGCAAAACTAATGTCTTTCATTAAAGGTGTGACAGAATACCATGCTGTGGCTCATGCATTGGAAGAACTTACCATTTGCTTCCCTTGTGCATGTGCTCTCATCTACATGAGGGATATACACTTTATATTTAATTAATTAATTAAGCCGCAATAGGTCTCTTAAATTATTAATGTTAAACCAAACATGTGCAACTCATACTAGACAAAGTCTTGTCATTGCAGCGAAATGTGAGTTACTTGCCTAAAGCAGGACCAGGTGGAAGGTCATCTTTCAGTGGAGTGGTAGCCACAGTGTTTGGTGCAACTGGATTTCTTGGGAGATATGTCATCAACAGATTAGGTAAAATGTAAAAAGAAAGAATACAAGTCATTCTTGCACCTTCAGAGTTCAATTTATCTTTATGACAAGGCTGACAGTTGATTGTTAATTAATGTAAGTATTTTGTAAATACTAGCAGCAAATTTTAAGCCTCAGAGCACTGGGGCTAACCCTTTGTTCAATTTATCAGTGCAATCTGAGACCTCTTAAACAACTTTTTTTTTAATTTGTGTATTCTATATTAAATGATTAAAGAGGTCATTTCCATGTGTTTTTATTGTGTTGTAATGAAATGTACTCATCTTAGGTCGTCGTGGAAATCAGATAATTGTACCATATCGGGGAGATGAACATGACTACCGGAACCTCAGGATGATGGGGGATTTGGGACAGATCATGTTTTTTGTGAGTGATTTTTGTAAGCCAGAGCTAAGATTATTGGTCATAGCTTGAGTCGAAAACAAATGTGTAGAAAAATATTTGATGGTCCAATGCCCCTCTTGTTCTTATTACCTGTATTAAAAAAAGGACTAGTTTGAAATATACAGTGAACACGTAGAGGTCACATTTTCTATATAAAGAACTTGCGAGTCCCCTGACCTGACAGTAGAATTGATCAAAATTTGAAATATAATGTTGGTGTTACTAAGTGGATGTTTGATACCTGTCTAGTATAATACTTCCAGATGACACCCCTGGACTTGAAACACATCAACAAAGGATTCTCATTCACACTATTGTGCAACCATCATCAGAATGCATGTTCAAATTAAATGAGCCAAAATCATTAATAAAATAGTTTCCTCTTCAACCAGTCAACACAATCATATACATGTATCTTCTGTATAGTGAGAACCTCTGCTAGTTTTCTGGTACAATGGGTTATATTTTTGTAAATTATATTTTGTAAATTCAAATGGTTCCTTCAACTAAAATCAAGGCTGATACCAAAGAGCAGCAATAGTTTTCATTTTAGTATTTACAGCAGATGGAGACCACATTTGAAGTGTCTTTTTATTAATTAAAAATTGCTATTGCTAAATAATATTCAAAAATTTTGATTTCCTCTTCTATGTCTAAGGATTATCATCTAAAAGATGTTGAGTCTGTGGCCAAAGTTATGAAGCATTCCAACTGTGTGATCAACTTGATTGGCAGACAGTTTGAAACAAGGTGTGCGTCAGACCTCAATGCATAAGAAATTAAGCAGAAACATTGTTTGAGGACTTGTGTAATTTACGCCAGTTCACACACTTAAAATGATAACAACTTTGTACCCATGACCCTACCCCCCCTAGCTTCCCCCTCCTCCCACCCTCAAAACAAAACAATGAATGAACTGGTTCATACTTAGCTTTATTATATGGCTGTGTCTCGCAAGGACTGGGAACTACCAAATTTATGAATTTGATTGGCTGAAATCAATATTGAAAGCGGTCTAGATTTTCCCATCTAGATAAGCATCTAGCCCGGTCTAGAAAAAAAAAGGTGCAAAGAATATAAAAAATTGGCATATAAGACACAGCCATATGATAAACATCTTATTAACCGAGCTAGGTCTGTATGGGAGAATCTTGACCTCGGTTGCTGGTACAGACCGAACGCAGTGAGGTCTGTACTGGCGACCTTGGTCAAGATTCTCCCATACAGACCTCCCACTCAGTTAATAAGAACTAAATAATTTCATTATTCCTGAGTTAGCATTTGTATTAGTGCTTTACTAATAACAGATACAGTGTATGCCTGTTTATGGTATTTGATAGCTGCAGAGCCACATGAGGTGTTGATTGATAGCTTCTCAAAGTAAATGATGTTAGCTTTAATATAGTTTCAATTGGAAAAAATAATTCAACATTATTCATTGCTATTTTGTTTTAGAAATCTCTATGCTAGAGCTACCTCAACCTTTGGATGAAGCTTCATCCTGAGATTTTATATACATAAATTTAGTTGTACATACTTTTCCCATACAGTGTGACATTAATTTTTGATATTATTTTTTCCAGAAACTTTACATTTGAGGATGCCCACAGTGAGGGAGCAAGGGTTATTGCCAAAGCTGCTCGGGAAGCAGGAGTCAAACGCTTAATTCATGTGTCAGCACTTAATGCCAGTGAGGATAGCCCATCTAAATTTCTACAGTCAAAGGTTAATCTCAGTCGCTAGCTTGCTGCAGCTCCACACTTTGCTATAAATTTAGAACAGAAAAGAAGTTGGAAATTGTACTTTTGAAAAGATACCTGTGATGGATGCTTACCCCGTGGGCAGCCTGTGGTACTTGATATTGAAAATTAGTGATGTAACCCCACTGCATTGTGTTGTTTAGAGATATTTCCTTTCCACTCATGAAGATGAAATTTACAAGGGCACAGTAGCACATTGAGCACATGGAAAGAATTAAAGAAAAAGTTAGAAGTTTAAAAAGAAAATTTAACACCTCTCTTTGGAAAGCCACAGAATAATTTTTTTTTTGGGGGGGGGGGGGTGAATATCTGACTTAACTGGGAAATTCATTTATCCACATTTAGCAGAAGTTTTCTCTTCCTGATTGGTGTACAGTTATGCCCATATATGTATTTGTTGTGCATGTTCTTTGCTTCCAATGCATGCTGGGACCTCATGCTTTCACGGGTCGCCATGTTCATTAAACATGTGTTGTGTTGAACTGTCGTGAGTTCTTTCTACGGTTTCCACATTTAGCAGAAGTTTTCTCTTCCTGATTAGTTGTAATAGCTGTTTTAACATAACATGTTGTGGAGCTTGATGGCTTTTTATATACTTGTATCACATTTGGATCGATTCTTCTCTTTAAAAATGCAAAAGTAGTAAATATAATAATGCCTGAGTTTTTCTGTACTGATACAAATTTTTACTTTTCCTTATATGATAGGCACATGGGGAGGCTGCTGTTAGAGAGGAATTTCCTGATGCTACCATTGTGCGACCTGCAAAATTTTTTGGCCATGAAGATCAGTTTTTGAACTACTATGTGTGTAAGTTCATGTCGAAGATAAGTTACCAATAGTGAACTTTCAATGCACTTTTTTTAACATGTAACTTAATATTTAATTTTTATTCAAACTTGCACTATCTAAACAATTTTTTAATACTCAGGTCTAAAGAGGGTAGACAGAGGCCATTGGAATTCAGAAATTTTAACCAAATAATAGGCCATTTTACAGTTGTGTACTTAGTTGCCAAGCCTTTGATTTGGAGTGAGGCTGAAGGTGACCTTGTCATGATAGAGACCTGTATCTAGTTAGCATGATAATAAAGTGATTTACATTTGAAAGGCAGCAAGGTTTTGCAGTAAATGGTTTGAACCCAGGGGTAACATGTGAAGGTGCAGAATGATAGTCTGGGTGAGTGTATTCCTGAGAGGGACTGTTGTCAGTGGAGTCTCTGATGATGACTTCCACACAAGTGGTCAAAACGTCAGTCACCACCACCGACAACAGTCCTTCTCCGGACTACACTCACCTGGACAATCATACTGCACTTTCGCAGCAAGGTTTGTTTCATAACAAGGTCAACCCCAGCCTCACTCCTATTAATAGGCTTGGCAACCAAGCACACAACTGTAAAATGGACTATTAACATCAAGGATTCATTGATGCACCTTGCTATATTATGTGTACCATAGATAAATGTTTGGCTATTTGTAGTTAATTGTAATTTATTTCTTGTGGTTTTTGCTTTTGGCTGAGAGTTATATTCACTGTCCTCTTCAAGATCTTGGTAATATTCCTTTTGGTATTCCACTTATTGATGGAGGCATGAACACAACCAAAAGGCCCGTCTATGTAAGTGAACTTTAAGCATTACTTTTGTGAGCAGAGCAGTATTGCACTTACCTATAAATTTGGGATGCAAACTACATTGACACGTATTCATCTCATGGAAGTGTGCTACCAACACAAGTATGCAAGATTATGAGAATTTCCATCCAAACCAGGTGTTAGGTACAGTGTAGGAGTTTCACAAGTTTTTTAGACATTGTTGTAGGGGCTGTGTGCAGAAAGTGTTGAAAAGAATGTAAAAATAGATTAGTTGTGGCGTGTAGGATGGCTTTGAAGATTTGTGAAGGAGTGGTTTTTAGTGAATGAAAGAAATGTTATAAAACGGTTTCACCAATTCCTTAATGATGCTTACTAAAGTTTTTAACATGGCTTATTTTTCTTCTGAGGCTCAGGATAATCACATTTGGAGCAATTGGGTATCTGGATGGATAGTATAGCTTGATAATGTTTGTAGGCAATATGATGAAGTAAGTCAATCAACAATTACATTGTGCTTAATTTAGTTTTGGTTTTTCCTTGTTGGTTCCAGGTGGCTGATGTTGCCCAAGCAATAGTAAATGCTGTTAATAATGATGAGAGCATTGGACAAACATTTGAACTTACAGGGTGAGATATCTTAAGGTTGTTTCTGATCAGAATTTGGATTTTACCACACTGAAGTCATTTGTGACCTTTGACTAAACAGATGCACAGTCACATGGATTTTTTTTTTTTTTTTTCAATATATATTGTCCTCTGTAGACAAAGTCAGCGAGGTTCATAGCAGGACTAGGTTTGAAACAATGGCATTTTTAAACTAGGTTGGTTTCTATATACATACATATGTATAAGAGGAGCTCAAATTTGTTATCTCTCCTCATTCAAGTGTTAACTGTGGTAGGGATAATTGTTTATTTCTTTATGTTTTTTTTAATTATTTTTTTCTTCTTAGCCCAGAAGAATATTACTTGCTTGATATTCTGGACTACATCTATCGGCTGATTAGGAAAGAGCTTCCCTACTACAACATATCAAGAAATATGTACAAGTAAGCTGCCATGGTACAAATCATTAGTGAACTATGATCCTACATACAGACATACGGTATATACATATCTTTATTTGATAAGTAGGTTAAAAGATTGGCAACTTTACAGCTGATGTGGACCTACTATATTATCTATGTAAAATAACATAAATAAACCTAGAGTAAAGTGTTAATATAAGAAACAGAATGAATATAAATATAAATGTGTCATAATGTATCAGAAATAGTAGAAATTTGAATTCTTATTATAAACAACAGAGCCACCCTCCTTTCCAAAATTTATATTTACAACATAATTTTTTGCCTTTTTAAACCTATTTTTAAAAGCAACGGGATTAGAAAAGTGTCTTAAACTATCTGGTAAGGAATTCCAGGCAATTGCTGCCCTGTGTGCAAAAGAACTACGGCCAAGTTCAGTATTAGGTCTATAAATTAATATATTTAGCGATTTTCTAAGATTATAACTATTAGAGCAGTTAACAACCAAGGAATTTACTTCATTTAAGCCCAAGCCATAAAATGTCATGTGAGTGATAGTTAGGATACGAAGCCTATAGAAATACTCAAGATGCATCCACCCAATCAATCTTATCTGTTATCCGTATTCCTTTGTTTATCTGACATGATATGAATCATGTGATTATCATTGTGATGTTTTGTTTAATACATAAACTCCGTCATAGTATCATAGCATGACGACTGAACACGCACTTTATTATCAGAAGCTATTATCCTGTGCTTTCTTACATTTTAATCGGGAGAAACACCGATATGTATATTTCGAACTACATCAATTATCATGCCAATTCCTTCTCGTGGTATTCTGTGTAAAGTTATTTGAAAGGAAAAGTTTTATTATTTGATTGTCTTACATTTCAGCCTTGTAGCCTGGGTCATGGAGCAGTCTATATTCAACCCGCGTCTTACACGAGATATGCTGTTTAGGGTAAGAATGGAGAAATGAAATTTCCTGCCGTTACTCCATTTTGTAAGCCACGGTATGTAATGGGTCATGAGGCTCATGAATTTACTACGACTGAAAGTTCACGGCCGAACCACAGCTTGCCAGTGTAATCAGTGTCCTAATTATCCATTGAAAACCGTAATTGTAGCCAAAATTTATTCAAGTTTTGTGGTTGTAGTTGTTTATTTCTTTTTTTTCAGGAATTCCTATCAGACCAGGTTACACCAGGTTTACCAGGACTGAAAGATCTTGGAGTTGAACCTCATTCAGTTGAAGATATCGCCATATCAGTTCTTCGGCGCCACAGGGACTGCTACTTCTTTGAGGATTCCATCGATAGCGAGGAACCTTGTAGACCTACCAGCTCTTACGCAACTCAATAACACTGCCCGTTCTTTTCAGTGAAGAGAGCTTTAATTATATATTATGACTTCCACACCACCACACTCTCCGTGCTTTTTCAATTACGGTTTTTTCTACTTTTTGTGTTCATGGTTAAGACATGGACGTGTCTTGGATATTTGAAATTGATTATTATTTCTTATTATCAGTTATGATAACCTGAAGGTGATAAATAAAGATGGTACTTAAACTAAATAAAGAGAGGTTTGGTTTCTTATGGTCACACGGTTTAAAATGACGTAGTGATATTTTTCTCGTCATGACAGAATGAATAGCTGAGAGGAGATGAAGTTGTAATCTTGATCGGTCCGTCCGTCGGTCGGTCGTTGGTGACAGCCCTAAATTAAAAAAAAAAAAAAACCTTCCTTGTCAGTGTTTGTTGAGAGAAATTCCTGCACACGGAGAGAGGGAGGTATGATAGATTATTCAAACATGACGAGGATTGTTGCAAGGAGGAAAGACCATGTATCACTACCATCACACTTACTTGCATCAATCAAAAGGCGTGACAGAGGTACACAGTTTGTCCAGTCTCTCCTAACGTAATGCGAACGGGAAGTCGAAGTCTCGTAACCAGTCCTTCGCAGTCAAACATCGCTCGTAGTTGTACCTAAATGAATTTGATAACAGCGTTCCGATTGCCACCACCTTTGAAGCAATTTTCGGTGTATTGTTTCAATAAAAACTGTTTTGCCTTCTTTTCGGCCGCATCCCTAGTTAAAGTTATTTCCTCTCAATTGAAACTGGATTGAATAGGACTAGTCTAACCAGGCTGTTCAGACGTTTTGAAAGGTTGTCTTAAAGAAACAATGGCATTAGCGAAAGAAATCGGAGAAGACACTTTTTTAGGATTTTATGCTTTATTTTTTTTTCCATTTTCATAACCTCGGTTAGGTCAAGACAGCACCTCGAGCACGAGGAAAGGTACTTATGCCCAGTACCCAATGTCCAATGAGGGGAGACTGAGGAAGGCTGGGTTACCATGAAGAATCGAACATGGCTTCAGGCAGAGCTGGGCCAAATATTTTGGTGACGGGAACTCCAGGAACTGGTAAAACTGTGACGGCAAGGGAGCTAGCACAAAAGACAGGGCTAAACTACATTAACGTGGGTGATTTGGCGAAAGAGAAAAACTTGTATGATGGATGGGATGACCAATATGGCTGCCACGTGCTGCATGAAGACAGGGTAGGTACAAGTTGATCTTATATTATACACAAAGATTGTTGGATTATTTTCTACCGGACAGCTCAAAGCCATGTATATTTTTTTTCACATTTAGCTAGTATAGTTTTAGTCTTCGTGGAAGGGTTAATAATAACGTACATAAAGTTGAGCACGGCTGTAATGAATTCTACTCTAACTGTGTTTCTTTATAATAATTCCTCTCCTTATGATGTTGTTGATTTTCTAAGACCTTCCTTGTGGAATAATTTGCAAACCTTGATGGTGAAAATACTTCCCCCACCCCCACTTTCTTTAAAGTACCTTACCATAATGATCTAGCTTAACTTCATTATTCATAGCTTATGAATCTTGGCCCTTACTTAGGCTAGATTGCAGATTACCCGGCCACTCATTTACATGTCATTGAATAAGAATAGCCTCTATTGTGTTATGCTGCATTCTTCAAAGCCTCCCGACACAGGTAAATGAGGTGGCCAGGTATTCTGCAATTGTTCCCTTACTTACAAGCATTTTTTCTAAACGACCACTTACCCTCTTCACTTCAAAACTCAGTAGCTGAAATATCATGACCCCACCTCTAGTCCATAAAGGCATCTTTCATATAAAGAAATAAACTCCCTTTTCCCAACCACCTAATCATTTCATAGCTTTTTAATTTAACTTTTTGTATTTTTATTGATTGGTTTATTTACTTCAGGTGATTGATGAATTGGAAGATCAGATGAGTGAAGGTGGTAACATTGTTGATTATCATGGTTGTGACTTTTTTCCAGAGAGGTGGTTTGATATTGTGTTTGTATTGCGAACAAACAACACAATACTTTATGAAAGGCTTGAAAAAAGGTAAACTTACTTCTAAACTTTATTTATGATATGACATTCAAGTTTCTCTAATTCTTATGATAGTTATACTTAGTTATAGTGATAGTTATACTTAGTTATAGTTATAATACTTAGTTATACTGGTTACACTTATGATAGTTGCTAAAGCAAATAGGCTTCTAGGTTTTCTTAAACGAAATTGTGCAGGGTTGGTTGGTGAGGGCCCACTTTTGCGATTTTACTCCTCCTTAGTGCATTCCCATTTTTGTTATTGTTTTCAGCTATTGGCACCTCAGTCTATTTTTAGTAATTTACTCTTAGTAGAAAGGGTACAGAGAAGAGCCACACATTTTATTGTTAGAAATAGTACCCTATCCTATAAGGATCGTCTTGTTAGGCTTAAACTGTTACCACTTAACTATTGGTTGGAGTATTTAGATCTCATATTTTTCTTTAAATGTCTTCATGGACATATAGATTTAACCCAACCAATTGATAATTGTTTTTCATCTGTTACCAGTCAGACTCGCCTAGGATGCTCAGTTTTACCTTTAAACTAAATATGAGCAAAATATCTACTTTTTGAGACTTTTGTTTAATTAGAATTATCCCCTTGTAGAACAATAGTCCAGTTGATGCTAGGCAGTCAGAGTCCCTTGGCTCTCTTAAGCGCAAGCTTAAGGAGTTTTACTTTAATAGACTCTTAAATGACTTTGATGGCGAAAGTTATCGCACTTTTAAAAGAATGTCTTAAATGTTGTTGGATAAATACCCATTCGGTTTGTAGCTGTTAGTTTCTAGTTATTGTCTTCTTTTTGTGTAAGTGTATTAGATTTAGGGGATAGAGGGGATAGGATGCTTAGTTTTTGAGGCTTGGGTTGGTATTTATACCTAGTAGGGGACTCGTGTCCTATTGTTTAATATATACCAGTACTTTGTACAAATCCTTAAATGAATAAATAAATAATAAATAAATTATTAGTTGTCCTTTGCATCAGGCACAGCATAAACTATCAAGGTAGAATAATTCCACTTCAACATTTTAAGTATTATGTCAGTAGATTTTATCCATATAAGAGTTAATATTTCACAAAATTTATACAATTTCAGTGCTGTGAAGGATGTTTGCTGATGTAGCTTTGCATATTATAAATGCATAAGTTTTTCACAGTATAATATATGAACACAATATTTGTATGCAATTTCATTTAATATGCAGCTCAGTGGTGATAAACAACTTGTAGACCACTTTTATCTTTTACCATAACTTGATTTAGCTTAATGTAATTTAGATGGAAACTGAAGCAGAAGTGGAACAAATGAATTATTATACTTTTACTCATGAATTATTTTCACAGTATTGTTAGAGTCTCTCATAGCTCTGTGGTTAGAGTTTTTAAGTGCTAACCAGGAGATGTTGTATCATACAAGGTCATGCAATGTAAAATAAGGTAATTTTTCCTTTTTTTTATTCTTCAGAGGCTACAAAGGGAAAAAGCTAACTGAAAATGTGGAATGTGAAATTTTTCAAACAATACTTGAAGAAGCTAGGGAAAGTTACAGAAAGGAAATAGTTCATGAACTGCAAAGTGACTCTCCTGAGCAACTAGAAACAAATCTTGAGCAAATAGAAGCTTGGATTCAACAGTGGTCTTCCTAACAGCTATGGATTGTTATAAACCTGACTTATTTATGATGATTTGTGAAAACACCAAGGCCTCAAACATTGAAGAAGACTTAATTGAGTTATGGTGTTGTTATACATTAAAAATGCCTAAAAGGGTGTAACAAAGAAGTTTCACTTCATCATAAGGTATTACTGGACAGGCTAAACTGTGTTGGATGATAACAAGCTGTAACAAGTGTTCATCAATGCTTAACACAATGGTCTCTTTTGTAGCCAGCCACTCCTTGAACCATGTAAAGCCAAACCAGAGAAGCCAAATGTCATGGGCAGCCACACTAATGAAATGAGTTTTGTCTGAATTTTGATTTCAAACATAGCAGAAGAGATGATTAATAAAAACAATTACTCTATGAAATATGTCAGTATGTCCTTAGTTCTGATGTTCCTTTCCAATTGACACTGTGTCATTAGTTGACACCAGTTACTTTTGGTGTACCTCAAGGGTCGGTGCTGGGCCCTACCCTGTTTTCCATTTTCTGTAATGACCTGCCCAATATCACTGAGGGAATAGATGGTGACCCACAGCTTCATATGTACGCAGACAATACCACCGTCTATGTCTCGGCTCTGACCTATGATCTGGTGGCTTCCAAGATGAATGAAGTACTAGCAAGGCTATATACATGGTGTTGCGAGAACTGTCTCTCCACATCCCACCAAGACGGAATATATATTGCTTGGTGGACGCGGAAAATTTACTGGGCCAAAAGCTATTAAGATGGGTCCTTGTGTTATCGAGGAGGTTGTTTCTACGAGATGCCTAGGTGTTCAGATTGATAATGCTCTTAAATGGGATCATCATGTATCGGAAATAGCTAAGTCATATACGCAGAAGTTGAATTTACTTAAATCCTTGTATTTCCTGCCTAAACAGGCAAGAACTGATTTCTATTTTAAGGTTTTTCTGCCGTCTGTGACATATGGTATGTTAGTTTGGGGCTCTTGTGGTCGAGTATTTTTCTCAACCTTAGAATCTATACATGTTAGAGCGGCGAAAATAATATTTAACTTGGATTGGTGTACTCCAAACAAGGAGGTTCTTGCCACAGTAAAATGGAATACCTTGGAGATTATGTATGAGAAATGATTACTAATCTTAGCGCATCAGGCTTATTATCATCTTTTACCTTGTCCTATGAACCGTCGCTTTGAAAAGTATGTAAGTAGCTACGACTTCAGGAGGAAAATGACATTTAGGTTACTTAGACCTAAGACCAATATGGTCAAGAAATCATGCTCATACAAGTCAATTACTCGGTGGAACGCTCTGGAAAATCAAATGAGATCAATTCAAGACGTTGACGCTTTTAAAAAGTCACTCAAGTGTATTTTTAAGCCACGTATATTATAATGATGTACTATGTGGAATTTTTATTGTTGAAAATTTTACATTAGTCTTATAATTAGTTAAGAATTTAGTTTTATTGTATTTTGTTAGGAATTTAGTTTTATTGTTTGTACACGACCACATCAGCTTTTGCTGAATTTTTTTTACCGTGTTTAAATAAATGCTGTTGTTGTTGTTGTTGACGCCACCTGACATTTTGCAACTGAAACCTGTTATTTCTCTACTTCCATTCCCTTTTGTCCTTTGAAATAATGTGAAACTTATCTTAAGTTCATAAGGAGAGTTTTAGTTGCCCTTAATAATAATAATAATAATAATAATAATATAATATTTATATTGCACAAATTAACATGTGGATATGATCAAATGTGCATCACAACACTCTTCGGGGGACTTTGGCCAGACTGTATCAGCAGTTTTTTTTTTTTAGGTTCATATGTTGATAGAATTTTCAGAAAATAAGTATGAAGCATTTAGAATTAAACCCTAACCATTCGTTCTCCATGGGGCCTGCACTGTTGACTGGCATCTGTAAGTGCTCAGTCAGTTCTGGCAACTTCATGAGGTGCTTTCATGGTCTTGTGAACTTGGAGAAGTGGAAAAGGATGATAAAGGGGAAAGTTAAGAGTGTAAATAGAGTGAAAACTAGTCAGAAATGACCTACAGAAGTGACTGAAATGTGGTTTTCATTTATTCGTTTTGAATTAAGCTTCAAATAAATTTCAATATCTGAAACAAAAAAATTACATCATTCTATAAAGAGCTCGAGGTGCTTTAATTGGGTGTAATTTCTGGTGTACTGGTAGATTGGCAACCGGTGGGGAGAGGGTCTCATAAGCAGAAGGTTACAGTATTCATAGCGTTGATTATTTCCATTCAAGGCGCAGGACCTCGTGTGGCTTAGCTTAACCTATTCACTGTATCCCTTCCAACCGCGAGCTCAAGGTCTATTCGACCTTATAAAGGGGCCAAACACTTAAGAGAGGCCGCTATCCGGCCTTATCAAGTTTTAGATACTGCTGGCTCAGCCTACTGGCATTCCAACATGGTCGTTTGTTTTCTACAACAACGTGTGTTAAGCAATCAGCAAATTTACGGTACGTGCCGGTTTACTTGCCGTCAACTCTGTGCTGTAGCCGCAAAAACAGAACGTCAAGAGACTCGTCAGACTGGAGTTCCATTGATAATTCCGAAACATGTGATCGCCAAAGCTTTTATCGTTCATCCTTCAACAACAAGTGTGTTTGACGCCAGCTCAAAATATCAATGGCTTACTAAGACCAAGTTATTCGAGGGATTACCCGCTCCTTTTTCAAACGTAGACAATTTCGTGGATGATAAAGAATATGTGCATCTAAGAGAAAATTTCAAGGAGTCCATTCTACATAACCATGCTTTCCGCAGAGAAGGAATAAGCGCGAACCACAGGTTCAGACGTAGAGGAGAGGAAATGACTATGGGGTTTTTGCAAGATTTGCTGAGGTTTGGATGGTCGTTGTCTGATCGACATCGTCATTTGGATGATTGTTTTCTTGATTTGAAGCCCAGGATGAGGATCCACTGGGTCAGACATCATAACTTTTACCAGTTGGACCAAGAGCCGGCATTTGTTATTCGAACAAAGCAACCCACCCATCTTTTAGAAACAGGTAAGTGAGACAACTTTTCTTTCTGATTGGAACCCAGACAGAAAAAATCAACTAAATTGCTGTAGCTCTGAGAGGAATTGTCTTAGTACACTTTATTCCGGCCACTTAATATGTGTCTTTAAATAGCTGCTCCCACAAGGTATCCGGTCGTTTCACCAACGAGTTGTTTCACCAACGTCTCGTTCGCCAACGTGTTAGGTTGATTCGCCAACGTCCTATGTCGATTCGTCAACGTCCTACTGGTCAATTCGCCAACGTCTAAATAAAAGTTTGCCTTCACTTGTGTTCTCTTGCAATGTTGTGTTATGTGGCATTTTATAAAGGTGAGACTTTTCTTCTTTGAATGGATAACAGTCAACAATCCTTATTGAAATATACTATTAAAAACATGTTTTCTAGTTTTTGCAGAAGCGCCTATTATGGCACTCCTTGCTTCTTTTAATTGAGTGCGAAGTGAAAACTGTCATAGATTTAAAACGAGTTCTGTTAACTGGCGGCATTCTAATGGAAGGTGCGACTTATGTTGCTTATTGTTTTCTGTTTCACATTTCATAACGACTTAGTGCTTCATTGAAGAGATGCTTTTGGACTATATTGTAATAAAATATCTGGTTTTTTGTACTTGTAAATATTTGATACTATATATTGTAATAAAATTGCTGTTGTTATTTAGTTGACGTTCCATTTTATTTATTACTCGATTATAAGGCTGGAAAAGTTGAATATACAATGTTAATCGACATCGTAATACATTAATGAATTGGTGCGGTAGTTGCAACAACTGTCAAAATGTGCAAATTGATCGGAAGTCAGTCAAGCGAAACTGGCAGTGACTCAAGGATCAGGATTGCATTCTAAACATCTATAAGCAACTTTTTTTTTCGTTATTCTTGGATGTCTGACATTGGCAAATTGACCAGTAGGACATTGGGAAATCGACATAGGACGTTGGTGAATCAACCTAACACATCGGCGAACGAAACGTCGGCTAAACGACTGCAATTCTCCCACAGTCCTGAAGTCGCTAAATTAAATAGTGGCTCCTGCAGTTCAGTGGTGCAAAATTCTGTGGTCGGCTTGAACAGTTGCGTGGCATATGCTCTAAAAGAGTCATTCATTTTTGAATGGGAAGAGGGTATCTGATTCTTTTGCCCCACTATCGAGTTTGCCCCTTTGAGTTTTTTCCCTACCGTAGACCATGTTTGCCCCTACCATGTCTAAATTACTGTAGTTTCTGTCTAAAATTATGAACAAGTTACAACCAAAACAAGTTTCAAATTTAATTGGGCAACAGCCATTTTGAAAGTTTATATGTGCGTGGGAGCTGGGGCGACCAGAAACAAGAAATACCAGAAACAACTATGCTAGCAGTAATGTTTCAAAATTGTTGGACTGTGGTCAAACAGTGAAATACAAAGAACTTTTGTTGGTCGTGACCTTTACAGTGGCTCCTAAAGGAGCTGTTTTTATATTTAACTGAGCCTAAAGGCTACATGGTTGTTCAATGATCAGGTTGTTAGCTATCTTGCGGTCAGTAGAGTACGTTGCAGGCTTGCAGAAACTGCTTTGCCATATGATCACCACTCTTGTACTGATCCCACAGGCTAAAGATATTTGCTTGCAGCTGCCGTTACATTTGTTATTCGAGTCTACACAGTTTATGCTCCAAAACTAGTTGTTTTTGGTAACCCCAGATCCCACGCAGAGTATTTAGTTGATTCTGCCAACCCAGTTCCCAAGCAGATTCCACACAATTGCCGAAATTTAAAATAGTCATGGCTGACTTGACATTTGGCACATTCTGCTAGTGCCTTGGATCTTGAATGATTTTTGTCACAAATCAACTCATCTGAACATTACACAATCTAGGGGCAAACTTGACGTGGTGGGGTCAAACTTGAAAAGTGTGGGGGCAAACATGGTATAAGGTAGGGGCCAACTTGAAAGGGTGAGCTTGATAGGGGGCGAATGCAGTGCAATTCTATGTATGCCCCGTTCTTTAGTGTGGCTAAACAGTGTACACAAACACACATACCTTATATATATAATATAAATATATAATCTTTGTTCTTAGATCGAATCGAATGTGTGACTTTGGGAGCACAGGAGCAACAATTTGTTAACGTTCAAAGTGGCTGCATGTATTCTGAAGTTGCTCCAAATATTTGATAAATAATAATTGTCTGTTCCACTCTGGAAAAAAGGGAGCATTCCTTAGCAATCAAATACAAGTACCAAAGAAATATATTCTGTTGTTTGACACTGACACTTCAACTGCTTAGTATGTCAGGACAGTGTAACTGTTAGGGTGAAACACCAGAAGACTTGAAAAATTGTTATTTTGTTAATGCTACAAAATAAGCCTTTGTTCAAACAGCAATAAACAGGTTGTCTGTTGCTCAAGTGGGATTTGATTTTTTTTTTAATTGTTATGCAGTGAACATAAGATATTAATTAAGTGCTTTGATGTGACATGTATCTCAAATAGCACCACACAGTGTTAACACTTGGCTCTTGTGATATAAAAATACTTTGTATACAATTTTATTTTAATTTACTTTTGATGGCCCAGCTATTCATTTTTATTCAGTTGTGGAGCCGTTGTGTAGTGCATTCTCTTGTTATTTCACACTGTTTCCTATTGTAACACTTCTTAATGGAAACCATGATGTCAGGTAACTTAAGTCTGTCCATGGCCTTCTGAAAGTGGAAATCTTTCCCTTGATGTTTTCTGCCTAATGGTAGGTGGAGTACCCCATAGGTGAAGGAAAGCACTGACATCAAGCCCGTGATGCCTTGTGGCCATACTTGCAACAGGAAAGGCACAGACAGATGACTTTTCTGATGCATCTGTAATTCCCAAACTTTCCCTTTTTTGGATAATAAAATAGTTTGGAAAGGGTTGGTTTGCAGAGTGTAGGTTTACCCTGTACCAAGGTATACACCATTAAGAGAGTAATCCAACCTTGCTTGTTATTGAGTTTACAATATTGGAGGCAGCAGTTCACCAGTGATAAGCCAAACTCACTATGTGTAGGGATTATGAGGTCTTATTTGATAGTTATCACCCACATCAAGCTGTGGAAATGTGATTTCCAGTATCCTTGGCATGGAGTTTCATATTACTGAAAGTATATTTACAATCTTCCAAAGTTGATGTTACTCATTTTTTGTCTTATTTACATATAGATATTGAAAAAACATCCTTGGAAACAATACCCGGTCCGTTTGATAACTACAGCATCAATGTCTTCCGCCATCCCATCTTACATCTACAGAACAACCCAGGCTTTCAGAATAGTGCACTTTACAAATACCCCTACAATCATACAATGTTTTTGACAAACATAAACAAACTGACATTTGAGCAGCAGCAAGCTTATGGAATCATGAGCATGTTTGGTTCTCTGGTTGCCTTGGCAATGGATGATGGTGTTCAGATGGGTCAACACTTGCAGAAGCCACTTGTTACTAAGTGTGTAATCACAGATGGAATCCAGTTTACTTTGATGTGTTATCAACTCAACACACTCTCATTTCAGGAAGACTTTGGAATCAAGAATTGTGCCTGGGTTTCACACAGCATGAATCTTTTTAAGGTGACAACTGCTAAACGCAAACCACTTTTATTTGAGACTTTGGATATGGACAACGAAGTTCCTGGTTTTAATGATGAGTGTTTCAAAACTGTTTTAGCTTTCCTTTGCCAAGAGACAGAGTCATGAGGCATTTTAGGATATTTTTATTATTCCTATACTGTCTACAGAGATTTTAAAGTTTTTTTTTTGCTATCTTGATGGCTAAACTCTGGCAAAACAAGAGTGACTGAACAGGTAATCTTATCAGTTGGCAGCACTTGCCATTATAATGTTATTCAAGTTTTTACATAGTTTTACAATTGTATAACTTTATAATTATCTCCAAGTAGTTATTTGAAAAGAAATAACCAAAACATCTGATTTAAAAGAGTAGAGTGCAAACTTCAGATACACTGTTTTCTTCAAAACTGTACATCTTAATGTATGTTGGAAGCACTGTAAAATTATTCAAACAGTTTTACACCCAGTCAGGACTTCTATGTCAGTAGCAATTTCTTTCCTAGGCATCTTACCCAGGCGTATTCAGTGCAGGTCTCAGTTCTGCGTTGTTCATCCTCTTGCCTGCAAGTAAGCTTTCCTCTCTGGTTGGTCAAATCTTGGATTATTTGTTTGCCTTTGTCTTAGCTGACTTGCTCTCCCAGAGTAGCTGACCCTGCCTCAGAGAAAAAAAAAACTTTCCTGTCTTGTAGCAATTTTTCTCTCGTGTTTTAAGGTACAAATCGTGTAGGTAAAGAGAGAAGGTAGCCAGAAGTGAAAAATTACACAATGAATGTTCTGAATGTAAACGATGTTTAAATCATGAAAAGTGACGGTCATTAAAATGCCGATATGCATGTCTACATATCACAAGCTATGGAACGGAGTTCCAAAAAAGAAGCAATATACGGCACAGTAAAACAAGTTAAGAAAAAGTAGATCAGCTTTCTGGACCTCTGAACAATATTTGGTATTAAGTGAATCATCCGGTCCTTTCATTGTATATAATGACTCCCTACTTTTTGCATGCGTTGGCATCTAGTGATATTGGAATAAAAGAAAACAGTGAAAGCAATGCTCTACGCGAGGCGTAGGGTGGGTAATCAAAGTAACCTTAAGGTCTAAGTCGAGTGTAGAACTTAATCCATTCGGGCCAAAAACCAATAATATGGACTGGGTTTAGTTTCGGTACATGCCTGTATTTCTATGATGAACTTCTCTTGCACTAAGGGGCCTTTGCGCAACGCCACCCTGAATGTGATGATTGTTATTCAGCTTTAGCGTGTAATATTGGTCCAGTTGATTATGGTTCGGTAGACTTTAGAGTCTGACTTTGTTCCTTTACCTAAAATTTTCTTGAGAGGAAGTGTTGAGAAATGCTGCCGACCGAAGACAGTGTGAAAGGTATATTTGGACATGTTGGATAGTGGTAGATAGCGACTATACAGTCACATTTCACCGCAATGGCGTCTGTACGATGACATGGGAAGAACTTTACTTGACAAATTTTAACAAACTTCTTCATCACTAGTCTTTGAATATCTCAAGGTTCACACTGCACAATCGCTACTGAACTAGTATGAGTTCGGATGACGAAAACGTCACGCACGATCCAGATCTGCTCTCTTGGAGTTAAATGTTTCCAAGAAAAGTCAAATTTGCCCCGAACTAGGTCCATTCTAAAGCTGCAAATATTTTCGGTAACACTCGTGAATTAAAATGTCAACTGCTTTGTCAGGAAACCTCCAGTCGTGTTATTTTCAGCGATAGATAGAAGCAGTAACAACGAGAAACCTTTCTTGACTGGGATTGTACGCAAGCGTTCATTGGCGTTGCATAAGAGTCACTCATGATGGCGACTGGACGCATCTTTGGTTGCTCCGCACTTATTACTCTTTCTTTGCTTCTCCGGGTGGTTTATTTCGAGCAAAATACCACAAAACTGTTACCTTACTTGTATTAAAATTCGCGTGGTACTCATTTTCGCTCAGTTTTAATTTCGCGCGATTTAATTTCGCGCACCTTATAGAGGACTTATTCGCGCAGCTTTAAATTCGCGCAGGACATTTTTCTTGTTCGGTTTCTTTACTAGAGTTAACAGATGCAGTTAACCTTTTTGTCATTACACAATTAAAGAATAGCACAGAATTCGCGTAAACCTAAAGCAAGTTTTTCACCGCCCGCTGCTGGCACATTTTTTCACGCAATTTTTTTGGTTTGTTTGACTACAGTAATATGTCGTATGGTTTGTTCAGTTAGGTAAAATCAGCAACAGCGACAACAACAATTTATTTGTATTCCATTTACACAGATGGTATTGCATATGATAACATTAACAATGATAGTAATTAGTGAAGAAAATACAAAATAAAAAAGATATCCAAAAGAAAGAAAAACTTCTTATCAATGTGTTAAATGGGGTTGACAGGCCTACACGACTCCCCAGCGCGTGTTTAGAGTAGCCTATTCAAAGTTTAGCCCTCACGAGTATGTCTTTGAGCGACCGCCCTCTTTTGTAAGATACGAGCGGCGGATTTTGTATAATAATAATAATAATAATAATAATAATAATAATAATAATATAATAATAATAATAATCATTTAATATTTATATTGCGCAAATTAACATGTGAATATGATCAAATGCGCATCACAACACTTTTCGAGGGACTTTGGCCGGACTGCATCAGCAGTTTAGTTCGCTCAGTAGTGGTTGTGAATCTATTAAATGCCAGTTTTTCATGAGAATTTGCTTTAGGTTTGGCACTGATGGTTTGTATTGTGTAGCGATACAAAATGTCGACGGTCGCCATTACCCCAAGGAGGCTTGGAAATTCCAATTTCATTGGCAGTCATCCAAAATAAAGCGAGCTCGGAAATTTATAAGAAGATGGAAGTATTTCTGGTGGAATATTACATGGAACCAGAAAGAATCCCGACTGAAATTTCTCAGGTTGAAGAAGATGATGATGAGGTAATTTTTTATTTCTAATTTTTGATGGTAATATGTGTACGCAAAAATAGAACGGATAACTTGCCTTTTTAAACACCAACCTCTAATTCTCACTGAAAAACTCTTTAGTATCCAGTGATACTGTTAACTGTTGTAATATTACCATATGTAATAGTATTTCGTAGTATATTGTGTAATTCTAAATTCTTAAGTTGTCAATAAAGTTAATATTTAATTCAAAACCTTTTCGCGCGGATTATATTTGGCGCAGTATGAAATTTCGAGAACTTACGTTGTGCGCGAATTCTAGTACTGCGCGAATTTTAATACAAGTAAGGTAGCTAATTATTTAAGTTCGCCGACGAAAGTCTTTTACTACGTATATGATGGCAGCCCAGACGTGTTCTCGCTCGAGAAATTCAACCACGCGGTCTGTGTTGTCAGCCATCTTGGATCATGTTTTCATCGACCGAGTTGTAGCCGAAGCTATTGAGGGAAATTTGGAAAATCAACTCTAAACTATTACAGAAGTAGTAAAGCCAGTTTTCATCTCAATTATTTCAAGGTCTCCGGTGATGTACATCCGAACCCTGGACCTACGACTGCTAATAAAAATCCAAAGCAAAATACGGATTCGACCAAATCGAGGAAAGCACCTGTTTGGAAGTATCCATGTGTTCTCTGTTTAAAACCAGTTCGTGCCAATCAGAATGGTATCCTATGTGATATTTATAATAGATGGCATCATATAAAATGCTTAAATATGGATCCTAAATTGTATATGGCTCTCAGCGACTCAGATGAGGAATGGTGCTGCGATGACTGTACGAATCCATTTAATTTTACGGATTCCTTCTTCGAAGTCTCGTGTGGCTCTGATGGCTTTGATGTTCTTGCCAACGATGGAAGTCAGACCGCCACAGCGAACAGTCGCGACCCGTTTCCCAAGTGCTTGGTGTTAAATGCAAGAAGTTTGCGCAACAAAGTTCTTGATTTGCAAGCTCTGCTTTTTGTGGACATATTTAATGTTTTTGCTCTCACTGAGACTTGGCTTGATAGTAACTTTGGTGATCATGAGCTTTTGATGGATGGTTTTAATAGCTTCCGCAAAGACAGGCACATTCAACGTGGTGGCGGGGTGTTGTTAGCAGTCCGGCAGAAATCACCTACCTTTCTCCCGTCGATTTGACCTGGAAGTTGAAGTTGAAATGTTGACCCTTGAAATCTGCCTGACGCATAAGATCCGTGTTGTTGTTGCAGCCTTCTTTTGATCCCCTAATTCCTATGCAGAAACTTTTTTGTTTCAGTTAAGAAAATTCCTGGATAAATACTGCAGAACTGCTTTATCAAACCTTATTGTCACAGGTGACTTCAACTTTCCAAATATCGATTGGACTACTGGTAGTCCATTTAGACCCGACCCCAGTACGGAGGAGTTCTGAAATATTCTGGGTGATTTCTTCCTAATTCAGAAGAACACGTCTGCTACTCGTGGTTTAGGTATCACTGAGGGAAACATTCTGGATTTAGTCTTGACTAATAACCAGTCCCTTGTTAGGGATGCATTAGTCCATCCGAATGCTTTTGATTCTGATCACTTTCCTCTCACCTTCACACTCTTTGCTAAATCCAGTAGACCAAAGAATGTGCAGAGGAAAGTGTACTGCTACAAGAAAGTGGATTTCATTTGCTTGCAAGAGACTACATCACATACCTTGAGAATCAGTTATCTCTGACTACCCTTTTGAGGACTGTTTGACCAGATTTCAGGACATATTATTATCTGCCATCAATCAATTTATACCGTCCTCAGGTTACACTTCGCCGTCGATCAAGACCTCCTTGGATAAGTAATGAGATAATGAAACTGATTAGCAAAAAGAAAAAATTATGGAAGTGAGTGAACGTAAGTAGATCACCTGACTTATTTTTGAAATTCAAGGAAATGAGGAAAATTATGAAGAAGCATATCCATTTGAGCTATAGTCAGTATTTAAAAAAGCTATCTATGAAGCTGAAGACGGATCCTAAAATTTTCTGGTCATTCCATTCAATGAAGTCGAAACAGAAGAGGATTCTAGAAATTGTTTATTACAACGAAGCGCACTCAACTAATCCAGCAACAAAGGTGGAACTGTTTAATCAATTCTTTCCTACAGTCTATTCCGCCCCAACTTCCGATAAAACTTTTTCCATTGATGTTGTTAATCCAAATTTGTTGTTGAACATAAAGACCACTGCAAGCGAAGTGAAAAGAATCCTACAAAATCTTGATGTCACCAAGGCAACCGGTCCTGACAACATTTCTGCTCGTATTCTTTAAGTTTGCTCTGAAGAATTATCAAAACCTCTAGCCCTTCTGTTTAATAGATCCTTTTCTTTAGGAAGAGTTCCTGTACAGTGGAAACTCGCCAGCATTTCACCTGTTCATAAAGCAAATGAAAGGGACCTTGTGGATAACTACAGATCTATCTCTCTTCTGTCCGTTCCAGGAAAATGTCGAGCGTATAAGTGTACTCAGCAATTTATTTTCATGTCTCAGCTTACCTGTCAGATTGGCAGCATGGTTTTGTCAAAGGAAGATCTACTGCCACTCAACTAATTTTGACTCAACATAAATGGGCAAAAGCCCCTTGATGAGGGTCATCAAGTTGATGTAGTTTTCCTCGATTTTTCGAATGCCTTTGACGGTGTTCCTCATCTGGTCTTACTGCACAAGCTTTGTAATTTCGGTATTTCTGGGGAACTGTTGAACTGGTGTCAAGATTACCTTAGTAATCGAAGACAAAGAATAGTCATTGTTGGTTATTCATCTTCTTTGACAGAAATCACCTCTGGTGTACCACAGGGCTCTATTCTTGGGCCACTATTTTTTGTTTTGTTTATTAATGATTTACCTCATGTAGTTTGCTCTGGAAGCACGATAGCTTTGTATGCTGATGATAGCAAGATGTTTAGCGTGACAAACTGTGATGATGATCAGATGCTTTTCAAAAACGATTTGGGTAAACTTTACTACTGGAACCAACGCAACCTGATGGATTTCAACTCCAAAAAGTGCAAGATTATGAAAATTACTAACAAACAAGTGCCCTTTAGCAACAAAGTGAATTTGAGTGGTACAGTTCTCGGGGAAGTCAAGGAATTTAAAGATTTAGGAACATTGACTAACAACGGTTTATCCCGGAACTCTTATATTGATATGATCACTGCCAAGGCAAACAGAATGTTAGACTTCATTAAAAGAAAGTGCATGGATCTCAAGGATGAATCTACTCTAAAGACCTTGTACTGCTCCCTCGTCAGATCGAATCTGGAATACTGCTCAGTCGTCTGGTGTCCGTTCACCAAGAGAAACGTAAACAAACTTGAGAGAATTCAGCGTAGAACAACTAGGTTCATTTTAAAATCGAATGAACCATATCGTTCCCGTCTACGTAAACTCAATCTGTTAACTCTTGAGCAAAGACGTTTCGTTATCGATGTTACTTTCTTGTTTAAGGCTCTCAATGGCCATTTAGATGCTGACTTTTCTCAATTGTTAGATTTTTATAGCCAAGAGGACCACTACTTACTGAGACATTTTGATACTAAATCGTTAAAAAAGAAATACGCAAGGACTAACATACTTAAAAATAGAGGCTGATAGTTTCGAAAGAAACTGTTTGGGGCTGCGTCGGTGGGAGTAACGAAATAATTTGGATATATCAACAAAGTTGAAATGGTACATTGGCCACCGTAACGGTTACAAAAGCTGACGTTTCGAGCGTTAGCCTTTCGTCGGAGCGAATAGAGGAATTGTGGGTTGTGTGTGCTTTTAAAGGCAGAAAATGGAGCTACGTTATTGGTGGGAACATGGCAACGAGAAAAACATGAATAAATTAGTGGAATGAAAAGCGTTCGTTGATCCCTGTGGGATTTAGACTGCCGGTTTGAAAGATGAGCTTTTGTTCCAGAGTTTTACCGCTTTCCGTGCTACCTAAATGTAAGGAAAGACTGCAGATTGCCATATGTTGCTTAGAATGATTAGGTAAATTAAAATGTCTAGCGACTGGTTTCGATGTGTCCTTGTCATTCTTTTCCACGTCTCGAAGGTGTTCTCGGAATCGGTCACTTAAAAATAGTGTACTATTTTGGGCACTTAAAAATAGTTACTTTTATAGGATTGTGGACGAATGCAACAGTTTGTCTCTTGAGGTCCGTTTGGCATGCAATGTTGACAAGTTTAAAGCTAGTGTTATTAAATTTGTAACAAAGTTGTAAATATTTTACAATTTTTTTAGTGAGTTTATTGTAATTTTTATGAGGTGATTTGTTTTTATATGGGGTCACGCAACTCTTTTACAATTAAACCTTATGGCATTTTTTTCCTCTTTTTCTTTCTCTTTTCCTGTAAATATGCCATTAATTTGTAATAAATTAAAAAAAAGAAAAGAAAATCCTAATTTTTTCGCGAAAAGAAAATTATGATGAGAAAAGGCATGTTGTGTGGCGCTGTTTTTAATCTAATATCACCGATATGCTGCTCATTCTGCATACAGGTGATGCAAACTGGACCTCGCATCTCTAAATCACTGAGCTGTGCACGTTCTAAGAAGCTTGTTAACAGATCTGCGAAACTTTTCACTTCGCACAGAGTAGATAAACGGGTCTAAGGTGGCATTCAAGTAGTACACTGTATTTATCCAGACTTGAAGTTTTGGGTATAACCAATCATTTTTTCGAACTACTGAGTAAAATATCACTGAGGGTAACCAGCAAAGTGCGTACACACCCAATACGATAGCCATTGTCTTGGCTGACTTGCTCTCCCAGAGGAGTTGAGTTGGCCGCACATTATAGTTAGCTGGCATTGAAGTAATTTTCTTTTCGTGTTTTAAGGCAACAAAGAACATATAAAAGTAAAGAATGAATGTAACCAGAAGCAGCAAGATGCAATAGGTGTTTTGAACGTAAATAATATTTAAACCATGGAAAATACCGGTTACTATTGCACCCGAGGTCCAAGATAGGAAGGAACATACTGTTGCTTTTGTCTTTGTGAACAGAGACTTGTAACGAAATGGAAAAGCGATGGCTATGAAACGCTCCAAGGCGATGAAGAATAAACTCGTTGAGGAAGCAGTGACAATAAACTGAGCCAGTACACGGTGCAACAACACCAATGTTTTGTCCACGTGACAGAGTCCCATTCTTTCACACACGTGACGTGCGATATCGCCTGGTATCAGCACTGTCACGGTCAGTAAATCAACACAAGCCAAATTCGCTATCAAGATGTTGGAAACTGTTGAGAAACGAAGCACCACGAAAATCACCGCTAATACGAGAAGATTTCCTAACGTCCCAAATATTGAAATGAGTCCATCAAGTACAATAACAGCTCCACCTGTCGCATCAGTGAAGATGGCGAAGTGAGTGGTGTTTTGATGCATTCTCCCACCCACTCGATGTGGCTAGAGAACTGGAAACGAGAAAAATGGAAGGCATTTTGTACACGTTACAAACCTAAGAAATCATTCATAAACAAATTAGGACTACCCGATAAGACGTATACTTTAAGGGGTCATTTATGGCCATGATTTAAAATTTTATTTTCCATGCATACCTTGTCAGATAAAGATATAATTCGAGATTTCCTGGACTGGCGCCTTAGAGCGTCCTTTCATTAGTTGAGATAACTCGCTCCAAACCTTTCAAACAAGCACAGGAGAGTCTATAACCAATAACGGAGTACATTTCCCTTGAATTTGTTGGTGCAGTATCAGGTGTAATACTAAGAGGGGCTATGCATATACATGCATAGTCGTCAAACTGTTATAGAAACTGAATGCTTTTATATGTTTTTACTTCGGCTTCAACGAGAGATATAAATATATATTTTGATATTGGTCACTTTTTTTTTTCATGTGCCTCAACAACTTGTTATCAAATATTTGACCTTTCTTGGATTGAGTGACCATTTCACTGTGGCCTTTTCGCTTTTGAACTAAATTCGAATGAAGACCACAGTGGAATACTTAAAGGCCTCTGAAACTCCCACTTTACAGGTTAATCAATCTAAGTTAGGGACTGGACAGCTTATTTTAACAGAATACAACAAAAAGTCGTCAAAAACATAGTACATTCACCATTTTCAAAACAAATAATTGAGTACGAAAACGTTACTAAAATATCATTAATTGGCTTGCTTCAGTTTACTGAGAATTCCATGCGAACTCCGTGGCCGATAGCTGCTATTGGAAGCCTAAACATCTTAAAATTTAATATTTGGAATAATTATCTTAAATAATCAGTGTAATGACATGATGTGACGAAATTCTGTGAGTTCAGCCAGCAACTGAAGAAGAGAATTGTTTTCTGAACATTTTTGGCAGGCAAAACATTTTAAACAAATTAAAGCGTCATCAACTAAAAGTTTAACGAGAACTGATTCTTTTTAGAAGTGTTCATTCCATTAGTATCGCCCCGATCACCTATCAGCAGTGTTGCTACTCGCGGACCAGAAGAGATTGTAGATGGAGAGAGCGCTTTAGTGTTTGATTGTATCTTACTTGCTCTGACAACTGTGAACACTTCACCTCTGTCAGCTTTGCTGTAGAACGTTCACTCGACTGAAAAACGCTGTGAAGAGGTAGTTTCTCTGACCGGAGGGAGTCAAAGAATGTACTACTTGTTTTTTCTACGTACATAAAGTGAAGCACCTACTTATCGCTAACCTGAACAATATTGTTTATTTTCATATGGTTGAATGAACTGTGCCTATATATTTATCTCATTAAGACTCTGGTTATACGTCGACAATTGACATGCATGCCACGAAGTTTATTGATTTGAACTCATCTTTCACTCAACTCTATTGAACTGAGATAAAAAGGATATATTTGATTCAAGAAGATTGCCTTCCCCTACTCCTATATACCATTAAATCCTCCTCTTCGTAGGGCTTGAGGAATATGTGGGAGTGTTTGAAGGATCACTTCTGCTTATGGTAACTGAAACGACGCAAGTAAAGTTAAATCTTATATTGGACTCATATTTCAATATCTAACGGCATTGAGTGTAACCCGCAGAACCCACCGGAACACAGAGATCAGTCATGAATGTTCTGGCATCACTTGCTTATGTTTAGGTACAGCCGAAAATGCGGGATTGACTTGGCCAAAAGGGTTGAAATATCCTCAGTTTATTTTTGTCGTGTAATCGTAATTCCAGAAGCCTAGCATGGTTCGCAGTTAACCCAAATCACCATACTTAGTTCAATTTTCTTGTTTAAAAATCTTGAACCACAACTATTCCGTTATAATCGAGTTTAAAATATTTTTCTCCATTTTTCTCTCTCATTTTTCGTCTATTTGAGCAGCGAAAATACTAACACGAGTCAGTCTCGAAGCAAACCGCACGTAGTAAATCTTGGGCTAGCAAATTCACGACCGGCGTAGAGCTGACTGACAAATCACCAGGGGTCGTATAACAAGACCTCAGGTGTGACATGAAAAAGTTGGACAGGCAGGGTCATCCCTTCTTGCCGTGTAACCCTTGTTGAGACTCGGGTTTGAATTTCTTCTTCTTTTTTCTTTTTTTTTAATGTAAACACCGAGCTATCTCAGGTCAGGTTTGTACTTTCTCCAAAATAACAATTTTCGTCTCGTCGTGTCTATTATCCACTGACTTATCGTTGGGTTTTTTGGTCGCTAGAAAGTTTCCCCACAAAGTAGGTCGTTCTCAAATCAAAACATATGCGAATATAGGGGTAAGTTTCCAAAGAAACCGTGATGCTGCTTCGGTGAGGGTAACAAGGTAACTGCTTTTATTCGCTCCGACGAAGGGCTAACGCTCGAAACNTTAGCCCTTCATCAGAGCGAAGGGCTAACTCTTTCAACGTCAGGTTTTTAACCTCAGTTTACGGTGGCCAATTTACATTATCGACTTAGTTAATAAAACCAAATCATATGCGAATATAGACTGGCTACCAGGATTCGTGTAAAAAGTACCTACATTATTTGGCACTCTCTGTGTTGATTCAAAGTGTAAACTTAAGTCGTTTTATTTCAAGAGACTTTTAAACGTTTTTGATGGTGACAACTTTCGTACCTTTAAAATAACTTGTCCTGAGTGTCGCCGGGTAAATACCCTTGTTGCGTGCACTTCTTAAGCAGCCTATTTATTTAGTCTATCTATATTATTAAGTTGATGATTATAAGAGAAGGTTGGGTTGGAGTTTAAACCTGTAGGGGACTTATGTCCTATTGTTTTTGCTCCGGTACTGCTTTGTACAAGTCCTTAAATAAATAAATAAATAAATAAATAAATAAATAGGGCTCTTGATCAGAGAGACATTTAAGCAATGTTAGTTATGAAGAGGAGCACAGGAGGCAGGATTTCTGTCTGATTGTCATTAATCTGAAAGATCTCGGAAAGCTTTTCTGCGATCTACTTTCCTGAGAAACCATTGCAGTAATGCTAACCATACGTTAAATTACAATTAATATTTTTGCGTAAATCTGAATTTACTAACAGTTTAATTTTGAATTTTTAAATTTCTTTGCTTTACAATAAATAAAATCTTTCTCTAGATAAAATATAATCATCATGATATTAAAGTCCTAATATCCACATGTTTTGCACCTGTAAGGTATCCTGTCATGTTCCTCAGTTATACATGCTTTGGCAGGGTTCTCTTGGAAACTCAAGTCATTGGGTAGTCCCGGCCAGTTGTCAGCTGTAACGAATCATACAAGACTTTACCACCTTTCTTATTGTCTTGCGAAAGTTCGCGCTTCGTACGCAGTAAATATATGGATTTAAAGAAGCATTTAAATAGTATATTATGTTGATCCAGGTCTGTATGTCGAAGTATCTTGGATTATTCGGAAAAACAACTGAGTAAAATATAAGAGCTGGGATCCATGCAGCACAAAATACACCAAGAATTATTGCCATTGTTCTCGTCGACTTTCGCTCATGTAAAAAGTTTGTATTTCGTTGCACGTTCGAAATCTGTAAACTGGCGATCTGCCTCTCTTTTTTCAGTGCAAACAAGAAGATATGAAGGTACAAAATTATTGTCACCAATATAATGACAGTGCAGTATGCAGGCTGTATATAAACAAAGTTCAATACCATAAAAACAGCCGATATACATGCCCCTAAAAGCCATGTAAGGCAGATAAGAACGACTGCACGTCGTTTTGTCATAATAGAAGTGTATTTGAAGGGATATTTAATGGATAAAATACGGTCTACGGCGATCGATAGTAAACTTGAGACCGCAGCAGGTGCGATGAACTGCGAAAGTGCACGATTTGCCACGACAAACTCTTCTGGGACGTGACAAAAACCTTTCCTGCACAGATATTTATAGATGCCACCAGGAGCAACGACAAACAGACTTAGTAAATCAATTAGGGCCAGGTTACCAAGAAGCAGGTTAGATGGTGTTGCAAGTCGAATGTTGAGCAAAATAACCATAAGTACCAGTAGATTACCCAGTGTACCCAAGATAATAAGTAATCCGTTTATTGTGACAGCTGATAGAAGTAAGGCCAGGTTCGGAGGTGCCACTGAAGGGCTTGGACTTGATGTCATCGTGGTTTTCTTCTGAAAGTTTGTTAAATAATCGATTAGGATCATTATTTTGGCTTTTGTCTTTGCCACATATCTTATCGATGTTATTACGTTAAAGTAAGAGTATGTGGATAAATGGCCACCCACAGGAGCATAGTGATAATGTCCGTCATGAGCGGACGGATTTCCTCCGTTGTGAAATATCACCGCCCATTCTAGAGAGAGTTAAAAATAGTTTGACATCAGCCTCTGATGATGTTCATAAAGATGAAGACGATGCCGAAGTAAGTAAGATAGGCTGTCCTTATCTTATCACTGTGCGACTCGCAGGTTACCCGGCAGCCTTATTTAGTGCTCCCTGTTAAATTGAAATGCTTGCAAAATATCGCTCACCCTTCCATATATTGGAGCAATTCAACTGGTGAAGGAGGTAATAAATATTTCTAAGTGCATGGTCTTAACTGTCAAAACACAATTTAGTCAATTCAGTCTCTTTTCCTGACAGTTATCCATGAAGATAGACTGTAGTCAAATTTTTCTCTAACTGAAGAAGCCTTGACGATTTGTACGAGTACTACATAGTGAAATTCACATATGACACACTATAAGTACGGGTATACAGGAAAGAAAGACATGACACCCTGGAAAGTTTTCTTGCTTTCCGTTCATTCAGTGCGCGAATCGAATCTTGACCTTTTACCTACTGTACCATACCAATTGAACATTTTGAAGAGGTAATTACTCTACAAAATAGTGCGACATTTCACCCGGTAATTAAACTTCTTGGCGAAATATAGAATTGCATCCTGAAGGGAAAAGTTTGAAAATGAACCATTTTATTATCAGATTAGTTGTTTTTTTCAACTTTCACACGCCGTGATTCACTTTTTCGTTTATCTTCAGTAATAAAAACTTTGCGAAATTCACTCGAGATAAATACTTGCCTCTTTAACAAATTAAGGAGTTTCCGCGAAACAGTTAAGTTCGAGAACTTACCTAAGAAGGAACAAAACCGCGACAACTGATCATTTGCTCTTCCTGACAGCAATGGTCGTTCCGAAGTGAACTCAGTCAAGGAACAAAACACACGACTTGAGTTCCAAACAGAAAACAACTAAACAAAGCCAGTACAAGCCGTTTATCACAATACAACCGAGTGACTGACACTGTAAAGTTGCTGCCAGGTCTGCTTGGCTGAGGATCTTTGTTAAATTCCACAATAATCAGTCTTTTTCGCAATCGCAGGTACAACAGAGCATGTTACAGAGGGCGTATGACGTTCTCTGATCAAGATTTTGAACTGCACTGAGTTGTTTCACAGCAATATCGCATCTAATTCGAGAAAATCAGGTGATACTAGAGGCCTGTTCCATCCCTACAACAGGGTTATATATAGTCAGTACTCTGCGCATATATATCCTTTTGATTACATTGAGATGCTTTAATAGGTAATGATATTCTTATGTGTACGTGTAGAGGAAATACACTTAATATATAACAGCCTTTACCGGCATATACTTCGACGTTTTATTGCCGGTTAAGGATGAAATATTTTCCAGAGGCAATTCTATTCAGAATTGGCAATAAAATAGGCTTTTGTTAACTCATGCCAGTTTATTGTGGTCGGCCATGACCTTATTGTGTTGTTGTGATACAGCACAATTTATGACTTTTAACGTGAACTATTTTGGTGCTCAATTAAATTTACAAAATTCTTTCCTTGTTGATTTTTGGGGGGTTTACTATATTGCAATGCTATTTCTCCCTTGCACGACTACATTTCACCGGAAGATTAGATCATGACTTGTTGACTTTCGGGTGCCAGTTTTGAATATCTGTCTTTCTGTGTGTTTCAGTGAGGGACACAAGGTGAAAGCTTATGTCTGAGAGGCATTAAAAAATGAAAGCAGATGATGACCTTACAAATATGTTAGTCAACTATGAGACGTCAAATAGGTATATTGTAAGTTATTTGAATTGATATCAGACCAACAATACTCGTGAACAATATAATTTCGTGGTTATAGCCTACAGCCTCTGGTAAAACCAACTGCTCAGAGTTATTTTAAACACCGTGTAATGCCCGACTCATTAAAATGACCTCTCCTTTGTGTCACTGAAATCTGACTAAACAGGCCTTCACGTAATCTTCAAGAATAGCACACCCCTGCAAATCAAATCAAACAATTCTCAAAAAATCGCAAAATCGTTTAGAACTAAAACCGGCGTAGTTTTAACAAGGTCTCGGCACTTATGTACGTCTTAGACACTTGTTACTTAACTGTCAGCCAGCGAATTTAGTCTCACTATACGTCTGTCTTTTAGATCGGCCATCTTGATTTTTACCCTTCAGTCTCTGTTAGCTTTGTGTAACTAACGAGGCAGGAGAGCAGTTAAGAGCCTGGAGAATACTAGGTTTGCCTGTATCAAGTTACCATGAAAGTTTTGGCCGATTATCATGTGCTTTTCACGTGAAACCAAACGTTCAAGAGTAAATTTGAGCTTGTTGGTCATCGTCTCAAATGTGCTGACGAAACACTAGCCCGTTGCCCTTTTGATGAGAAGACAAATTAGCGTGACCGATATTTTAAGTTCAAATACAAAAAAAATCACGAAATGAAGCCAAAAGGTATCCTTTTGGCTTCATTTCGTGATTTTTCTTTGTATCCTTTGTATCTTCTGTATATTTCTTTGTATCCTTTGTATATTTCGTGATTTTTCTTTGTATCCTTTTAATCCCTTTGCAATTTTATTGCTTTATTGTTTCTATATATATCTAGTTTCGAGGTCCTTTTTGAAAACCATATTTGTTATGAAAAAGTTTCCCCAATAAAGATGATTATTATTAAATATTACGTTACTCTAAAGATAAAATTTTTTTACAACAGTCTGAATGATCCAGACTAGTGAAGGTAGTCATCGAAGACTCAAATATTAGCTAGAAACCAAATTTCTCACAATTATAAATATGTGATTGTGCGGTAGATTCTCTGACACCTCGTCTTGTTTTAAAGCCACACACTGTAGCTACGCTAAGCGTCAACCAGTCACTAAACAAAGGCTAAAAATTTCAAAGAAATTATTCATTCAGTAAAGCTGTTCCAGAAATACCAAAACCGAATCAAATTAAACACTGAGTTTAAAATACAACTTGACCCAATCTCCCGCGCAACCTCGGAACGGCCAATAGAGCATGACATATCGGATCTTCAAAATTACTAGACCCTTTAATATTGCCGGACTAAATAAAATTAGCTTTTACAATCTCGTATATTCTGTACTATAAATCACACTAACCTTACATTAAATGAAATGAATGGCTCACAACTTAGAAATTACAATGCTAAGTAAAATGGGAATAAAAGCCAACCCTTTTGATTCTATTAAAGTCCTCGAAACGTAATAAAATACGTGACACTTTGTAATGTCCCTGACAACTTGTACGGCTGTAAACAGACAGAGATAAACGTTGTAGTGTATATACCTTAGGAATTAGTCGATAAAAAATCATAATTTTTCTCTTTTTAACGAGCTTCACCCAAGCTCTTTAGGTCTTGCAAAGCCTCTCATCTACTTCTTGTCATCATTACAACTGTAATACGTGTCATTTTCATCATAATTATGAACTAGGAACTATCAAGTGGTGTTGTCAAATCAGTCTCCTTAAAGCTTTTGCAGAAGGAAAGTAAAAATAGTACGATTACGATGAATAACCATTCAAAGAAACTCTCTTTCTAGATTTTAGGTAAACAGTTATCATAATAGCATTGTTTACTGAATCAAGGAGTTAAATTCCTCCAGGCGCGAGCTGAATTTTCTGAACTCTGCATCTCCCCACGCCTCCCACACGACTAACTGATAACGCTCCAAACCGCGATCTGCAGCATCAGCGCGCCCTCTCGGAGTTTCCAGCCGACGTAGACAGACCACCTTGTCTGTGCCACTGCTAACAATTTCATCCACTTGACCATTCTCGTAACCTAGAAGATTGTCGCTCTCGAGTTGAGCGAACACGTGACCCAATGGAACATCATTATTGACTGAGTTGACGTTCACTGTGAGTACGTCCCCAACTCCTCGTCCAATCCACAACGTGCCATTCACTAACAAAAGTGCTGTCACACGATTTATTGTGCCAGCAAGTATTCGTAGCCGAGGTCTCGCTGTCCACGGTTTACTAGGCGGTGATTTGCTGCCTTCATCTTTCTCCTGCCGCCGTTGAGATTTTCTCCTCGTTGAACTCATAAGCGAGGGAGCTCGAGAGGGTGAATTGAAAGGCTGTATTAACGAGGTCATAGAAGCACATGTAGGGGAAATTGATTTTTCAGCTTGACGAGTTTCTTCGCGATCAACGAGCTCAAATTCTGCACCTTCCCTTTCGTCGGCAGGTTCTCTAGTCACATTATCTGTCTCTTTTTCAACTTCAACATTGTTGTCTCCTGTCTGTTTCTGGATTTCAATTATAATTTCAGGCTTAGTTTTAACTGATAATGTATCCCTTGCGCCATGCTTGAAAGTAGCGTCACTGCTCGATTCTATTTCTTCCTTGCCATTGTTTTGATTAGTATCAAATGTCGCTGTTTTTTCGACTAAAATTGAAACATTTTCGGAAGTTACTGAAGCACAATCTTCGTCTGTTTGCAAATCTTCAGTTTGAGCGTAAGATTCCCGCGGGGTAGTGCCAGCCTGAATGGACACTGAGCTACTTCTCATTGTATTTTTGCTACGAGAGAGAGAAATTCCACTCTCGTCGGAATCGGCTTCCGCTGAATGGGACCGAAAACAGGATAATCTCTGCACCTGTTTCGAATCCATATTTCCAAAATTCTCATGAAGATCATTTCCTGTTGCGTTACGACCAAAGTCAGAATCACTTTGACGAGGAAGTGAATCATCTCTACCCACGGAATCTGTTCTCTCGCCTTCTTCATTCATACTACGAGCCATCGCTTCTTTAAACATCGATTCAGTGAAAGATGGCTCGTACATGTCTGGTGGGTCACTAACTGTTCTGTCCCGGCGAGAAGAGCGTTCATCATCACCTTTTCTTGAGGTGAAACGGCGGGATTCCATTATGTTTGTGTTTAAGACTTGTCCAACTGGATTGTTGACATCACAATCAAAAATATTAGTCAGCTGACGACTGTTCACTTCCCATTGTAAAATTTTCGATGACCTCCTGTCCGCACACCAAACACGGAGTCCGTCAGTTACCATGATCCGAACATGCGTCCTCTGCGTTTGGTACACAGCAATCTCGTCTAGAATGGCCAAGGTGTTGGTATCCACTATCACAATCTTGTTGCCGCATCCAACCCACAGTTCTTTATTATCGAAAACAAGAACCATACATTTGGCGGGCATACCAGACTGACCAAGGTTAACAACCTAGAAAATAAGCGACCACACCTCTGTATCAGTGCTGCCTGACTTATTTGTTCATAAAAATAACAACACATTTAAAACTAAATTTATAAGACATGTTTCGGTCGTTCAACGACCATCTTCAGATGAGAGTGGAACTGATTTGAAGTTACGTTTGAATTTATAATGTAGTACCAAACAAAAGCTATTGAAACTAACAGAATACCCAAAGGTAACAAAAGAGTGTGTAATATGACGTGTTAATTAGAACGAAAGAGTTAAATTAACGTGATATAATTGCTTGTTTAAAGAAGGTTGCTCCCAGAAAATATGTAGCGCTTCTTTTATCTTGACCTGAAATCTTGTGGTCGCATGATCTATAACTTTAAAACACTCAGCAGAGCAGGAATTGCGGCATGCTTGGGATTGTTGAAGATGTTGAAAGATATGTGAGGTCCTGTCCCTGTCTAAGTATTCGCGAATGCGTGTCGAAAGGTGTCGGCTAGTTTCGCCGACATAGCAAGAATTACAGCTTGCACAGGTTAACTTGTAAACAACATTCGAACGAAGTTCGACAGGCATAGGGTCCTTCACACGAAACATGTTGCGGATCTTGAAGGAGGAAAAGGCTAACTTAACATCGAGATTGTTACAATGACGTTGAAGTAATTTACGTAATCTGTTTTGTGCTACAATAGAGAAGGGGCCGACATAAGGTAATTTGAAAAAATGTGTAGAATTGGGGGTAAGACTTGCAGGAATAATCGAAGAGATCTGAGTTTTGGTAATATACTGCCTAATGAATTTCTCAACAATATGACTTGGGAAAATGATTTTACGAAAGATTACTAACAATTTCTTGATGTCCTCATGAAACCCTGGCCATGAGTTGTTGATCTTGTATGTTCTGTCACCTAGTGTCCTGATTAAGCCGAGTTTGTAAGAGAAAGGGGTAAAACTAAAAGAAATAGTTAATAAACTAATTATTTAGTGCTATCAAGAAAGACCCCACCTTGTTAAGAGAAGGCAGGCTACAACGTTTCCTTTGGAAACTTCTAAAGATTGGCCATTTGGACCACAGTGTTTCTGACAAAATCTATCCCTCTGGTTCCCAACCTGCTCGAATCTACGGCCTCCCCAAGATGCACAAGGCCCGGGATCCGAACTCAATACCTCCGTTCCGTCCTACAGTTTCTTCTGTTGGAACTTACAACTATGAGCTGGCTAAGTATTTATGCACTCTTTTGGAACCTTGTATTCCATCTGAACACTGTGCTTTAGACACTTTTACTTTTGTTCATGAAATCAATGAATTGCCATTATCGGGAAACTTCGTGGTTTCCTTTGATGTCGAAAGTTTGTTTACTAACATACCCTTAGAGGAGTGTGTCAACCTAGCGGTTGACTACATCTCCAAGGGAAACCCTGATCTCCAGTTAACGAAAACTGAACTCCGAAATCTTTTTAATTTTGCCACTGCTAAAACACATTTCTTGTTTAAGGGTTCGTTTTTCGATCAAACTGATGGGGCGGCAATGGGCTCTTCCCTTGCCCCGGTGTTGGCCAATCTTTTCATGGGCCACCATGAAAGGATTTGGCTGGAAAACTATAATGCCTCCAGTATTTTATTTTACCGACGCTCAGTTGACGATACTTTTTGTTTATTTGACACTGAACATGATACTACTTTGTTTTTTGACTACATCAACGACAGGCATACTAACATACGTTTCACCATGGAAAAAGAGATGGATTAAAAAATCCCCTTTTTGGATGTTCTGATTGATAACAGTCAACCTCAATCTCCTATTACCAGGGTCTATAGTAAGAAAACTTTTACCGGTTTATTAACTAATTATTTTAGTTTTACCCCTTTCTCTTACAAACTCGGCTTAATCAGGTCACTAGTTGACAGAACATACCAGATCAACAACACACGGGCAGGGTTTCATGAGGGCATCAAGAAAATGTCAGTAATCTTACGTAAAAACCTTTTCCCAAGTCATATTGTTGAGAAAGTCATTAGGCAGTATATTACCAAAACTCAGATCTCTTGGAATATACCTGCTAGTCTTCCTCCCAATTCTACACATTTTTTCAAATTATCTTATGTCGGCCCCTCTGTTGTAGCACAAAACAGATTACGTAAATTACTTAAACGTTATTGTAACAATCTCGATGTTGAGCTAGCCTTTTCCTCCTTCAAGATCCGCAACACGTTTCGTGTGAAGGACACTATGCCTGTCGAACTTCGTTCGAATATTGTTTACAAGTTAACCTGTGCAAGCTGTAATTCTTGCTATGTCGGCGAAACTAGCCGACACCTTTCGACACGCATTCGCAAACACTTAGAAAGGGACAGGACCTCACATATCTTTCAACATCTTGAACAATCCCAAGCATGCCGCAATTCCTACTCTGCTGAATGTTTTAAGTTATAGATCATGCGACCACAAGATTTCAGGTCAAGATAAAAGCGCTACATATTTCCTGGGAGCAACCTTCTTTAAACAAGCAATTATATCACGTTAATTTAACTCTTTCGTTCTAATTAACACGTCGTATTACACACTCTTTTGTTACCTTCGGGTATTCTGTCAGTTTCAATAGCTTTTGTTTGGTACTACATTATAAATTCAAACGTAACTTCAAATCAGTTCTACTCTCAACTGAAGATGATCGTTGAACGACCGAAACATGTTTTATAAATTTAGTTTCAAATGTGTCGTTATTTTTACAAAACTTGCTGTCAGTCTGCTCCTTTCCAGACTTATTTGTTCCCTTTCTCGTTTTTGTCAGATAACTCCTACTTTGTTTTCCTTGCATTGGTTACCTGTCTGCTTCAGAATTGAATTTAAATTACTTATTTTAACATTCAAGGCTATCCACGGGCTGGCACCTTAGTACATTACGGTTCTAATTAACGTTAAGCAACATTTCGGACGTATGATCACGGTTACGATCTCAGTCTGAACTACAATTATTGCCAACCAGGACCATAACTAAGAAAACTTTAGGTGGTAGATCATTCATGGCATCTGCTCCTAAACTTTGGAACAGATTGCCATCAAATATAAGAGCAGTAAATGATCTTAATTGTTTTAAAACACCTCTTAAAACACATCTCTTTAGACAGGCGTTTTCATGTTAGCTTTTATAGTTCGCTTTCATATTTTATTTAGATACAATGAAATATATGAAGTTCATATATTTTGAACTGCGGTATTAGATACGTATGATGCACGATCCTCGCAGTAGACAGCGCTATCTAAGCAATAGCGAAAATCAATCTACTGCGAGGATCGTGCATCATACGTATCTAATACCGCAGTTCAAAATATATGAACTTCATATATTTCATTGTATCTGATTTATCACTTTCACGGGTTTATTACGAATCAACTTAACGGCCTGCTCCCAGTTGGCTTGTTAGCTCAATTGGTAAAGCGCTGCACTAGTATCGCAAAGGTCAGTGGTTCGAATCCCGTACAGGCCTGATTTTTTTCACGTCTGATTTTCGCTATTGCTTAGATAACGCTATCTGCTGCGAGGATCGTGCATCATACATATTTTATTTAGTTAGTCAAATTGTATACATGATTCTTAGCCTTCTATAGTTCTTTTTCACATTTTATTTCGTTTAGTTTTATTGTATAGCGCATTAGATCATATCCACATGTATTTTGCGCTATATAAGTAATAAATTATTTATTATTATTAATTAATCACCAAAGAGTAACCCACAACATGTAAGTGCCAACAGAATGCTCCTCGGCTCTCGAATCAATGAATTTTGATCTAGTATAATCCTGTGTCACGGTGTGAACTTATACGTAATGCCATGTTCGCAATATAGCGTGCAATCGTTAACAACAAACTGTTTCGATCTCTCATTTTCACTAACATTTAGGTTAGTTTTTTCTCCTTTCTTACTTCCCGGAACTAAAACAAACGATAAAACAGGGAACAAACCTGAAAGTTAGACCACTTGTCGCTTTCTTTTTTCAAACGGGTATCTTCATCCTTCGTTTCTAGAGTGACATCAGCATGTGAAAATGTTCGTGCTAGTCTCGTTTTAGGAGTGAACACTATCAGGGTACCATTCGCAAGAGATGCAAAAACACTCCTAACTCTTGGGCCACCCTATCATTAAAAAAAAAGACAGAAACCTTATTTAGATGTAAAGTTCGAGATACTCTTGTCTTGGAAGTTAAAAAGCTAAATTGCAGTGTTTGTGCCTAGCTAAATTCCGTCTTAAAGTATCACTTTCCCATCCACCTCTAATCGGCGCTAGGACAGTTGAAGTTTAGCGATGTTACTTTCAGTTTTTTTTATTTCAGTTACGTTGTGTTTTAAACGCTACAAGTACACAACGAAGAAGCTCTCTCTGAAAGAGAAATTTATCCTTTGTGATCGGTCCTCAGTTTGAAATTCACTGAGGAAGGGTAAAAGTAAGGATAGTTCTTAGATAAACACATTGACAGTGGTTCCAAAATACAAATAAATCAATATAAAACCTAAAACCTCGGCAACTATATCAAACAGCTAATTAGTGAAATTGTTCCACAAATAAACATTGTAGCTATACCTCCTGCTCTGCCTTTTCAGGAGAGTCATCATCTGCAGGGACGTACTCCGTCAACAGCGCAAGAACCGGAGCCTTAGTGGTATACGACCACAGAGTTGAGGGATTACGCCATGACGTCCGTCCAAACACCTCTACAGTGCACCCCTACAAAAATAGTCCCTTCTCAGATTGACTCTTTTCTAGACATCACAAATAAACGATATGCAACCCCAGCACAATTTTTTTTTTATATTTAGTTTCGAAATTAATCCTATTCACACCTAAAGTGCTGCAACGAAGAAGCCTTTCTTTTCAGCTTGTTTGTGAGAAATGTATTTCTTGCCAAAATAACAAGATTTATTTACCTCTGTGCCAAGCCAAGTTCGATTATCAACTCTCGTCATGCAAAGCACTCTATGTCCGTCACAGTTTTGTCCTTGTGTGTGGAACACTCCTGTCTCACAGTTGATCAAACTGTAGTATCGATCATTTCGCTCACGACTCCAAATCAGAATAAAGCTCGAAGCAATCTCCGTTGAAGGACCATCCATGGCTGCAGGGACTTTGGGATTGCCTGCAAGAATGTACAGGTAACCCATAACAATTTAGCAGGTACATGGACAGGTACATGTAAAGTCTTACAGCGTCACCTTTTATGGATGGAGAAGACCCAAAATGAACCAAAGAGAAGACGCACACACACACATCCACGCGCACTGGTACTAACGGATCAAATAACAACAAGACGCCGAGTCTTACCAGACGCAACATTTGATAAGGCATAAATTGCTGTAACTTTCTCCAACAAGTTTTCATCAGTGGTTGGCAACAGTCGACACTGACATAGGAAAGCTGGATCTTCCATCTCTGTCAAAATCTCGCCTGCAGAAGGACGTCTCTCTGGTAACTGATGCCAGCATGACCTACAGGATGCAAAGCAAAATAATTTACGACGCCCCTTGCAAGATAAAGTAGGAATGAGTATTGTGTGTGACCTGAATTTAGCTAAGCATTGACTCACACGACCAAAACCCCTATTATAATTTTACAAGCATCATCATATGCAGAAAATGTATTTAACATCTTCCTGCGATGTGTAATTCAGTCAGTTTTACTTTCTCTTTTTCTTCCTTTCCCTGTAAGGCAACTTCGTGGTCTCAAAGAAGCCTAGCAATATCAATAACCTGAATGTTTCTGGACAATCTGACGGGGGTATTCAGAGCGTGAAACAGAGGTATATTACTAACAAATTCTTGCCTCATAAGCCGCTCTAGTCTTGGTAACTGTGAATCTAACTCAAGCTGAGGTGAAGGCCGCACCCCTCTCCGAATCGCTTTCTTGATGTCCACGACATTGCGATAATCACTAAAAGGACGACACCCTGTCAATAGCTCAAACAGAAAAATTGCAAAGGAGAAAATATCCACCTGGAACAAAAAAAGGGAAACATAATTAGTGCACTTTGACAGCTTTTACAAAAAAGGTAACAGAATATCGGTTAACCTCTCTACCGTTGTTACAAAGTCTGTGGTTTTATTACCTTTTCATCGTAACCGACTCCTGTACGAATTTCCGGAGCCTGATATCCTGGAGTCCCTTCCTCTCCGGCAACTCCTTGGGGTGTGGCGAAACACGAGATTCCGTAGTCAGATAGTTTGACGTTCAATAAAGCGGACTCTACCAAGGACCAAACTAAAACATTGTCGGCCTTAAGATCTCGATAGATAATGTCACAGTCATGGAGATACCAAAGGGCACTCACGATCTAAGGCGAAAAGAAGAGTTAGTAGTCTTAAAAGGTATTGCAAATGTGCTTTGTTTTCCTTTGGAGCTTTAGTGCGGAAGCAAAAGCAGAAGCAAGCCAGGACAACACCCGGATGCCTGCGAAGGAATTCTGACTTTCGAACTTGCTTTAGTTCAACTTTGTTTGTTTGTTTATTGGTTGTCGATCTGTTTCCCTGTCGACACCTTAAGGAAGGACGTAAGCAGTTAGAGCGGTAAACGCTTTCAAGTCACCGCGTACGTAAAAAAACTCTTGAGAAAGAAACGATCATGTGTCAACACCATCAGAATCCTACAGTTAAACAGCCACCATAAGATTTTTTGTGTAACTCTTCTTTGGAGGTACCTGAAGACACCTTCCCCTTCAAGAGTGATCCCCTAAGGCGTCGGTCATTTCTCTACAGCAGCTACATAGTCTTAACATGTACCTGAAAAGCAATGTTGTATGATAATTCACGCCCAAGAATTGCCTCCCTACTACTGGCCACTTGGCTGCATTCGTTCTCTTGAGCTTCACGCTTGGTTGACAGCTCGTCAAGGACTGTAGCTAAACTACCATAAGGAGCGAGCTCTAAAACAAAGCATAACGGATGAAGGGAAACGGCAAGAAGTCTGACGACACACGGGTGGTTCAATCGGCAAAGGACTGCAACCTAAAAAACACCATCAAAAAGAAAATTCTTACTACAATTCCAAAATTATCAACAAGAGCAATTTTTTTAATTAAAGAACTAATTAAGAAAAGAAATTGGGCGGTTTGAAGTACATCTGAATATTCTCCAATCATATACCATTTGCAGCATATTTGGGAGATGTGGCTGGACTTAGTTTCTGATGAATAATGACCATCTCTGTCAGTATTGTAACTTATTCATTACTAATGCTTTTTCCGTGGAGAGAGACTTAGGAAGAGGTGAGGTTCCTACCGTGTGTGTAATGTCAATTGAGGTTAGAACTAGAAGCAACAGCTGTAAGTAAGAAAAGCGACTGCTCGAACGTTTACTAGCAAATAAACGACCTGTTAGAGACGTGTGGTCCGTAATGTAAATGAAAAAGCTCTCGGAAGTGAAACGAAGGGGATTGGGGTAAGGAAGGGGAGTGTAAAGAGAAACAAGACACTGCTGATTACTTTTGTTATTACCTCTTGACGCAAGTCCCAGAAAGCTTTGACAACCTTAGTCCTTTCCAGTTCCTCCTCCATATCCCGTTCAATGTTGGCGGTGTACACATCTGATCTGCGCCCGCTGGAGCCCTCACTCAGATGGGACCTATAACAAGACCCACTTAAAGTCCTGGATCCAGGAGAAGGCCCAGTGTTCCCAAGTCCACTGTCCAAGAGTGAGCTGCACATCGAGAAAGAGTGAAATATACCCTACATGTTACGAGGAGCAATTTACCAATTCTAATGAATTGTATTTAAAAATATCTTTCTTTATTATATGGCTGTGTCTCACAAGGACTGGGAACTACCGAATTCCCGAATTTGATTGGCTCATATCAATATTGAAAGAGGTCTAGATTTTACCATCTAGACCGGCATCWAGACCGGTGTAGAAAAAAAAGGTACAAAGAATATAAAATATTGGCATATAAGACACAGCCATATAATAAACATCTTATTAACCGAGCTAGGTCGGTCTGTATGGGGGAATCTTGACCTCGGTCGCTAGTACAGACCTCACTGCGTTCAGTCTGTACTGGCGACCTCGGTCAAGATTCTCCCATACAGACCTCCCGCTCGGTTAATAAGAACTAAATAATATCTATCTAGCTCTTAAGCCAGTTCCAGGAGCCCAATCTATGATGTTTGAGCACCAATTATCTACAAAGTCCATACGACACGCATCCTACAGACGAACATGATCTATAATAATAAAAGACTCATGAAAAGAATACGACAAAAAAGTTACATTTACATTTCTGACATTTACCCAGTTTGGCCTGTAGAGTGGAACATTTTCACCGCCACAGTCTCGTTTCTATATGATCCACTATACACTTCACCAGAGCCACCACCGCCAATCTTTTGTGATTCTCGCGGGTCGAAATTGAATTGAGTTTCCTCCACAAGTAACTGCCGGGGTAGGTCCGCCATTAACAAATCTGGGATAAGAAGCGATATGGACACCACTCTATCGGGATGGGAAGGACAGCTAATGGTTGAAAAACGCATCGCGGTCGCTGCACATTCCGGCAGAGTGAAATTGTGTGGGCGAACAGTTTGCGACATATGAAAATTAGCAGGAAGAGTGGAGGGAAACTCCAAAGAAACTGAGCGTTTCTTTGAGTGGCGGTTAGTCATCCAGTTGATGCAAAGCGGACAGGGGATTAAACGACGGACCAATGGCAGCCCGTACATGTCGGTCTCGTCAAGACCTATAACAAATGATGTTAGAGGTGAGATATTGTAGGTATTTAACTATGGAGCGTTAACCAACCCAACACTCAGAGCAAACCAATCACAGCTACACTGATAACTTGGTGACGTTATTTTTCTCTTAGCTTGCCACGTAACGAGTTGGGTTTAAAATCTTTTCCGGATTGCTTCGTGGTTTTCTTTTGGTCTCTTTTTCAAATTACTCCAGTACCTATTCTAAAAAAAAGAGACCTATCTTCCACAGAGATTGTGTACAAATAACTTCGGTATTTTTATTTACCAGGATACCATTCCGAAATGAGAGCGTCAATCTGATCGACAATGAATCCTATAGCGGCAAAGTCTCGCTGTTCTGACCAAACAGTGATGGCAACACCATTGATTTCTTGAAAGAAGGCCTTTCCTTGATTCACAGGGATCTTGAAGTAGAAATTCAGCATCAAAAACACATACTAGCTTCACTAAACTTTAAGCATACACAGCAATAAAAAGTGAAAAAAATATAGAAATATAGGATACTTTCAAGGGCAAACAACAACATTTTGTAACGTACTATCTTCGCGTGACCTGATTTTTTGATGACAATCAACGTTTCACAAAAGAGTCACAGAAAAGAAGAGTCAAGCACATTGCACAAGGGTCACGAAATACAAAAGAGTCACGCACCAATTCTTGGTATGATTCCACCCTGAAGTAACCTCCCTCGTACACGACACCAATCCCCTCTCGCCAGTAAACCAGAGAATAGCTTTCTTCCTTTATCTGCTCAATAGTCCGCCATCTTTGAACGGACACGATAAGCCTGGTAATGAGTCGGCTCCAGAATCCGCTCGGCGTGTAGGCCATCTGGTAATTCCTGCATACTGTGTTGATGTTTGAGTTGTCTAGTGAGCTACTGACACGACTACTGGGCACTCTACCCTGTTGATCAGTAGAATACAATAGTAAGTCAGAAGTATATCCGTACGTACTTTGACTCAATTTCAAGTACAGTGTAGTGTGGAACGTGGGGAATTCAGCCACACCTGTTCGCTTGAATTTCTTCCCTTGGCCATGTGCTTCTGGAGCTTATGAAGCTGTAGTCCTGGTTTCTCTTTTGGAAGCATTGAAGGAATTAAAAGCTGTTCGTCATTTAAAGAGAGGGCAATCTCGAAACGCTCCATTAGTTGCAGATACTGAAACAAGAAATAATTCAGTCCATCAATCGGTTGATCGGTTGGTCTTATACAAAACTATGGCTTTAAAGCTCACCTGTGATATAAAATTTTTGGGGAATTTTGGGTCTCTCAGCACCAACTGCAAATCCTTCTTCTTCATAACACCGTTGACAATAAAAGGATTTCTCTCTCGGACGGTGACAAGAGTTGCAATCAGATCACAGACCCAGGAAGGGTCGATAAAGTAAAGATGATTGAGGCCTCGTAGCTGATCATTGTAGTGAAGTAATATGCCATTCTCGTGTAAGAACCTGGTGGCTAGAACAAGATAAAGTACATCCAGGAAAAATTAGTTTTCTCTCAAACCCACAAGGCGTTCAGCTCACAAGTTATTGGTAGATACATAGATAGCATAGGGTAAACTGCGTTTGGATATTGCATCTCTTGCACGTCTGTTTCTGCAGGCGCGTAGCGTCCCCTACGCATATACGCACGTGCGTACTTGAAGCGACCAGAAAAATTTGAAAACAATGTTGTGTTTGCACCAAGTTTGCTCAAAATAAGGGCAAGACGCTTTGTTCTTTGCTTGTATTCACACAACTATTTCAAACAAGAAATGAAGAACGCAGTATTTTTCGCTCAGTTTACTTAGGTTTCTAGATCATATGTACTTGTGCGTACTTGAAAAAATGACCACGCTACGCGCCTGTTCTGCTTTGTTATTTAAACACTGAGGCGTGAAACATGAGAGGTCTTAGGAAGGTCGCGAGAGGTTTCCGGTCATCATCACAGTAACACTTACTCACTGCCACACTCTGTCACAAAAGTCATGCAGAAAAAACAAACAGACACATGTCGACTCATGACAACAAACCCGGGGTCTGAACAAAGAGAAAAAAAGCACCTTTGTTCTCACAGTCATCACTTGAGCAAGTGTCACTTGGCATCGTTTTCGATGACAGAGGCACACTTACCGAGTGTTAGCTCCTCGGTATCTAAGATGTCATTCTGTGGACTGCATTTGGCGAGTTGCAAGATTTCATCTTCCAAGAGCATAGGTGGTTCGCCTGATGTTCTCCGGCGCTCAGCTTCTTGTATAACAGCCTGTTGGAGGTCGATGTAACTTTGTGGTACCTGGAGAGAATTTAAAGTGAAGAAAGAAAAAGGTAAGTCATATAGCTGACTGGCACTCTGATTTTTTTTCAAGCTATACGACGATGCATGCATAATGCAGGGTCCGAAATTGCGACTGACTGGTCGCCAATGCGACCAAAAATTAGGTGTTGGCGACCAGAATTTTAGAACTGGTCGCCAGCAGGCGATTAACCTTTTGTCCCCTCGGCATTTGAAATTCCAAGGTAAAAGGGCTTTTTTTTTTAAAAGAAAACTTAAAGCTCCCGTGGATAATTGTAGTTAAACGAAGCGACGATTTTACGATCGCCATATATACCTAGCGCCATATTGTTTCAGCGGCTTTTCCCAATACGGATATCGCGGACGAAAACGTGACGTGGCGAAATCGTGATGAGATCGAAAGCGTCGGCGGAATCACATGCGCTTAGTCTTTCATACTTTACTTACATACCTGTAAATTCCAGTTATGAAATACGAGTTGTGGTGTTGTCTTACCGAGTACTACATGTGCGAAAGATGGCTATCAGCTCTTTGCGATCATTTCGTGATTTGCTGCTGTCAGGAGACGAAACATCCGCTCTGACATTTTTCAGCGACTTAGATAAATATTCGATTTTATTATCCAACAACACCTAGACGAGTACAAATAACGCCATAGACGAGTACAAATATCACGCGGTATTTGTACTCGTCTATTGCAGAGTACCGGTNTAATGAAGAAAATAGAAATAGCAACACAACAACGCGCCAATTCCGTTCCGTTTCGCATACTTTTGTCACGCGAAATTCACGAAAAATGAAATAATGAATTCCGCGAAATTCGCCCGCCCTGAAATAACAGTTTGGCGTGTTGGATAATAAATAACTTATTAGACGGTTTGTTGTGTAGTATCGCTGAGTATTTTTACTCGTTATTTGTATTTTGATTCGCCCTACGGGCTTGTCAAATACGGCACAACTCGTAAAAATACTCAGCGATACTGCATAACAAAACGTCTAATAAGATATATGTATTTTAGCCAGTACAAAAAGAACAAAAGTGTCTCTATTATCTCAATATTTTTTATCGTGGCCATCGACTTAGGTGGGGACCGGTTCGAGCAATAAGAGTGTGAGGGCCTGGCACTAGCACATTGATCGTCTTTGCGTTTTCGTTCCGTTTCGGCGAAGCACTCTTAGTTGAATCTAGGTATAGAAAGAGGGTCCCCATATGTCTTATACACAGAACTTAACAGGGTACCAGCATAGTTCCAACTAAATGGAAATAATAAGAGAAAGATATCCGAAGCCTTCACAAGAACGTTCTTCGAACGGACAAACACGCTCATGAGATGTAGGACTCTGTTACCGTTACACGGCTTTTGTGAAGTATCTATATTGCGTTAAATGAAAACATTTTGTTGAAAGGTTAAATGTTGTGCCTTACTATAGATTAAGGTAAGTTATACCATGGGTTCCGGAGGGATTACGTTGTCTTTAGTTTGCGGCAAATTCAGCGGCGAAGTCGCGATCGTGGCGTGGCAAGCAAGAAACCAAAAAAACAAACACTTGTTTTTGGCGACCAAACCCGTCCATCTGGCGACCAAAATTTTTAGGTTAGTTGCCAGTTGGCTCCCTTAGGAAAAACTTAATTTCGGACCCTGTAATGAAACAAAAGAATGAACATTGCTAACGTTTTGTCTCTCTTATCGTAAATTCTGGGTGTTAAGAAAATCAAATGGGAAAGAAAAACAATGAAAACTAATAACCATTCGACCAATGATGTTTTCTCCGAGATCCTTGACTTTTAATGCCTTGCTGTAAATCATTTCTTTCAACTCCGGAATGTTCTCGCCAGTCGTCGGAGACACGATAATATTGCCGACAATCTTCGGAAATCCTTGGTTGTCCAAATACTTTATAGCGATGCTATGCTTCAGTGCATCCACGCGGGCTTGTCGATTCTTCTTTGGAAGCAAGTCGAGATGCGTTCCGACGATTAAGACTTCGGAAAACGGCGCGCGAGCCTGAAAGGAAACACAAGGGAAAAAATGAGACCAACCGTATACCATCTTGAATACCTTAGTTGTCACTTTGCAAAGGATACACCGCAATCATGGGGCATCTTAGAGCAATTTTCAATTGAGTGTGGAAAGTACTCTGGGATTCCGTTGGACTCGCCTCTCTTTGCTATTTGAATCGCCTTAAAACTCGTGCTACTCTAACAACCTACACGTTCAAACAAAAACCAATCGTTACTTGGTCACGCATCTGGTTCTTTTTTTTACTTGTTTTGAGGCCTTATGATATTTACTTTACACTGATTGATCGTTGTGGTTACTTTGGTTATCTTTTTACAGCACTCAATCGGAAAGCACCTTATGTAATTTACCCTGAACAGTGAATCGTTCCAATCCAGAGGTAGAAAAGAACATGTACACAGGAAGACCAACTAATGCTACGTGCGTCGCTAACGAAGAATCGAGCCACGTTTGTTCAAGTAAAATGAACTGAAACATTAATTCATCACCTGTATGTTGAGAAGCCAGCGTCTCAGACTCTCCACTCCTTCTTCTCCATGTGTCACATTCCATACGGCCAAGTACAGAGTATTGGGCGACAGAAACATTTGATGAGCCGCGTAGTAAACATTTTGCCCCGCAAGATCCCAAGTGCTAAACGTTATTAATGGTGCGTCACTCTATTAAAGGAAAAAAGGTCAGGATATAAAGTATTCCTGTTCAACTTTTGATATTTTAAACTTTCATTCATTTACTAACCTGTGTTAAGAAGCGCTGTAATGAAAACCTTGAACTGGCCCCGATCTGAACCTGCCACTCATCAATCACAATCCCCACAGTGGACAGGTTTGGTGGTAGTTTTTGACCTTTTAGAGCAGCCAACAGAGTGGTCTTCCCTCGACCCTAAAAAAGGTACATGTAGTTGTAATTAATAGGGGTTGATCGCATTCCTTTAATATTTAACCCTGACCCTTGGCCATAATAATTCCTGACAAAGATGGATGATACTCCTTACCTGTAACCCTACCACCATTAGTTTCATGCGGTAATACGGTACAGACTTCCGAAGTGTTGCTCGTAAGTATGCCAGTGTATCTTTTGGTCGAACACCACTCTCTCCTGAAAAGAGAGACAAACTATATTTCTGGTTGAGTGTTCATTGACAGAAGATGGGAGAGAGGAAGAACAAGTTAAGACAATTTAGCTACCGTACTGTGAGTTGGTTCTTTTTCCCTCCTCCTCTCTCTCGCTACGCTATTGCGCGAAATTAACCTTTAGAGGAAGTAGCCAAGGTCACTTACCAGGTCTGACGTGTTTAGGAATGCCTGAAAGATTTAGTTTGTTCAATCGCAGCTGCCAGCAATCGCGTAAATTGCCAAGTTCTGGAGGAAGTGTGCGCAGTTCAAGGTTACTGCATGAAAATAAAGCGACAAAATCAATTACTTAAAAAACATGCTAGAAAATTCGAGTGAAAGTTAACAATCCTGCATTTCGAATCCGATTGCAGCTATCTTCTCATCGTTGAAAACGAGGTCATGGAGGGAGAAGCGAGCCAGTAACTGTAGCCGTTTTTTTCGCTCTTTAAGGAAAGGTTTCATTTAAGTTGCTGCTAGACGAGTAACACACCACTACACTCAAACCTTTACTAGATTATGAAGGGAAATATAAAGAAGTAAACAAAGGAATGGGTGAGGAAGAAAAAAAAGATCGTCACTTAGTACCGTCCTGAAACATAATCTTAACATTTCTTACTTGCTTAAGTCCAGTTCGATGAGGCTCATCAATCCGCAGATACTTATGGGTAAGGACTGTAAATTGTTGTCGTTTAAAAAAAGTGTCTCTAACGTGTGAGAAAATAGTGCCGTGGGGAATTCACAGTCAGTTTTTGTTTCTTGAGCATCCTCTGAGCTGGAGGCTTTGAAACGTTGAAAACGCTTCAGCGTTGAAGAACCCGTCTGTGACTCGACAAGTGGTTTGGCGGATAGCTGTAAAAAGAGAAATAAAATTCATTCAATTATGACCGATCAGTCTAATTTAAGACAATGGATAGCAGCACACGGTAGGCTAGCTGGATCAAAGGTGCGCCATCTTCTAGATGTTTGTCACTCAGAAGAGAAAAACAATAAAGTTCACTTATTTTGGCCGTCTTACCTTGTTGAAAGAAAGGTTTAGCTTGTGCAAAGTGCTACCTGTCCAGAATTCTGGCCTTGGCAGCATTCGAATGCTATTGTGACTCATATCTAGATCTTGAAGTCCTGACAACTGACACAAGTTCCAAGAAATGGATCCCAGATGATTGCTTGATAGGTTAAGACGCTTCAGAGAGGTGTCCCATACCATTTCCATGTTACAGGAAAAACTAGTTAAATTATTGTGCGAAAGGTCAAGGATTTCCTTAGAATGAAAAAGACAAAAATCGTATTCAGTGACTCTACATATCAATTCTCAGAGAAATTCTACAAATCAATTCTCAAAGAGAACTTCTACCTATCAATTCTCAAAGAGAAATTCTACATATCATTTCTCAAAGAGAAATTCTACAAATAAATTCTCAAACAGGAAAGAATATGGAATCAACTCTCAAACAGGAATAAATACGCAGTTTGACAGCTACGAAATTCACCTTACCAAGGGGCATTTCCAAGCCACCGGAAACTCTCGTAGATTATTGTTATCCAGATATAGCTTTGTAAGCCCAACAGCTCCCTGAATACCGCTGGGTAAACTTGTCAGCTAATTGAATGACAATGTTAGAACCTTCAGTGCCGTACAGCCCCATGTGTCACTATAAGTTTCCTCGCCCTCTTCCAGCTCGCCAAATAAAGAAGCGATGTTGTTCCGAGCGAGGTTTAGTTTCTTCAGTGTGGGTAATTGGAACAAAGAGACAGGGACGTACGTCAGCTTGTTATCAAAAGCTGATAGCCTTTGTATCCTGTTGCATAAAGTGAAAGTTATATCAAGTTTGCGTTCAATGAGCCATTTACACGTAAGATGTGCCGTAATGGTTAGATCAAAAATCGGCTCCAGAAATGTGCCTTTTAGCACTACAAATATTTTAGGCTGACTCCGTGAGAAACGTGCTTTGTGGACAGCGTAGCCAATAGATAAAATTTGCTCCCAGGATCTTGGAGGATCTACGCTCTATGTATCTGTTGGTGTGAGGGAAGATTTTTTTTTTCCAAGGTTAAATATGGTGACAAACGGCGTGAGAATTCGCGACATTTTAAACACTGAACATGTCCGCAGACATACTTGGATTTTACCGACAATAGCCAATTAATATGTGTAAGTTAGAAGGGTTCGTTAGAACTAATTATTATTCTTATTCGCGATGTTTTCCTGAGTTTCTTTTAAACGTCAGTTTTCTCATCTTACATCAGCGATCAAAGGGCATAATTCATTTGCTTGCCTCTCAAAATCGTAGTCCCCTTTCCTTCTTTATATCAGTCAGTGATTTTCTTACTGATGCTTAGTGTATAAGTCACGCAGAGCACGAATTAGATCCATGTCGACTGACAAAGAGTTCACGAATCCCGATTCCACGAAAAGAGAAATGTGATACTTTGGAACAACAAAAAAACATTCTGTCATTATCTTATAGCAACAAACTTGGAGACAGTCATTCCGGGAAAAATCCGTTTCTAGTAAAATAATCCCGTTGTGATCATATCTAAAGAAAGCGATAGATTTCATTCATTCTCATATCAGCAATGTAGACATGAAGATAAAGTTGGGAAGGTAAAATTAAGTTCCTTACAAGCTGGGGTCCTAGTTACAAATCCCACGGGGCACATGAACATGACGGTAGAAAACTTTTACCTTTCATGGATAAGGGGTTTTATTTTATAATTAACAAATACAATATTTACATACAGTATGAAGTTATACCTTGTGTAGCTGCTAATAACTTCTGGTAAAGATTCCAATTTATTTTTAGACACATCAAGCACCTCAAGGGCTGGTAGTATATTAAACAGCTCTTCTGGAAGCACATCAATGCAATTATCAGACAGGTCAATACTAACAAGTCTTGCAGACAAGTTAACAAACCAAGCTTTATGCAGAGCATACAAGTTTTTTTTACTCCAAGCAGCAGAAAACATTGTCACACTTGGATCAACTTCAAAAGAAAGTCTTGTCTTGTGTTTGTTCCTTGTTTCTTTGGTGTATCTGCAACATAATTAAAAATAGAAATGAAGTCATGAAACATCAAGTTTGCCATGTGATATGTTATTTATGAAAAAAATTCTTCTTAGAAAGTACCAAACCAAAATAAAAATAAAATTTTATAGGTATTATGTATGTCTGAGACTCATGCCTACACATGCAAGCTTTCCAAGTCTTTGTGTTAGACATAATGTTATTGTACATGTATGTTTAATTTATCTGCTATATCCAACTGCATGAGTCAGACAGTGATCGAAGTTTGTTTGTGTTGCCAATCAACCTAGTGAGTTAAATATTCCACATGACTTTAGTATCCTACCTCATTAGAGCATCTCCAATAATTTCCCAATAATTCTCTACAAGATCACAGGTCACTTTAGCCCCATTTTCAATAAGGTAATTAACAACAGCAGTCTGATGACCTTCGCATGCACCTTGAAGAGGACTTCCTGGTGATTCCCTTCCCAGGGAGTTTACCAATGTAGATGGTGGATTCACATCAACACCTTTCTTGATTAACAGTCTTGCCAGCTGGACGTGCCCAAGTCTGCATGCATCATAGAGTAGCAATGATCCATGTGAACGGAGAAGAATGGGCTGCTCAGATATTAAAAATTCCACTACATCATGTTTTCCATATTTACAGGCCAGCAAAATGGGCGACAACTGACCAAATGCTGGATCATGTACAAATGCACCCTCTTTCAACAAATATTTTGCAATATCTGCATGTCCCTTCATGCATGCAGCACATAAGGGAGTTCCAATTTCTTCAACAGCTCGATTGACATTGGCACCAAAAGCTACAAGTTGACGCACCACTTCGAAATGGCCATTCTCACAGGCAACATGTAGAAAATTTCTTGGCAAAGTTGAGTCACAAGCTACATCTCCTTCACAAATTAGCTCCTTTACTACATCTTGATTGTGGTAAATTGCTTGAAGTAGTGTGTCTAGATTACCTGTTGTGCAGGCTTCAAACAACTTTTTGCGAACACCTGGAAACAGAAATTATAAATCTGATGAGGATAACTATTGTTTTATGCCTACAGTCTGGAAAGCACTTGTATGCCCCTGTTACATTTACATTGGCCCAATTTAATAGTGCCATGATAGGTGCTACTTATCTCTGGCTGTAACTAAAAGGAAGATGTCCTTATTGTAGCTGGTGGACTTTTTGGGATGGATGAGGGGACAATTCTAATGTCCTCCACTCCCCTCTCCCCCCCATTGCTCTTATAACAAAATTAATACTGAGCAGCACTATTTTACATGATACATAAATAGAAATTTTACCAAGTGCGTGCCGTATTTGAAAGGTCTAAATATAAAAAAAAACAGCACAGCTAATGCATAATTCAATTGATGGTCCGTGAATTCATTGTACATATACGCGATAACTGTTATCAAAACGAAACTTTGGTCAAAACTTAACGGAACGATTTCCTACAACCCCGGCTAGTCGCCATTGTATTCTATAATTCAAGAGCTGTTTGTGTAATGACAGAAGTATGGGGTAAAAGGAATTCTTGTCATAAAGGGACTAATTTACTCTTTAATTTGAGGAGACTCGAAATCTGGTGTACCGACAAATAAAAAAGAGCGCTTCACGGAAAAAAATTCAATGCGTTGTCATCACGCACTGACTGAGGCACAAATCACTTACTGTCACTTGGATGATTTTCCATATTGCTTCTAGTTGAATCGATCACAAACTACACAAATATATGTAACCAGTTCCAGTTGAGTGTCGGGAAACAAACATGAAACTAACTTTCAAGTTTACTGAAACAGACAAAGCACTTCGCTTCAAGATCAAAAGCTGGACACATAGGACAATCAAAGATCAGATCCCAAGAAAATCATCAACACGCGAAGGACGTCAAAAACAGCTGTAATGAAGACTTTCAGCATCATATATATTACGTGTCTAGTCACGTTTCCGCATTCTATGTCAAAAATATGTTTACCTTTACTCATAGCGTATTAATCTATGCACATCTTCCAAGAATCTTATTTTTCTGTCTGGGCATAGCTTTGGCCTTAAAATGGGAAGACCAGCCTCGACTCATCGGCCCATCTTATTATGGATTACTCAGAGACTCTGGAACGCTTACTTGTTTCCAAGAAAAATCTGCATACCTTTGCGTGACTTCCGTTCTGAGAGAATGTTCCAAATATGGGATGGATTTTTTCTATATTTGGGAATACGAAATCCCGTATGAAGATAACATATTTCGCGGGAAATTTCACCAAAATGGCATCCAAACGGCCAGACTCCAGCCAAAGAGGTCCCATTGATTTGATAAAAAGAAGAAAATCTGCCGCTGCAGGCCAGTCTAATAAAGAAGATGAAAACGGCAGCTTTGTTGATGGTGCGATAGTGCGCGTGAAGATGCGAAATTTTGTGTAAGTGTGCAATCTCAAATGGGCCATTCCATTATGCTGATAATCATGTACATTTGAGAGTTGATAATACCTATTTGGAAGATCGTAATTGCCTTTGATCGATGTTCTTTAATTTTCATCTTGGTTCTTTTTAACAGACCCATAATCTTTCTTAACTTTATATTCTGTTTTAGGACGTATGCAGATTGTGAGTTCAAGCCGGGTCCACATTTAAATGTGCTTCTGGGACCTAATGGTATGTTCGGACACCTGCTGTTTTATAAATGAACCACAGGGGGAGCTATGATGGGCCAGTGGGAGTTGGGCAGAGGGAGGAGCAACTTCAGAATACTCGTCCACATCATTTACATATGTTGGGAGGCTTTGAAGAATGAGGCATAACACAATAGATGCTATTCTTATTCAATGATGTGGAAATGATGTGGCCGGGTATTCTGAAGTTTAGCCCAGAGGGATTAAGAACGGCAGAGAAATGAAGTAAATGGCCAGATTTAAACTAGAGACGGATCATCAGTCTAGGACGAGCTTCGGCAAGGAACGGTAGCTCGTCTGATAATCCGTCCGTCTGTGTAGAAACACGAACAACCAGTCGGATCATCCATCCAGACAAGCTATCGCGATGGTCCGTCTTGTCAGAGGAATTATCGTGGATAACTCATCAAGATGGATGATCCGTTACTATGTATAAATGCGGGAAGAAGACGAACTATCCACAAAAACTACACCTCATTACAAGAAGCCGGCAGTTGTTTTGAATAAACTATCAATTCAAGATGGCAGAAAAGTCAAATGATGGTTCGTACAAGCCCAGAAAGTCAAAAAAAGAACATGTATGGACAAATACAGAAATGAAGTACTCTGCGCTTGTGTTAGCAGAGGAGAAAAAAACACTTGTGTCATTGCTGCCATTTTGAAATTTGCCGCCAATGCCATACTAAAACATTTGACTTGGGCCCAAGCCTTTTCGTTGTGCTTTCTCGGAAATCCGTTCAGAAAACTCATCCAGTATAAAACACGGGACGAGTCACACGACACACCGATAGTTCATCTCATAGTCCTTCACGTATTTATACTAGATGGATGATCCTTCTTGGCGGCTGATCCGTCTCCAGTATAAATTGGGCCAATGAGTGACAGGGAGGACAAGTTAAAGGATTTTTTGTGTATATGAAGCTGGGAACAAAGAGGAAAGGGAGAAAAGAAGAATGGAAGGGAAAGGCATGATGGAATGATGTATTAGTTCCAATGACTGATGCTTCATGAAGGACTGGGTACATGAATACATCTAGACATAATGTAGACAGAAGTGCTAAATACAGCCATCTTAATAGTGTTGTGAAGTAAATGGAAGAATTCTCTTGTCAACAGGTACTGGCAAATCGTCTATAGTCTGTGCAATCTGCCTAGGGCTTGCTGGAGCAACTAAGCTGCTTGGCCGTGCAACAGAGGTAGGTGTGAACCACTGGAAAAACTACATACCAACTGATCTACATACTGTTCTCTATTCCTGTATGGTTACTCAACAGTGTTGCACTACAATTAATAATGTTTAATTTCATAGTTTGTCTGTGGAGCTTGGTGAACCCTGTGACTTGTTGGATCTTTCATAGTGTCTATTTGTATATACTTTGTCTGTCTCCAATGCAATTAAGGGTGAAATTATGTTTAGTATCTTGAAAGCCTATGGTTGAAATTAGTTATTTACACTTGCTGTATTACAATACACAGTCTCCCATAAAATCATATGAACTTGTTGATAATGATATTTTCGTAGGTTAGAGACTTCATCAAACACGGAGCATCTCAAGCCCTGATAGAGATCGAGCTGTAAGGAGCTTTATTTCCCAAATTTAAATGTTTGAAACTTCTGCAACATGGAGGTTCCAAGGAACCCAGCTACTCTATATTATACTTGAATTATTAAATTTTGATTTATACAAATATGCATATGCTTGTTTTGTCTTATCTTGTAGACACAATTCAATCAAAAGGAATCACATAATAACAAGGGAAATGTACAGAAATGAGAATAGATCCAACTGGAAAATTAATGGAAAGGCATCAACAATGAAAGAGGTATGCATAATAATGTACATGTAAAGTGCATTATACTTGAAAGTAGTTATTGACTGTGTATAAACCACATCCTGCTCTGTGCCACTGCATTTATTTTCCCTGGACAATTTAAATCTTGATGAAAAGGCACGCCAACTGGTTTCCATTGCATCAAAGAAATTAAAAAGCCTACCATTTTACAGTTATTTTTTCAGTGAAACATGTAGTCTCTGCAAAAGCTTTTATTATCATAGAAATTTGATGATGTCTCTTCTTTTGCCTGTCTTTAGGTTCAAGAGCTGACCAAAAAGTTAAATGTGCAAGTTGGCAACCTTTGTCAGTTTCTTCCCCAGGTATTAAAATGGATGTGATACATGTGATTAAGTATCAAACACAATCATCATTTAGTGGTTGAATTAGCATTCATTGATTTTCTCTTCAAAATATCTATTAACAGGATAAAGTGCAAGAATTTGCAAAGATGTCTCAGCAGCAACTTCTGGAAGCCACAGAGAAAGCAGTGAGTGTAACAAGTTTGGCATTGATGCATTTTTAATATTCTGATACATGCAATTTTGTAGAAACAGTCACCTTGGTAAAAAAGGATGGCTTACAAGTTTCTTTTTTTTATAGGTTGGACCACCAGACATGTTTGATATCCATCAAAAGCTTATTGAACTCAGGAAAGAAGAAAAAGAACTTGAGGTTATTTGAGTGTGGAGTAGAGAATGCAACAAAACTGATGAATATAAATTTTCCATGTGTATTTTACAGACTTGCTTTCCACCTTTGGATCTAGTGTCCCGAGCAAACAACTATAGTACTTTTCAATTTTTCCACAATTCTGCTAATCTACCTCTCAAGTCCATGGACATGCACTCGTTGGAAACTGCATCATGATTTACCATTCCTTTATACACCTTCCACTTTCAGAATGGATTATGTTTTTTCTGAAAAATAATTATTTTTACCTGTAAACATGTATGAATAGGTTCTCCTCAGAAATAATAAGGAACATCTTGAAAAACTGCGACAGCAAAATGAACTTCTGGAGCATGAGGTCAAAAGACATCAAGAAAGGGAGCGTCATTTACAAAAAGTGCAAATTTTGGAAAAGAAAAAACCTTGGGCTGTAAGTCTTCAATTTAAGTAGAGCACAACATTTTCATACATACTTTTAAATTAATTGTCATCCTTGTATAGTGTTCATAAGAGAGAGGGTCAGGAGGTAGGGAGTCTTTCTTTCTCTTTTAATCTTTGAATAACTCTTCTATTTCAGGAATATGAGCAAGCCCGAAAGAAGTTTGTAGAAATTAAAGGTGAAAAAGACATGGTGAAAAGAAGGCTTGATGGAGTCAGAAAGCAAAATGAACCAATGCAGAAACGCCTTGATGAAATAACAAGAAAAGTGAGACAGCTTGAAAACTCCACCAGAGAGTTAGTAAGTGAAAATTAAATGTGTAATTTTGTCCTACATTGTACAGGATTACTGTTGCCTTACTGTGATGGACAGTTATCAAAAAATGTATTTCTTAAGTGTGCTTGAGAAGAGAAGCATCTTGAAGACTTATCAAGCTGCACAGCTAATTCTATTGAACTGAGGACTGGGGGAGCTCTGATTTTATGAAAAAGCACGTCCCCAGACCTAAAGTTTACCTATGGATACCCCTCATGAAATGCTCAGCATAGCTTTGGTATTTAAGATGCAGTCGTAAACTTAATGTTTAAGGTGAATTAACATGTACAGCATATCTCTGCACTTGTACAAATGTACAGGGCTATCTATGATGTGGACTTTTTGTTAACCTTACACAGATGGAAAAAGGCAGTGATGTGTTGAAAAGAGCCAAGTCAAAGAGTGAACAAATTGAGAGGAAAGGAGATGAGGTAACAGCTTCAACCTTATGGCAGTCACAGTTTTAAGACATTTATTTATTTATTTATTTGCTTGAATTATATACTGTGTACTTTAAGGCTTCTCAACAAAGAATTCTGACTAAACTCTTGGCTTTAAGTGAGTAGACATAGTCCTAATATGACTGTTGACAACTGTGTTCCCCCCCCAGGAATCTGTTCCAGGTTCGATTTTGTAGTTATTGTATACGTCTCCTCTTGGCGACATTATAAGAAGACATGATATGAACTTCCATTTCTGTGCAGATGACTGTCAGGTCTATTTTTCACTTGACTCAGTTTCATCAGTTACTACTATGAGAATCGAAGCCTGTCTACAAGATATTGGAGCTTGGATGTCATTGAACAAACTAAAACTTAATGGTGATAAGACTGAGCTTTTGGTCATCGGATCGGGCAATCTGTCTGCTTCTCAGCTTCCTTCTTTTACAGCAATTGATGGATTTGTTATACAGCCTTCGCACTCTGCCAGGAACATACGTGTAATCTTTGACAATAAGTTAAATATGGAACGTCAAGTTTCTGCTATTTGTAAATCTGCATTTTTTCATATCCAGAATATTTCTCGGATTAGATAGTTTTTGTCAGTTAGTAGTACTAAGGCATTAGTACACACCTTCATTAAATGCAGATTAGACAACTGTAATTCTCTGTTATATGGTCTTCCGAAACATTTCGTTCATAGATTGTAATTAACCCAGAATTGTGTGGCACAGCTGAACTTATATGGTTGCAGGCATGATCATGTTACTCCTTTACTTAGGGAGCTGCACTGGCTCCCCATGGAGCAGAGGATTATTTTTAAAATCTTATTTTTTCTTTTTAAAGCTTTAAATGATTTATGCCCAAGTTATATCAGTGACTTGTTAGAAACTTGTAGGCCTTCTAGGTCTTTATGATCATCAAGTAGGAGTTTGTTAGTGATTCCTTGCTCCAAGTTGAAATCTTATGGCGATCGCACCTTTTCTGTCTCTGCACCTAAGCTATGGAATGACATTCCTGAAACCATAAAATGTAGTGTAGATCTTAATACCTTTAAGCAAAATCTTAAAACTTCTCTTTTTAACCGTTATTTTAATGAATGATTATGTTTGATTATTATTTTTACTCTTTACCTTGATTGTGAAGCACCTTAGAGCTTTTGGATAGGGTGCTATATAAATTGTCATTTATTATTATTATTATTAATATTAATGTTTGTTGCACTGTACACTGTAGATCGATAACCTGCTCACAGAATTGAAAGATCTGAAAGATGAAGAAAAGAAGAGACAAAAACGGTACAGGCACTGCAGATATTGTTTGTAATATTTATCATCAGTTGATTACTTGTGATTGTTCGGTTAGGGTGTGTGGAGATAAATATAGACCAAGGTTGTACTCGAAGAAAAATTGAAGGGAGCCCAGTGCTCTGAAACTGTGAAATCCAGGGTGCCCAGCATATGCTTTCTATGAGAAAGCTAAGATTCCTGAGTTGCCCAAGAGCAAAAGTAAGGCGCTAGGAGCCACTGGGCACTGCTAAACCACCAGGGGCCACTGGGCGCTGCTAAACCACCAGGGGCCACTGGGCGCTGCTAAACCACCAGGGGCCACTGGGCACTGCTAATCCACCAGGGGACACTGGGCGCTGCTAAACCACCAGGGGGCACTGGGTGCTGCTAAACCACCAGGGGCCACTGGGTGCTGCTAAACCACCAGGGGCCACTGGGTGCTGCTTAACCACAGCCCTGTAGACTGTATGTCTGCAAATCTAACTCGAACAGGAGATGAAAAATTCTTCAGGTTTAGCAGTTGAAGCAAATCTTCTACAGTTATAGCTTCATGTACTTTTGTATACAATGTAGAATGAGTGACCTGGAAAGGGTAATAGATGGACTGCAGAATGAACTGGAGAATCTACCAGACCCATCTCAATTGCAGGTACCACCCCTAAGAAAATTTCAATTACTTTTGTTACCGTTAAAAGGGAGATAATAAAACGCGGAGCCCTACACCATGGAGTACCCTAAGGAGTACCTAAATGGAGTACCCCTAAAAGTCATGTATCAGTCAGTTAAAATACTTTATAAACATGGTAAATCGTTTAGTTGTATACATCTTAATGTATTTTGATCTACCCAGGTGTATGATTGTCACAGTTCAATACAGTCCATGAATTGACTGCCATCTTGAATTTAACATTTAACTGCTGGCCACTTAAAACTGAAGGCTTAAATGTAGTCCATGAACGTTTTCTTTGGTGGAAAGATTACCACCTTCATCCTATGATCTTCAAAAGGCCAAAAGTACAGACATACTTCATTCGGCAGTGGGTTTTACGTCTTCCAAAATACCTGTTTATGTAGGATGTCTGTAAGAGGTGTGGCATTAAATCTATCAACACAGGGCCTCATGGGTTCTTAATTGTGTGAAGCGATGAGGATAGAAGCTAGGACTTAAAAAAAAGTAATTCATGTGTTTGAACTGACCTTCTCTTCACTAATCTATTCGTAGCATAACAAATTTGAGATGTGTAAAGAAACGAAACTCATTACACAACAATAAAACCAAAATGGAGGAACCAGTAAGACTGAAGGCCCCCTGCCCCCCAAAGAACTGGACTGTATCGAACTGTAATGATGAGAGGGCAAACTCAAAATGATATATACCTCTACATGATTTACCATCTTTTTAAAGTATTTTAATTGACCAATACATGATTTTTAGGGGGACTCCATTATTTTAAGTACTCCATGGGGTACTCCATGGAGAAGGGCTCCACGTTTTGTCATCTCCCCCGTTAAAACTCTCAGGTAAGCGGCGCCCTAAATTTAGCAGCTTAAATTTTGGAAAAGAAATCAAAATTTTTTTAAAGAAATCAAAAGAAATCCAAAGTTGTCTTGAGAAGTCTTCTTCATCCGCTGTTCATCAAATGTAAAGTCACCCTTAACATTGCCACAGAAAATACTTCAAAGTCTTACCTACAATTTTAGCACTTTATTATAATGAACATCATTTCTACCAACTTTGACATATGATTGATCTTTTCTGGTATTTGTTGACAGGAATTTCATCATTCAACATAGTTTTTCCATAGATTTTTACATTACAATAAGAACCATAGGGGGTGTCACGAAAACTTAGACCCCAAAAACTCAGACCTCAGACCTCAGACCTCAGATCTCAGACCCCGAAAACTCAAACCCCTCGAAAATCCAAGAGATAAACTCGACTCATGATCACTCCTGGTAATGCCACATATATTTTGACCTTTTGGGTCCTGATCCAACAAGCAGCAAAAACAAGGCCACAAGTTGCACGTTTTGCGAAATTGTCCAATTGTTGAGTATTAAAACATTTTAGAGTGACACAAGACTTCATTTAGCTTAGATTTCCTCCATTTTTCCTGTTAATTTTGAGCTTTTCATTCACAGTCAACTGGATCAAATGCGCTCGCTCTAACTCCTAAGTATTAAAATGTGGTGTGATTTTGAGGAGCGGATAGGGACGTTTGTTTACTTTTTTGTACTTCATTACACAGATCCTTGTTGTCGCTCTGTTAAAATTCTTAAATATTTCGCGATAATAATGGATACAAACAGAGACTCGGTCCACCAGTCCCAAAACGAAGACAATTTTGCGACCCTTGGGCTAGAGTTCTTAAACGAGGCAGAAAAACAGAAAAATAATGGGAAAGACTCAGCATAAGCACCATCACGATTCGCTTCACTGAACAATCACTCTAACTTGATATTGTTGTCCGTCTTTCGCGTCAGATAGCATTGGTTTCATTATTCCACTGGCTAATTATAAAACAATTGGTTCATGCTTTATGCTGTGCACTATCGAATTATGGAGCACTTCAGAAGTTTGGAGAGCGCTTCAAAGGGTCTGAGTTTTCGTAACACCAAGAACGCAGACCCCGAAAACTCATTATTTTAAACTTTAACATAACTTCTCTTTCTATCCAAGCCTCTTATTGATGAAATCAATGTTGAAGCTCGACAAAAGAACCGTGAAGTGATGACCATGCAAGGGCAAGCTCGTAGCATCAAAGATGAGGCAGACAGCTTGAAGGCTCAGGTTCAAGGTGATTTTACAACAGAAGTTTTAACTATTATTGCTGCACAGTGAGCATGGTGAGCTAGTAGCATCATAATCAGGTTTGGAAAAGAATATAGGGGACACAAATTCTTGAATTCATCACTTTTTACCAGAATGCATTGCAGCTTTTAACCAGAGTGCACTGCACCATGATTGTTTAGTGTCTTGCATTGCATAACGTTACTACTGTATGGACATTTCCTATAGGTACTCAATCATGTTGTCTACTTTCCTAAGTAAAGGCAAATTAACTAGTTGCCGTTATTGTATGGTAAATATACTATCTTGATCACTGAACGAAGGACAGTTGAATAATAGCAATGAAAGCAGTCCCTTGATTAATGAGTAACTCTGCCCTAAAGCAATAGGCAGTTGACTGATGGTGTTCATAGGACGTGGGTGACTCCTGCCATTTGCTAGCACTTTTGAATCTTGTGCCCTCAAAATTAAGCTCTTTTGAGGATATTCTCTTAATGACTTTCCTTTGCAATGTAATAAAAAGGGTTAGTTTTAAGATGTCATTTCCACATCTCTACATTCAAATGATGAGGTTTGGCAAAGCCAGATGAGATTTTGTTACAAAAGGCAATACCTCTGTGCAAGCACTATTTTCTCTGCTTTTAGTATACTTTCTCTCCCACAGAAAAAAAACTTAAGAGATATGTTTCTCAATGTGTTAGTCTTGGAACATGCAAGCTTGCAAATGAATCACTGCATAAATTATGTCACTATCAGCAGAATGTGCCGCAGTATCACTATCTTTTAGATACACTAGTATATATACCTAACACTTATGCAGGATATACTGCTATGCAAGTTATTTTATTTTTATAATTGTGCAGCTTTCATTTTCTGATGGTCAGTAAAATTTATTGGATGTGTTTATCTACACACTGTTATGTTAACACAGACATTAAGAGCAGAATTTCTGAACTTGAAGACATGAAGAATCGTCGCTTGGAGCATTTGCGCAATAGATTTAAAGATACATATAATGCTGTACTGTGGTTGCGGGCAAATCAACACAAGTTTCAAGCTCCTGTCCATGAACCAATTCTTCTACAGGCAAGTTTTGTTTCCTTAGCTTGATTGAGAAAGTCGTTGCATCCCATTACTGAGTACAATGATTTGTAAATGTGGCTACAATGATCTTTGTGACACCTAGGACTTGTGTAACTTGGGATAACTTAGTTCTATAGATGCACCAAAAGGATTTTACACCATTGAACCATTGACCCAAGCTATAATTATAAAGAAAAAGTAGGTAGAGGTGTTTCTGTTAAAATGCATGCCTTTGACTTTACCTTTTGCAAAAAGGCAACACATGGATAACAATTTGTACTGGTAGATAGAATCTATATTTTGCACTGGCCTTATGATTCATTACAGTACATTCTGATTTTACATTGCATACTTATCTGTGAACTCAGTACTTACATGTAATGTATGAATCTCATACATATATCTTTTGGTAGGTTGAAATGAAAGATGTGAAGAATGCTAAATTTATTGAAAGCGTTATAAACCAGAATGATCTACGAGCATTTGTTTGCAGTAATAGAGATGACTTAACACTATTTCTAGATGAGGTATGAAATAGACATAGGATCAATATAATTTAATTTAGTAGATATTGAAATCTCTCACCAAATGAAATTTGGAGTGCTACTCCAGTATGGATGGCCATTTTTAAAATAAGAGTGATAGTGTTAGGGTAACAAACTTTGAATTAAGTTGAAAGATTATTAGTGGATTTATGTGTAATACAAGTGTCACCTTGATGACTGATTTCTGAACATATAAAATTTTCCTTTTATTTTAAACTTCTTGTTTATAGATTAATATATTTTGCAGGTACGTGACAAACAAGGGCTAAGGGTCAATGGAGTTGCACCACCAGACGAGACTTTGGAAAGCTTCAAGTCATCACGCTCCTTGAAAGATATAGGGTTTGTGATGTTTGATTTCCCCCTTCTTCCTTCTCCCTTCACCCCACCTCTCCTTCCCTTCCTTCTCCTTTCACCCCACTCCACCTCTCCCCCCTCCCTCCCCCTACAGTTCTCCTGGACTTGGACCTCTCCAAGATGATCTGCCCACAATATTGAGCCATGATTAAATTCATGTGGCCATACTTTTAAAGTGTATCACTTGTCAGAACAAGACAAATGCCACAACAAACAACACGAGGAGAACAGCCCTGTTCTTGACTCAACTATTTTTTTAGCCCATAATATGCAAACTCAACATCACCTGACCTCTAACTTTTGGTTCTTAGCTGAAACTTTGCATACTATACATACAGGAATCTCTAAAAATCTACAAAGTTTTGGTGTGCTTTGTTCAGGTGAACTGATTCATAGCAATTGCAGAAATAGAGTTGGAGGCTGTTTTTTTTTTTAACTGCCAAAATGTGATTCTAAATTGAACCGGTAAGAATTCCATGATTGTGATGATGTACCTCCCAGTGGCTGTTTGAAATCTTTTTATGTTCATGTTTCTGTAGGAAGTGGGGGTTTTTCTGTTATCTAAAAGACTTGTTCACTGCTCCTGATGAAGTAATGCGGTATCTGTGCCATCAATATCGTCTTCACGAAATTCCTTTAGGGAATGATTGGACAACCAAGAATGCAGATAAGGTTGGTTGATTTCATGGATGATGATACATGATGCTGTATTCTAGCTAGACTGATTGAGATGGTTCTGCTGTTGTAGTGTTCAAGTGGAAGCTTTTATTTGACTTAAATACACCATTCATTATTGGGTATTTGAAAAACAATTTATTGATTAACAGGGCTCTTATCAAGAGCCGATAACCAGTTATTTTTACTGGCTGTTCAATTAAATGTTACTGGCCATTTGACTGAGACGGGGGAATGAAATATTTCCGAAGTTATCCAACGATTTTTTTCAATTTTTTGGGAAAATATTACTTGTCTCCTTCTAAACAATGTTGTGAAGATATCCATCAGATATTACTGCTTTTAAAATGCATTATATGTTGAAGAAATCCTGCTTTTTTTATCAAATTTATCCCTATCAGTCACCTTGCAAAATGATCTCCACCATGTTTCCTTTCCATTCTTCTTGTGGGCAAATGAGAAGGTCTAGCATTTATTGAGAAATGTTGTGATTGACAACAGGGTATCTGTACATGGAAAACCTGCCCCTAGATCCCAGTGGGGGCCTATGTGGCCCACACACCCCCAGCATGGGTGGACAGTGTAGTATCGAAAGTATCAGTCTCGAACAGAGCTAAAGTAAAGATGAACCACAATGCCCTGCTTGTAGTAAAAACCTTACTTTTTAATAAAACTAACTCTCTGTAATCACTTGATCCAACATGCTTGACTTATGACATTACAGACAGTAACAAAGTTACCTGCTATTTCTCATTTTTTACCTCCTATGAAAAAACTTAATAGTAAGAACCCTGGATTAATGAATTCAAGTTCTTAACATTTACTTTTTTTTTTTTTTCAGGTGATTAACGAATCAGGTGTAACAAGTTTTTACACCTTAACCTCAAGGGTAAGTACACAATATACAAGTTATTCACCTAGAGTTTATCATCAAAAGGAAGGTTATAACAATTAGGGTAGATATATAGATTCACAAAACTGTGGAATCCCTTAATCAAAGGATGCCACTTACTTACCTTGCCCGAAGTACATTGTACATGGAAGTTTTACAATTATTATGTGACTGAATATTTATGAGTAGTGTGTGCAGCTTTCTAAATGGGCATAACCATGTGTTTCTCTCCCTTATAGTACACTGTGAAGCGCTCGTTATATGGCAATCGGGAGAGATCAACTGTAGTTGATCATGTTAGGTAGGGAATATATTGTCTTGCCAAACTGAAAATTATTCAACAAATGAATGAATGCAGGGGTACATCTAAGTTTCTAAAGAAACCTTGGTGCTGTCTCATCATGGGTTTTTACATCATCAACCCAGTTTATAAAACCAAGTTATCTTAAAAGTTATTCAATGATTGGAATACTGGATAATAGGGGTAGATGGGTAAAGTTTGTATTCATCAGTTAATGAAAATGCCAAAAATTGCCAAACAGATGTTTGTGTTTTAGTTGTGTTGGTAAAGCTGGAATCACTATCTGATTATAGTATGCCATAATGATTTTCCAGAGATGCCAGGCTGTTTAACATAGCTGTTGATGCAGAGAAGAAAAGACAACTTGAATTGGAACAACAGGTACAACTGAGATCTTAAATACTCTGCTACTGTTTTTTTCTTTGACCATTATTGTATGCAGTTGTATGCAACAACAGTTATTTGTAAATTTCAGGATGTCAGCCATCAAGTACAGCAAAAAAATGAAGAATATAAGAACTTAAGTGAGAGAGAGAACAGTTTACATAAGGAACTGGAAAGTCTCAGAAATAAAAAGGTTAGTGATCACTTAGTAGACAAGTTCTCTGGGCAGCATCTGCTTATAGTAATAACTTTATATCTAACTTTCAAATCCATGATTTTGACTATAATTATATCTAATCAACATAATGGGATGGAAATAAACAGTAACAAAATTTGTTACAATAAACATGGGGTATGCACACAAGTAAACTAGAGGAGGACAGAGTATCATTTGCACAGAAAAGTTTCTTGTGAATTTTAAGTATTTGGACAGTTTGTTTTAATCTTAGTTCCTAGCAGGGTCATTGAACTTTCAGTGTACAGTATCTGTTCTGTTGTAGTTCTGACTACAATGGTTGCTAGTGGTAACCTTCCAGTTATATGATCACTCTTTTTGCTATAAAACCATTTTTTATTTTTGACTATAACAGAAAGAATTAACCTCACAAACACAAAGGAGAAGAAATTTAGAGAACCAGCTGGCAGCCAAGCAAAAGAACCTGGAAACAATGCAGAAAGCAACACCAGACTTAGAAGGAAAAGCAGAAACAATACAGCAACAGATTGTGAGGATCAATCATCAGAGAGCACAACTTGCTATGGAATATAAAGATTTTGTCCGGGTAAGCATCATGCACACTTTTATTAATGAAAGTAGTGTGTTAGGAGCTTACAAATATGTGTAGGTGAGAGTAAGTGAGTACTGCATGATATAACAAAAAGGGTTGGTTATTTACACAAGGGTTAACCCAAACTGTGGTTTTACACAGACAGTGAGCTTTAGGTAATCTCTACAAGAGGGTAGATGTAATTATATAAATGCTATTTTCACTGTTAGTTTTCGGCCCTCCTGACACTGGTCACAAAAATGAATGTTGAAATAAAAGGTTTGGCTTAAGTGAAGATAGCATGATTAAACTTGGTTTTAGTGATTGGCCCAAATAGTTTAATTTTTACTCAAAGATGCGGTGAGTGATTGTTAATGTAGGTAGAAAGTTTACGCATACTATTTTATAGTTAAGAAATTTTTCAAAGGACAGTCTCAAAGTTACATGAAAAGATTTTGAACTTTAAGCATCTTTTGTACATCATTTGCCAGGAATGCACCACAGTTGCCAAAGAGAGACTGGTGCAGAGTCTGCAACAGGTGCAAACCACTATTGAGAAATCCAAAGTCGAAGATATGTTCAGGGAATCATCACAACAGCTGAATAAACTAGAGGTTTGTATGGCTTGAATTTGGTCCACAGTGGATGTAGATATAGTCTATGACATGAATTTGGGCTTACAATAGTCTCCACAATACTGTAATATTATATAAACTTTGTGGAAGAAATCAGTGTTCCCTAAACTTTTGAGCATCTTGGTAACAATGGTAAGGAAAGCCAATTCATTACCCTTCTATTGTACACTAGGTTGATGTTTCTAACTATTTATATTCTACCTATGATTCTTAAGGGAGAATATCTCAAAATAAACAATACCTTAGATATGCAGAAGAAATTGGCTAAGGACTTGAAAAAGGTTGCTCATGAGAAAACTGGAATTCCTGATGGAGCAGATATACCTGATGAGCTTAAAGAGGTAAATATTTCAACAAATGTTTAATTTTTCCAATGGTAGCACTGTCATTATTATGCCAGTCAGGGTTTCATCTTTAAATGTCTATAATTAATTTTTTAATTTAATTTTAAAGGCATTTAAGCTGTACCCTGATACACTTGAAGAAATAGATGAGATGATCCATGATGAGAAAGCTAGAATTGAATGCCAATACCACAGCAACCCACAGGTAAAGTGTAAATAATGTTGCATATTAACTAGCAATCACTCAAACACGTCAGCCAGTCACATGGTAATCTCCTGATGGCATCAACTTGCTGCAGTGCTAAGAAGATTGTTGTCATTTGCACAAATATTTTTATTTTATGTATTTTCTCAGGTGGTTAAAGAGTATGAAAGACGTAAGAAGGAAATAAATGAGCTCGACAGGCAGGTAATTAGTGTTTAAGTTTAAAAAAAAAAGCAGAAATTAGCTTGGAAACTTGTATACTAGTGCATCCAGCGACTTCTTTCCCTGACAATTCACCAGGGCATCCAGTCAAAATATACATTATAACCAGAATTCTTTGTACTATTTTAGGTTCAGGCACAAGAAACAGACATAGAGACTAAGCAAAGAAAAATAACAAGTCTTAAAGAAAGGTAAAAAGAGCTCAAAACAAGGGCTGGTATTTAGTGAAGGTAAAAGAATACTTTGTTGAAAGGAAGCAAAATGGTAAGATACAAAATGGTGACTGGCATAATAATTTAATAAGTTTTATTAAAGTTTAGTTTCATTCTTTTTAACTATATTTTGGACACAGCGTTTTAAGCATACCATGCAAATAGAGTGACGTTTACAAACTAGTACTATCATTCTTTATCTTTTAAGCTGGCTGACACCTTTACAAGAGTTGGTTTCACAAATCAATGAAAAGTTTGGAGAGTTCTTTAGAATGATGGGCTGTGCAGGAGAAGTTGCCCTCTCAACAGAACAGGTTTGTGTGCTTTGTTGGTCTGTGATAGGTACATTCTTTAAATGTGTAAGGGTGCTTAATACTTGTTAATTATTAATGATTCTTGTCTCTTTTGTTTATGTGACAGGGTGAAAACAACTTTGATAAATATGGTATTCAGATTAAAGTGAAATTCCGTGCAAAGGACAGTCTCCATGTTTTGACTCCATTCCATCAGAGTGGTGGGGAGAGAAGTGTCTCAACCATGTTATATTTAATGGCCCTACAGGAACTTACCAAATGTCCCTTCAGGGTGGTGGAGGAAATCAACCAGGTGACAGATATAAACAATGCATGTGCATTAAAGTAGTTACTGTTCTTTAAATCACACACAAAACTCACACTATAACTCGTGTATTCAGGTGATTAATTGACAATTTTCCAACTTTTCACATAGAACACACTACACTGTTGATTTGAATAAAATCAGCATCAATGAGCAATGCATGTTATTTTTAGGTACTTTGACTGTTGCATACCATTTGATGGTTATGAAAGATAGTTTTATTTTTAGGGCATGGATCCAAACAATGAGAGGAGAGTTTTTGAACTTGTGGTTGAGACAGCTTGTCGACCAAACACCTCCCAATATTTCTTAATAACTCCCAAGGTATGGAAAAGAACACCATATAAGAAAATCGATGTGTGTAGAATAAACATAACTTCCTATACGGTGTATTTGTTTGCTGTTCTCTGTACGTTTGCAGGATAGTAAGAAAACTTACACATACATGTATTCATCAGCGTCACCAATCAAAGTGAACCAGACCACAATTTTGTAGTCAATACTTTTCTGGAAAGTTAAATTTTTATTTAACTATAAACTCTCTTTCTTTTTTCAGCTTCTTCCAGACTTGACATACAAAGAAAAGATGACTATCCTCTGTGTTTTCAATGGCCACTATATGGTGCCACATACTAATTGGAATATTGGGAAATTTATTCAAAGGAAAAAGGCATTACAGAGTCAAAGTTAGATATCTTTGTGTTGGCTTTGATGCCACACCAGTGAAGATAAATCGTGTAATTGTTGACTTTTCAGAAAATTGATATTGACATGTTGCATTGCATCACAAGTGTAGCTTGTAAATGTTTTTGTTGTTGTGAAAGGATGATTGATGCCAAAATCTGAGATGGTAAAAAGTTAGAATATTGCATTGGGTACTGAACCTGCTGGAAAGAGTGAATGGTTAAGCAGAAATTCTTTTTTCCTTTATTTGTGTATACTTCAGTCAAGAGAAACAGTAAAGTAATTTAATTTAGAGCTAAGAGTTACTCATTTGCAGCTGTACCTGTGACCTCCAATTCGAGTTTTATTACGATTATTAATAAAATGTTGGAAATTTACATCAGTACTGCAGTTAAGTGTTAGTATGGGTACATACGGTTAGCTTCTCTCACACTTTACTTCCTTTTCAGTTATAATAGTGTCACTGTGCATGCCTATCGTTTCCTTTTAGGGCTGACCCTAAGTTATGTCTGCAGTCTTGCAGAAGACTTTTTTTTTTTAAGGTCTATGAAAAATACTCTTTTTGATAGCAGATTGAGATATAGACACGACCAAAGCAATGCAATGTGTTAAATGGTTTATTTACTTGTTTGGATGCTTTGGTAAAATACAATCATGAGTTCTTGATTACCTCACAAGATTAAAGGTACAAATAGTACTAATGATTAAGTCCCAGCCAAGATATATACAGCTGGCTGATCCTAGTGACTAGATATTCCAACAGACACGACTAAATATGCTTCTTTTTTTTTTTTTAAATTTGACTTTTTTTTTTTTCATAATTTGAACTAGTAGGACCACTTTTGCTTATGCTGGACAGGTAATGCCACTCAATTTCTCTACAAGAGTTTTCCTTAACATAGTTGTAAGCTGTTCAAGTTCTTGTGCCTGTTTTCGCAGTTCTGCATTACTTTTCTCAAGTTCTTCCTCTTGTTGGAACAAATCCTGTTCTTTCTGCCTTCTGGCAGCACGAGCATGTTTTGATGCAATGTTATTCTTTAATCGTCTCACTGTTTGTTTGTCAAGAGTACTTGCAATACCCATGACTTTATTATGTTCAGTCTCTTTGTCTGAATACTGTTTGACTTTCTTAGCAAGTGATTTACAACCATCAGCGGAATGAACTCGTTTTCTTGTCTGATTATGTTGAACATTCATACCACTTTTGTGACTAACTGTACATACATCTCCTACACTAAGCAAACTAACATTAGGCACCTGTCCAAGATCATCAGAAAGAGAAAAAAGTTCACCAATGTCAACAGTCACAGTTGAAATATTTTCAGAGCTACTGTCCACATTCTGAACTGACAAAGGCACAGCCACAGGCTCAGTGCTAACAAAGGACTGTACCAGTTCTTGAGTGAGAAGAGTCAGTGCATCTGATGATTGGATGACTGTGATTTCTTCCACAGCTGTATCAGCCATTTCTTCTCCGTTGGAATCAGAGGTAAGTTGATGCATACTTGACAGTAGATTGTCGCAGTCCTCTTCCAGAGACACAACATCTACTACACTCTCAGGGGAGAGTGCTGTGTCAGTAAAGTCTCCAGCAGATGAGAAGACCTCGGATTCACTACCAAGTGAGACAATGTCAATTACATCACTACCAGGAGAAGCCACATCTGAGTACTCAGCAGTTCTTGCAGTCTCCATCTTCACAATATCTGACTGGCAGATGTCTGAAGTGGAGACTGGTAAAGTATGCTCCACTTCAAACCCCAAATCCATTGTGTCAAGATGTGGGAGATCTGGAAACAGCTTGTCGATATCAAGGTATTGCTCGAAGAATGGATCGTCCATACAACCTGGTGACTCACACAAGTCCAACAAACTTTCTGTTGGTTTGGTGTTCAACTCATCAAGCAGCCGAAGGTCGAGTATGAACTCCTCATCTTTAGCATCAATCTGGCTTTCAGTGTCTTGCAATGATTCCAATATATCTAGAAATAAAAATAAAGAGATCATGGAGAGTTGTTTGACAAGAATGAGGCAATACGGAAGGTCAGAAATAAACAACTCTACCGCTGCGATTTACGTGTTTATTTCACAAGGAGTTACGACTTAACCGGTGGACAGAGGTATACCGGCAACAAGGAAATTTGCTACATTTCATGTACTTAAACTTAAATACCTTGATCTTTATTCAAGATTTTTCAAAAGAAATCACTGTCTTTTAAATTAAGATTATTCAAACCTTACCATTTGGTACTTCATCAAACAGGCGGCATGAATTCAGAGTCCAAGGTTTGGTTCCAGTGTCTTCGTTGGTTTCCATGTGTGTTTCCATGTTTGTTTCCTTCTTGCCGGTGTAACGATTTTTTTCCTCTACTTCGATCGAGCCGCTTTTCAAACGGTCGATTTTTTCGAGGCAAGGATTGTTCGGGATAGGCCATGATAACTTCGGATAGTTCTGTGTCAGCGAACTTACTATGCATTTCGAATTAAATGAAGAGTAGTTAGCTGTCGAATCTGCCGTTGTGTGGCTTAAGCCTGAACTTTTTGGAGAATATTCCTTCGAGCGCCGACTTGTCAAAGAGCGGCGCCAACGCTGTCGATCAAACGCAGGTTTACCCAACAAAAGCGGAGAATACCTCGACGAAATTCTTGAGGAAAAGCCAGAAATGAAATAAAATTTGGTATGTTATTGCACTACTTTGTATAAATGGTGGTGCAATAGTTGTGCTAAAATTCTACACTTACGTCAACATGAACCAATCACATACCGCGTAAGTTTAGTTTGTGATGTCATCTGTGACCAATCATTATCGAGTTCAAAGAGTTGTCAATGGAAACCGATTAAATTAACGATTCTGTTTGGCTCGATACTTCAAGTAGTTTGTACAAGTCCAAACAGAAAGTGAACGGACCAATATTTGCGTCATAGTTTCTAGAGGAAGGATAATTCAACATCTTCAGTTAATGTGGTCACTTGTTATGAAGTCCTCGTAGGTTTCTCCGCCGAGCGAACAATCTGGCCGCTTTGATTAATAGAGGAATTTGTTTGATTGGCTGATTTTAATATTTTTTGTTTTGTTTTTTCATTTTATTTGTTATTTTTTCATTTTTTGCATGAGAAAAATAAGATGATGTTGAGAAAACCAGATACTCCTTCGCACAATGGTGCAACTTTCTGTACCCCTTATGATTTTTTGTCAAGTTGTGTTTCGCCAAAGGTTTTTGTTACATCAGTCAAAGAATGGTTAAGTTTGAACGAATATCAAAGTGAGTTAAAAGCTGGGCTGATTGTGTGGAAGTCTGTGGGAAAAAGCTCTACGTCTTAAGTATCAAGGAAGCTTTAAAACAAAGTGGAAAACAAAAGAAAAAGACTACACATATCCACGCAAGGAATAAGCTTTGATTAATAATCAACGGACGCCCTGCTTTCAGTTCGTCCCAATCCATTCCTGTTCGGACATACATATAAGAATACAATAGATGTAAACGGAATCATAAGCCTCTCTAGTTAATCCTTCCAGGCTAGAATTATCCCTTTTATCATTACCAAAAAACCCTTATCTTACTCTTATAATTGTGTTAATTTTTTTTTATTATTTCTTTTCTTCTTTTGGGGGCGGCACCGGGGCTCCTAGCTCCCTCCGGTATTTCTCTCTCCATTGCATGACTGGGATGGTAACGATTGTCTAAAGGTGTAGTCTGACACCTGGCTTCTGACAGGTACTGTTGTGCTATGTTCCGGATGAACCAGAATCACATACAACTTAGTAGCGAACATACATCCCAAAAGGCCATACGAGCTCACAAGCGTAGCCACACAAGTCACGATGGTTACACCTTGGCTCTCTAGGCCCGCAAAGTCCACTGGGAAGTAAGCTATGGCGGAGAGAAGGAGTATGTACATTGCAAAACCGATATACCTTGCCTCGTTGAGGTTTTCTGGTAACTTTCTCGCTTTGAAATCATGAATGATGCATATTCCAGATATATATCAAAACGAGGTAGCCGTTGATTGCGAGATGCAGGCTGAAACCCAAGGAAAACCTGTGTGGGCAACAGGTCAGAAAAATGTATTCGCCTCGCTTTATAACTCGTGTCATAAAGGGAGCGTCGATAAAAAACAAAACGTTAACAGAAAAACTACAACCGAGTTCAACAAAAACACCAACGTGGCTTGAACTTTTCAGTTTGTCATCAGAATGAAGTGCTTCATTCACTTATCAATGAGATCATCACGGAAAGCGCTTAGAATACGAAGAGATTTAATCAAGAGTGTAGCAACACATGTAACGAGCGCACAGGAGTTCAAGAAGTAAGCTAAACGGCAGGTTAAGGTTGTAGGTTGCATTACACTCAGGAACGTTTGAGCGAAGAACACAGTGATGGAAAGCAACAAGATTGCACTTAGTTCACGGCTTGAAGCTTTCACGAGCGGTTTCTCTCGATATCTTAATAGAACAAGGGACGAAAATATCGAAAGTAACACACCGAAAATTATAAAACCTGTGACCTGGTAACCCGTGATGTCTGTCGGTTTGATGTTAACTATTGGTAGATCTTCGCGTTCTGTTCGATTCTCACTTCACCTCTGACCTTCAGGACATTCTTTGCAATTCATGTGCCCAGAGTCTGGATTAACGGAACCTGGAGGACATTCTACGCATTCCCAGCAACATGCAGTTGTAACAGACTGCGCCGTGCTTGGAGGACATATCACAGAACAAGCCGATGTGGGTGGAACACTGAAATTTGAAGTTCTCTTATTCCATTTGATCTTCCCGACTTCAATCTCAAGCCTTATTCTGGAACTCTTATTCCAAGATCCAACAATTTCCTTGACATTTTGTGTAACCCCTCCTACTTCCCGTCTATGAAAGTTAATAATTCCATATGATGAAGTCACGGGGTCAGCAGACTTATCAAACTGAAATTTCCCATAATACCATCGAACAAAACGTTCCCTAGGTTCAGGTCAACATCCAGCGGCCTCACTGATGGATGAATTTGGGGACATCTCCCCCTTTGGAGTGGACCATAACGTTCCTTGCATAAATAAATCATATGAAGAGCACGCGCAACTGCATAAACTGCCTCGATTACGTAAGGAAGAAAAGTATCATAGAGCTTTTGAATTACATTTTGAGTCAGAGTTGCAATATCTAGGCACACACAGAGTTCACAAGATTTTTCCAGAGAGCAACTGAATTCTTTCGTCGAAACTTTTTGCCACTATTGAGACATACGTTTCCTGATCATGTCCTTTGGGGTAATTATTGCCAAATATGATTTGAATTCTTCATTGTGATGATAAATGGCTGTATGCCCAAGGCCCCATCCAAGACACCGAAAAGTGATCGAATGTGGTTTGGTTGTTCTGATGCGAGGGCATCGCTCCAAATCCTGGTGCGATCTAGCAATTTCTGATTTTCTATTTCCTGAATGAAAGCTCGGCCATAGCCACCAAACAGCCAAAGAACAACTACTCTGGCATTTGAACGTCTCTTTAGTTTGGTGACTATAACGTTAACTTTATTCATGTAGTTTGAACGAATGTATTCAGAGCTATACAAAATGACTTCCTTGGGAAGGATTCCTTTTCAAGTGCCCACACTCCATATCTGCCATACGAATCATCAACAGCCACTGTTGCAACGTGACTCCAATCAAAATGTTCAAATAGATCCGCCATTGCGCTTGCTCGTTGCTTGTCCGATGGCACTGTTATAAAAGAGGTTTTGTAGAACGGCGAGCTTAGCTCTTCACTCATCGCAGCGTAACTGATAGCAGGTATACCTGCAACTTTAAGCAAGCTTCCACCCAAGACGGAGCTGCCAGAGTCAGCTGGCCGAATTAGAGACACAGCTGGACTCAAAGAATGCTTCACTGTTTCATTCCTTGCCAATGTCCTGATGGCTTCCTGCGAGCATGCGTAATGTGAGTCGGTACCTTTGACAAATTGATAGGTGGATTTCATTGCATGATGATGATACTGATGATGAAACTTTATTAAGGTGTCTAAAGAAACTTCCTGGCTTAGGTTAAAGAACCTGTGGTAATTAAGGGACAACATAAATAAATATAAATTAAGGTAAAAAATTATTTAAATATAAGCATATGGCATAGGTATAAATGATATTAAAAATATTTGCAGTATGACAAATGTGTCTATGAACTACAAAGATGACAGCACTTCCATCAATTATCCGTTAGTGTAACTAAATCTAATGTACGTATTTTGTTTTTGAAACATTTTAAGGTGGTAACTTCTCTCAAGTCTGAGGCCGGGATAAATTTCCCCAGAGATTGGGCCCTATATGGCAGAGGGAGTACCTGCCATATGTTACCGTATTGTACCTGGCAGCGGAGAAACTAGACTGCCTTAGGTCATAGTTAGATCTAAACACAAATGTCTTGTAATCTCCTGTTCTGCAAACTAGGGAGTTCTGCTCTTTTTAGAAGTTCAGGGTAGCCAGCGTTGTTCCTAAAAACAGCACGCAGGCCCCTTTCTTGCATCCACTCGATTTTACGAGAATCACTGGCTCGGAAAAAGTGCCACACAAGGTGGCAATATGTAAGGTACGGCAATATTGCTGTTTTAAAAAGCATAAGTTTAGCATTTGTGGGAATCAAATTTCTAATTCTCGTAAGGACGCCGATTTTCTGACCGGCATTTTTACAGATTATTTTAATGTGCTTGGAAAAATTCAGCTTGGAATCTATTGTGACACCCAACAATTTGAGAGAGTCAGTTATACTAATATCATGATTATTTAAACTGATGACTTGAGTGGTGTTGTTATCGCTTTGGCCATGTCCGATGTTCATAATTTGATATTTCTTCAAGTTCCCCGCTAGAAGATTTGAGTCGTACCAATTAGTGGCTTGCTGTGCACTTTCCTTTAGCATTGACTTAACTGAGGACTGATCCCGCCCTGTGTGGTATATCTGATGATCGTCCACGTACATAGACAAGTTAGTTGTTACACAGTACGACAAATCGTTCTTAAATATATTCCAAAGTAAGGGACCTAGAGCGGAACCCTGTGGACAACCTCGGTTAACAGTCCTACTTGAACTGACCAGGTCCCCAATTCTCAGCCGGTAATTGCGATCACATAGATAACTCTCCAGAGGCCGGACTGTACTGCTTTCAACGCTGTAGGCGTTGAGCTTACTCGACCCCTTTCAGTAAATTTAAAAAAAAAAATCAAAAATGAATTACTGTGCCAATATTAATGTCACCCTGGTTTTTTGCTTTCACCAGAGTAATCAGTTTCTTCCTAGCTATTCCTGTGATTTATTTGTTGCTCTACGTTTTTTTCTTTTATTATAATTGTTCAGGATTTCATTTCTAATATATGCATATATATAATATTTTTTCTCCATGGTTTGTAAATTTCGTTTATTCATAATTATTTTTAGTTTAATTCTGTGAGTGTGTGTGTGTGTGTGTGTGTGTGTGTGTGTGTGTGTATGTGTGTCCCGACCCTAATATTGTAATCCATTCTATGTTATTTGGCTTCCTAGCCTTGTTCACCTTCTAGTTATTTTAGGAAGCCAACACCCTCTTAGTTTTAATTTTTTATTTGATGTTAATTTAATCTTCTCAAGAATAAGGGTGAATAAAGTTGTTGTTGTTGTTGTTACTCAGTAGTAGCGGTGAGTCAAACGCTTTTGACATATCAGTTGACAGCAAGCTCACAACCAATTTGTCATCTCTTGCATGTCTCCAGCCCTCCACGGTAGTCGTGTATGTCATAGCCCAATGTTATGTTTGGGAGAAATTTCGAGTCACTGTTTATCTTTTCTATTGCGAATATCATAGCCTGAGCGTGACCTAATCCAGGGGCATTAAAATCACCGCAGTCCTCATTGTCAATGCCTTTGTAATGGAGGAGAAACAAACCACCAAGGGTTACGTTGCTAGTCTCAAAACCTGGTATACATGCCAGTACAAATAATGTGTTGTAACTGTTCCGAAATTGAATGGGATAAAGACAGACAGATACAACTTAGTAAAAGTAGTGACGATGTCATGTTCTCCAAATGGAAATCCGTGGATATTTATCCCTGCCGCGAATTCGATAAAAAGAGGATCTTTTCTCTCTAGATTAGCAAGTTTTGAACATCTTCAAAAATCTTCAAAACAGATGCCTGCAAAAAAATTGAGGTAAGCGGGTGTGAGAAGAAAATAAATAAGTAGAAAGTTTTGACGTATAGCACCCCTTACCATCAATGAACGGTTCTTAAATTCATGAAATAAACAGTTTTAGGACTATCTCTTGAAATCACACGAAAAAATCACCTCAGATCACTGACGATATCAGTTGCCAACATCATTCTCGACGTTGCCAACAGAGTTCGGAGTTCAATTGAACTTCTCAAGTCAGGATCCCTGTTAGACCTGTTCATCTAGACAGGAGTATTTTACAATCTTCTTTGTATCAGACAAGTGGTACTAAACAATGACGAAAATTCAATCAGTTCTTTTCGAAGTCGTCCAAAATGCACGAGCATAAAAATAAAAAAATATTAAATGCTGCAAGGAAAGTCGGATCATTAGCGAGGCTCCAAAACTGAAAAACCAGTAAAACGAAAGTTAATTACATTGTAGTTATTTTCATGTGCGCCTCAGTCTTTCGTCTCGAAGTATTTGGATGCTTAGTTACAACATTAAATCCAGGCTCTATAACTAGTGCTGCCTCTGAATATGAAAGGGGTAACTTTCTAAGCAAACTGTGGTGCTGTGTCGGGGGCGGTGGGGCTGGTGGGGCTGGTGGGTGAATTACAGGATATTTGGTTTTATCAGCTGAGTCAATAGATTTAAATTGGCCAGAGGGTCCTAGAGTAAAGAGTTTCTGAAGTCGACGTTTCGAAGGTTAATGCTCGAATGGTCGGTATAGAAAATAGTCTCGTACTGAAGTTTGAAGAAACAAGCCATGATATAGACAATCCAGATAATTCTTTTTTTTGATTTCGTTGTATTCTGGTACACGATATTTTCATATAAATTTTAAAGAATTATTATGATAAAATACTTTTTTCATGTTATTATGTTCACACATAGATTATTTAGAAATAAATTGTTTGACGCGCAGAGGTTTATCAAACACACTGTAGTAAAATATCCGAGCATACATGTATTCGGCATGTCACCAGAGTGACTATCATCATCGTTATCATTGTCGTCATTGTATCTGTCATTGTCACCTGAATATTCACATTTTTCTTGTTTACTTCGTATTCATCACTTTTTTTTTGGTATTATTCTGCCATGTGTCATGGTAATTCTTTCATTTATTCAAGGGAATGAAATCTTTTATCTAAAAAAACGCATAATTGTTTTAAATAAAAAAAAAACTTCTTATAAAGGCCTCAGTGCAGATGATATGTAAGGAGCATAGTAAGTTATGATGATGTTGTGCGACTCTTGGACATCTTTAGACCACGAAAGTCATTTTTCCTCTTGCATCATCTTGTTCGACCAATCAAATCGATTCAGTACTTGGTGAGAGTTAACTTCAAACTACTATTTTTGACTTCTCGCCCCCACTTTGATAGCAATCTCGGCCTGTCTCCAGAGTTCGTTTCCTAGAATCGCAAAAAGCCTAGCGATCAAACTGGAAGTAGGCTGATCTAATGGCGACTCGTTATTTTGTTAGCTCAATATTCAACTCTCTCTTTAAATAGGTCCATTGGCTGGTTATAGGATGCCACTCATGCCATCAAGGAACCATGAACAATCGGCGCTGACGAGTTGCTGGTAAGCATCTTCTTGAGCACATCTCCCATCGATGCTCCGCGCAAAACATCGGCGAAAAACAGCTGTTCAATCACCGTGGGCTCAATTTTCCTCAGAGATGACAACATGAGCAATAGCTTGCCAAAGCGTGTGGGTTGGCTGGAGTACTGGGTTCTGATGTATTGCTCCAAAGAACCCTGTGAGGTATCTTGGAGGATTTCAATCTGCTGCGGCTGTGTAATTGGTGAACCGTCTGTGGGGACATTAGGTAGAAATCGCTTAGTAGGCTCACAGAGTTGTAGTGAATGATTTGTTTAGTGACTTTTAAAAGCATCAGTTAAATTGCTACATTGCTACCTGTTTATCATGGCTCCACCCCTCGTTAACTTTGTTTAGGAGAGTGTTCATCCCTGCTTAAAGCAGTAAAATGCAGGCACGTCAGGGGAGATCCAACGGAAGCTTTCATTTAATATTTAGTGGTATTAAATGTTTTCTATCAATGTACCCCGGTCCGAGCAAACTACTTCAACCAACTGAGGAAAATCTTATTGTAATGAATTGAAATTTCTGACATCGATAACATAGACTTCCTTACCCGTTCGAAACAACACGATGCACTTGATGTGAAAATGTTCCGTCAGATCCATTCCAAGTGAGCGTACTTTCTCCATCTGGTCCTGAAACAACCGCGCATGTTCCATTCGCTTAAGGATATTCTCCATGGACACTTGCCTGGCCTGCATGTTCGCAGTGGCGTACAACTGCTGCATATAAAGGTGAATTGGACTGCGGGCACTCTCTAGTACGTACAGGTCGCTCCACGCCATTTTAAGTAGCGTGATTTGATCGCTCTCTACCAGGTTGTTAAATGTTGGCAGCTTTCGAGCCCAGTCCACCACTGAGAAAAGCACATGGGCGGCCAACTCGTAAACGACCTCAGAAGTTCCCTGGGGTTGTGGGAAAATTCCCATGTGAATATTCCCTGGGTTGGACAGCGCAGGTTGAAGGAATGTAAATGGTAAAAGCCCCGGTGCGTAAAGCCCACTGGGATCTCCAAAATACGGGAAGGAGAAGCCAGGAAAAGCGGGTAGCTTAGTTGTTTGTACAGCTGCACAAATAAAAAGATCATATTCATTAATTTGGGTTTTTTATCTGGTTAATTTCAAAGAAAGTCGTAACCGATAAGGATTTAAAAATCTAAAATTTGATTACGCTGATTCATTTGTGGTATAACGAGAAAGCTTTCGTGGAATTCAAAAGCTGAGAGAAATTAACTTTATAATTAAGTAACAAGAAATCCTTCAGTTCAGTTTTCGAATTCTTTTCAAATTTGTTCTGATAATTATCTGCCAAAACTGCTATCTGATTGGTTAATAGATTTGAATGACAGGACGAAAATTGATTAGGTCAAAGCGAGGTCATGGTGCTGTTAGATGCTGTGGATCAAGAAGTTATTGTACAAAAAATGACATCAGTTGTACTAATTGAAAGCAGGGCATTAATTTCCATAAGGTCGTTAAGGGCATTAATTATTATGCAATGGGAGAATTTATTAGAAAATTAGAGATTTTCCAGCTAAGTATTACCAAAAGAGAATCTTTTTGAAATTGTGTTGGGACATTCAAGTGATGTAAACGAAACAAAACTGTTGATGATCCGTGGAAATAAGAATGGGCTGTTTTTGTTATCATTCTTCAATTGTTAAAATGAATATAACAAAATGGCACTTTGATTTATTGTTTAAAAACATAAATAGTGAACCGAGTTGAAATTTCGAAAAAAACCTAGAGATTTTCACCAAGTAAGTAATGGTTAATGATAGTCAATTACTCATTAACAATGAAAAGCTCCGTCAAAATTAATGCAAAATCAGAGAAAAAAGATCAAAGAAAATCCGAGAGGGATGATCGAAATGAGAAGTCTTGAGAGCCTTTTTTGAAACAAAGTATACTATCTTAAACATGAAGACTATGAACTTGAATATCAACAAATACGGTTACCTTCTTTCTTCATTCCGGTGCTGAGGCACTTTTGAAATCGGCAAGATGGACAGCGGCTTCGATTGTCTCTATCCACTGTGCAGTTATTATTTCCACGGCAAGTGTATGATGTACTGTTTCGGACAGTGCGCTTGAAAAAACTTTTACAACCTTCGCATGTGCTGACTCCATAATGTTTCCCGGTCGACTTGTCCCCACAAACAGCGCAGTCCAATTTATCTGCTTCTGTTTTTATTTTTGGAAGTTCTGGTATAGTGTTGCTGTCAGTACACGTTGTCATTTTGTGACGAGTCTCGGATTCAAATGATCGACTTGCAGTTTTCAGTTCAGATAAGTATGCACTAGGGTTTAGTTGAAAGCCGAGTCGTTTCAGTTGCAGCCACAGCTGTATTCAATTTTTTCTTGATTATTTATTCAACAATGGCCCGGTCAAGCCACAAGCTCGACTCATGTCAAATATTTATTGTAAAAAGGTCGTTAAGGTTGTGCAATGAAAGAAAAACCTTGGTCACTACCTGCTATCCTACCTGTAACCCTTTTTAGCGTTTTCAACTTTGTGAATAGGTTTTCTCGCTTGGAACTTAGAGAACCGTAAACGCCAATTTCACAAATTTACTATCTCTTTCGGATATCATATTTTCAGTGTAAAACTGAATCATTCTGTTCACGAACGGGCAGCAAGTTTGCAATGGTGGGAACTTAAAACAGACATTCGGCTCGGAAAGGACGTAGACTAAACTAAAACATTCATTTATATGTGAGTTTTAAGATTGTTCTACTTTAATATTTTAACACGTTGTGCGGCGCTGAAACTTGAAATCACAATGCATGATGACTTTTGGCCAAAGAAAGATTTGAATGGGTAATTCACGCTGCAAAGTACCTCTAGAAGAAACCATAGAAATGATGAATCTTTTTTCAAGGGACTGAACCAGAAATAAACAGCCACATAGATGACTCTTTCTGCAAAAATACTCCAATAAGGCTATAATTTTATTTCCCGTAGAAGGGCCGACCTTTGTGATCGGAGGGCAATTATTTGTCAAACTTCTAACACTATCTCTTGGGGCGTCAGTTGGTTCCTAAACTAAGATTTCAAGATTTAATATCATATCACAGCGATAAGAAAATCAAGGAAAAATCGGAGTGAATCAAATCATATTGCAGAGATGTCGTGTAAGACTTCTTTTTTTCTGTTCATCACTATATCTTCACAATGTATTTAGTGGCCATATCTTTATGCAGTGGAACCCCGATACAACGATCCTCGATATACAACGATATTCCTGGCACAACGATAGATACGCTATGTCCCAGAAAAAGTTACAGTAAAATGTATGGGACAGAACCCCGTCTCAATATAACGATAACTCGATACAACGATCTTAGCAACACAAAACTGGAGAGCAAGCGCTCCAGTAAACAAACTCTCGTTAGAGGTCAAGCATATCTGGCTTTAGACAATAGTTTTCTGTTCATTACGCTCAATCCTTTTGCCATATCTACAAAAACTGTGAGATATTTACTAAATCTCTCGTTTGGACTCGATTTTTGGATGGAAAGCACGATATTTTTCTCGAAATCGTGAAAAAACTGTCACCAACAACCCGCTCGACGGCTAAGAAACATGAATAAAGGCTGAAAGTTTCTTAAGAAACTGTGTTGCTGCGTCGGTGGGGGTAACAAGATAATGTGTTATATCAACTAAGTTGAAATTGTAAATTGGCCACCATAACGAATAAGCTGACGTTTCGAGCGTTAGCCCTTCGTCAGAGGGAATGGAGGAATTGTGGGTTGTATGTGGTTTTATGTGCAGAAAGCGGAGCTACGCCATTGGTGGGAACATGGTAACGAGAAAAACAAGCGTAACATATAAGCATTTAAGGGTAACATATCTGGCAGTAAATGTACCATATGTGGCACTAAATCACTTGTGAAATCGGAATCAGCTACATCTATAACACCATTTGGATCAAGAGAAGTGGAATGATCGTCGTTATTAAATATCATCCGGCATAACTGAGACAAACTGTCACAAGATGGTCTAAAAGCAGTCAAAAAAGCAACATTCTCTTATCTGAAAGTAAGAGTATTAAACTGAGGTCCATGACTGATGTAATGCTTTGTCACTAGGGAAGACCTCTTTCTGAAACTGCCTGCACTTGCAAGATCATTGAAGGCCACAAATTTCAGTGAAGCTCATATATTACATTTCCAAATGACAAGGTTAGAGGAAATTTAAAATTTTCATTCAAGTAGTGAGAGAAAATATCAGTGGAGACACTACGAAGTGTCGAATGCTTTAAACATAACATTCGCACTAAACGAAGAGAAGAAACGTGAAAAACTAAAGATTAGACTGACGCTTTATCAATATACATCATAGGATCAAAGCCTTGTAATCGCCCCTGCATAGCATCAAATGAACTTTTTTTTCTCCATCTGGAAAAATCTTCTTAGAATCGATGTTTATTTTTCATCTATGTTTCGCGAGCATATCATACAGAAGCAAGGATATATGGTAAGTATGGGTTTCTCCTAAATTTGATAACAATGACGCCAGTTGATCGCACATTGAATTTCTTTATTTAATATCTAACTAAGAGTGTTAAATTTTGTTCTCTTCAGTTGAGGAGCCTCACTGATATCGGATATTGGTGGTCAGTTAGGCCTGTTTCGTGAGAATGTCTCTTCTGACAGCAACTGAATTTTTGGAGTTCTGTATCAAGTTACTTGTGATTCTCTTCAACAAACAAAAGACCAAGATTGACGAGCAAGACTATCAAGACAAAGAACACTGTACGGAAGCTTCACAGCGCTAGATTTTTTCAAAATCAGGTGGAATGTTTCTATTTAAAAAAGGCGACAGATTTACTACTTGTTCGACCCATGGTTAAACTTAACATACACCAAATATTTGTGCACAATTATCAATAATCAATATTAGACAAAATTTTCTTTGTTAGTAACATGAAGCAAAGCAACAGCTAAGATGTCGACCAAAGTAACACAAGAGATTCCAATAAAAAGTCGAAGTTGTCCACCAATACTTCCACGTAGGGATTTTTATTCCATGAGAGAGAAATACGACCGAGTCTTCTTAGTCTTCACATTTTTCATAATCTATATTTTATCCATTCAAAATACAAACAATCGCATGCAGAGAAGGACATGATCCATACGTAATTGGGTTCGGTCCTAATAATCCGTCTTCTGTCGAAACAGCGATTCAATTACGTTGCTAGGAATTTGTATTGCAACTACCTCCAAAATACCTGGTTTGTATTTACCTTCTACTCAGGAGGGTCAGTTAGTCATGGTTACCAAAAATGAGTCATGTTTTCAGGGGCGGATCCAGGATTAAGTCAAGGGGGGTTCGGAGAATTGTCCGAGGGTATGCTCCCCTGGGAGATTTTGAAAATTAGGTCTTCGGAAACATGATTTCCAGCATTTTGAGGAGAAATTTAGGGGGGTTCGACCGAACCACCCCTGGATCCGCCCCAGGTTTTAAGATAGTATATCATGTAAAGTCCATGGTTAGCTTTTCCTCAAATCGTCACTGACGCCAAGTTTAGTGTGGAATGTAATCCTTAGAAAATGAGCGATTATTCTTAACCAACACTGGTAGGCAACTGCAGTCGCTAAAATGATCAATCATGTTCAACTTTTTCACAACCGATTATGATTATATCAAATCATGTAATTTTAGCTCGATTAGTTTAAGACTTTTTTGAGTTGTTGTTTGCCTGATTGCTATTAAGTCGTGCTACCCATTAACATGTACTTCATTGTTCTGATGGCAAAAAAATGGTGGGTTGGTTGTTCTTGTACAAAAAGTAATCAAGCTCTGTGAACTGTAATCAGTGTTCCAACGAATAAATCCTGCTCTAATATTTAATCTTGATTCACTAAAGTTTCACTTAACTTAACATCAAAGTGTCCAAAATGGTAAAATTCCCTTAGTCTATTCTTTAACAGCTTCTATTATCTCTTGAACGCGCCAACAGTAAAGGACAGGGTTCAAACATGAGTTTGAACACACAGTACCTGAGGTGGTGGCGAGGCGCAAGATGTCGGTCTAAATATATTGCTGTGATGGTCAGCAAACAGGCAGCATCAAATACCGATGAAATGATAAAAAAAACCATCAGTAGATCACCAGTGAACCGATCTGTCAGCCTTGCTATGATGTACATTAGCTGCACAAGAGTTCCTACGCCAAAATCTGTCAATGCCAGGCTAATAAAACATGAAAAGGATAGTGCTATGACGGAGTCGCCCAAATTGCCAAGAGTATGGAAAGGTTTCTATTTCTATTTAATCTTTATTTAAACACGATCAATTCATTAGCCTATAAAAATACATATCACATACGCTAAGATATTTAAAATTAAAACTACATACTATAACACTAAAGCTGTTTTCCGTGAATGCCGTGCGTTAGACTTAAAGAATGTCATTGATCTTACGTTCAAATAACCCGAGACTCTGTGTTCCTTATATCACTTGGTAGACTGTTCCATAATGTGGCGCCATTATAGCTAAAGCTTTTTCTGTAATAATTAGTGCGCGGTAGTGGAACATTAAGCTTATTTTCAGAGTCCCTGAGGTCATAAGCAGAGTCACGCCACGTAAACTTTGAATAGAGATACCTTGGAGCTAGCCCGTGCAGACATCTAAACATCATGGTGGCTTTATGGATTTCCTGCTGGTGTGCAAGATTTTTCCACCCTAAAAACTCGAGTAGCTCAGTTGCATCAGCATCATAGTTAGAGAATGTCAACACACGGGGTGCTCTATTCTGCAATTTCTGCAGTTTGTCTCGTAGCGTTTTCCCACAGCTACCCCAAACAATGTCACAGTAATCAAAGTGAGGTTATACTAAAGCTTGGTAGATGAGAAGTAAGGTTGATGCTGGGATCAGGTGCCTAATTCGCTTTAGGGCCCCGATACCAGAGGCGATCTTTTTCGTTAGTTTTTCGATGTGACTATATCAATCAAGTTTATCGTCTATTAATACACCAAGCGATTTTGTAGCTGTAACCTGGCTCACTTGAGTATTGTTCATTCTAATCGTTGGTGAAGCTGTGAGAGTATTCAGTCTCTGCCTCGACCCTATTAGCATGAATTCAGTTTTAGTCATGTTCAACGTGAGTTTGTTCGCTTGTAGTCAGTTGAAGACGTTTTCTAGGTCTTCATTTAGACAAAACTGAACGTTCTCAAGATTGCTTCCCGCATTGGTCTCTAGAAGTAGCTAATAATGAAGTGATGACATTGAGAACGCAGTTAAGAATTAACAAAACTCCCAAAGACATCTCCGTTACAAATTATTTCTTAAATAAGATATGAGATAATGATAATTTATTCGTATTACGTAACCAGCTTGAGAATGATGCGGAAATATGAGTCGATAGCAATGCCTGCATGTACTTATTGTACCAAGCTTACATTTTCGATAAAACCAACAACTTAAAAGTAATCAAAGACTTTCAGATTAATTACTGTTGTCAAAAGTTATTGCACGTTGGCAATTAAAGCAAAAATGAGCCCCTTTGTAATAAACAGCCAGAGTGCATATAGAACAGATCTGACCAACGCAAAGTCATTTAACAAACTAAACAAATCGAACATAGCTTGATCATATCATATAAAAAAAATAATCTTTATCTTCACCCTTTAAGGCAACTAACTTATTTCCAGACACCCCTTTTCAAAAATGTTCCGATGATTAAAAGTTCACCTACTCCCGAGGACAAAGAAAATTTTTCCTCTTTTCTTCTCTTAAAGTTATGATTGAAATCATCGGCGAATATCTTAATTTAATTGCCCAAGGTTGTCCCTTCACTACGATCAATGCAGACGGTTCACAAAGGAAAGGAAACCAAAAAAGAGCAGGTGACAAAGCCCGCGAAGACAGCACGAAAGAAATTAAATCCGGAAATTGCTTTTGGTTTGGTCACCTTTGGATTATTACATTGCTCCCCAAAAACTAATAGTACCAAAGGGAACACAAATAGCTTGCTAGATTAACAAATCAACTCAAACCATTTGAGGTTTAGTTTTTCTCGATTTGTTTTATCAGCTCCTTCATCGAGTCAGGTCTGCTTTGGAAGTACATTTGGTTAAATCTGCAATTTATTTAAACTCTTTTCAAACGGTCACCCCGAAGTTGCGTGCTGCTTTTTGGTGCGACAACAATTTTTTCATGCTTATTATAATTATCTGCTGAACGGTGCAGCAACCGCTTTTTGAGTAATTACCGATGGTACATTGGATTATAGGAAAAAGTAGGAGCTGTTTAGAGAGCAGATGAATCATTGCGATCGCGTGTTGACTACAAACGGCTGCCAACAATATTTACAATATAACGTGTAACATTTAACACAGTTTGACATGCGGTGTCGTACTCATGTTACATTCCCATTCCATTAGCATAGCATACTAAGGTTAGTGGGTGTGGGATCTTCACTAGTTCAGTATTTGAACCAGTGTCAGACTGTCTTCACTGAAAACTTACACACTGCCAATCGGTCTGACCCGTTGATATACACTGTCCCACAGTCAGACCAACCGGCTTATAGACAATATAAATGTCAGACTCTCTAATCGTCACACTGTCTGATTCACAAAGCACATCACAGTCTGACTGGTCAATGTAAACTGTCCCACAGTCAGACCAACTGGCTTATAGACAATATAAATGTCAGACTCTCTAATCGTCACACTGTCTGATTCACAAAGCATATCACAGTCTGACTGGTCAATGTAAACTGTCCCACAGTCAGACCAACCAGCTGACCGTTAGACTGTTCCATCATCCAACTGCTCACCACTCGTCTGAGTCTCAGGTTGATCCTCTTGTTTAGTCTCAAGCTCAAACTCTGTCATTATCATCCTGTGATCAGACAAAGTGAACTCCTTGGGCCACTCCTGGTAGCAAATAAAGCGGATCTGTGTTAGTAATGTGCAGCATTGGCTGAATGGCAATCAAACTTCATTAAACAGTGCTGTCCATTCGATCAGATAAAGCAAAAGTTGAAACCAGTAGCCAACTGTACATATCTGTGTTGATTTAAACCCTCTGATCACTGATCTGATTTCATGGTCTGATAATCTACAAACCAACTGAACTTCCAGTGATTTGTTTGTGAGCTATATGTAGGTAGGTCATATATCGTGCACTATATATACACCAAACTTTTTCCCACCATTTTACTCCAGATCAACAACTATGGAATCATACAAAATAGATAAAACAGAAACGTTAAGGAAACCCTGAATAATAGCAAAGTTAATCTTACTTCATCCGTGAATTCTGCAGGCAACACCATGGATTTTTTAGGAACAAGTTGGCATTGAGGTGGATTTCTATAGAAAAAAAAGACAATAAAATGTGAAGACAAGCGATTTAGTAGACTCAGTCAAGTCTGACAGTTAGCTTTTATCATCTCACTGCGACAAATCATGTTTCAAAGTTAATGATTGAAAAGAAAGAGTTACAAAAGACTTGCAATTTCACTTATACTAGTCAAGACAGCCTCCTTCATGTGATAGGCCATGTATCATTTTCAATATCATAATCAAAATAAGGCTATCCTTATTTTAAATTTGAGAGCTTAACCTCAGTGAAGCCTTTTTGACGACATAATTACAATCTGTTGGGTAAAGATTGACTTTAATCTTATAAATTATCTTAAAATGTTCACTCTCACCTGTAAAATATATAATCTACAAGTATCTGTTCACCACTATAAAGCTTGTGAGTTACATGAGGTTCTTTGCAGTGTACAGTTTTGTATGATGACATAAAACCATTTTCAACCACAAAGCCATACACCTCATCTTCTGGGCAGCCATTAAAATCTCCTGCTAGCACCACAGGTACATTTTCCACATTATTTCTGTGAAAATATCCCAACTTAAGTGTTAGACATACCAAATCATCATACTTCAAAGTGTACATGTAAAAACTTTTTTTTTATCAATTGAAGCTTCAGATTTCTACAGTAAGATGTAGACAAAGAGAAAGTGAAGGTACTTAAAATTCAAGCATTGATTAAAAAGTTTACCATCAAGTTAATTCTTCCAACTCAACAAAAAGTGTAACATAAACCACACATAAACTAACACTTACTTCTGCTGATATGATTCAATTTCATTTTTTACTCTCTTTATTTGAGACTGTAAAAAAAAAAAGAAAAAAATTACAATTCTGGCAACACAAATACTTCCATTTACAAGCACACTTTAAATGATAATTCAAGTATGATTATAGCCCTGAAAAATTCAAATTGAGGAAAGTATCATGGGGTAGACTTGACCAAACAAAATTTTTTTACCATCTACAAGTTAACTATCAAATGAATACTCATATATTTTGTGTACATATGTATGCTTACCATTCGTAGCAATGGGTCAATGAAGTTTGAACAATATGTCAAATGTGTTGTCATAAGCACGATCTAATGTGACAAGAGAGTAAATTTGTTATGGTTAAACTAACCCTTAGCACTTGTTTCTAACCAATAACAGGTTTTTAGGAGCTTTCTAACAGATTTAATCCGATATATACTTTGAGATACATATCATTCACAGAACACAGTACCTCTTGCTCATTTGGCAACAGAAGGTGGACTAGTAAAGCAACTCTGCGATTCATATCATTGAAACGAATGGGACATATGGACAGTATGCTGCACAAAAAAATAAAGAAAAAGAGAAAAGAAAAGAAAAATAATTGAATTGAGGACATAACTTGTAACAAAGGTCTTCATGAGAAAGTCAGTCTGTATTCTGCCTAAAGTTTCCTTCCATGCTTTGTACCTGTTACACATCCTTGCATCATAAAGAGGGAATATAACAATGAGAGAACTTACCTGATTGAGCGATCAATCAATATTGCTAGGCCATCTGTCTTAAAACCAGTCCTCTTTAATTTTACTATTCTGTATCTACAATGGGAAAGTAAGTTGAATACGGTTACATTAGGCGTACTATAAATGATTTCAACTCTTCTTGACCCAGTTATGATGAGGTTCAAAGCAAAGCTCAAAATCACATTTTACCCAGCTGTAAGCCATTATGGTTATGGTCACATCTTAATGCAAAAACCAACAAAATGGACGAAAACTAGCACATTAAGTGGGACTAGTTAAACCTGAAATCTACTGGATTTCATTTGAAGGACATTAGCAAAATGACTGCGGTAGAATGACTGCTGTACTATGCATATCGCACATTGAGTCCTAAGCCCCAAGGCTGCACATTTCAAGGAATGCAGTGACATGATTTTGGACATGCTACATGTACAAGCAATAATCAAAGACATCAATTTGATGGACAACTTATAAGAAACAGATCTTACTTTTCCTCAAACTGTGAATCAAAAAGTTCCATGACATCACCATGAAACCAAAATTCCTGAAGACAAATAATATCTACACTAGGTTTCTGTTTAGATATAAGATCAATAATGGCACGGAATCTTGGTAAGTACAGGTTGGGGTTACTGCTTTCACTGCGATCCCACCAGCCGCTGAAATGTTACAAGATAAATAATATTACACTTTGCATATTCATAGCCTTATTTTTCAAAAACATTTTCATAAGGACATGCACAAGTAAATTGTAGTGCCGGTAGGTCTGTTTATGTCCTAATTCCATCCACTGACCATTTATCAGCATTTAAGGTCCCACACTGGCAATTCCATAGTAAGATGACATCTAAGGGTATCTTTAACACATGCGATACAGGGGAAGAACTATTACAAGATAAACCTGCAAGTGTGTTTTTTCACGCTGTAAACATTATGTTGCGACAAAAATATGAGCTCACCTCAACCAATTGTAACATGGGGCCAGAATATTGAAAGTAGCGATGCGAACAGTTTGTTTTGCCGCCGATTTGTCGCTCATGATGTGAAGGACTCGACGACACGTTAAAAAGAAAAAATTTCGGGGCATACAGTAGGCATCCCATGCTAATTAAACCCAATAACCTCAAGGAAAATAAGAACAAGCTCTAACAAGAACCTGTCCGCCATGGTCGACCGGCACTGACAAACTCTTTCTGGTCAGCGGAGGCGACAATAGTTCCATGAAACGTTGTCGCACTGTGATTGCGTTGCATCATGGTCGTAAAACAAAAATTTAATCATTTGCATATTGACGGTTGGAGTGAACTTCTTTGGCGGCAGCAAGGTAGCGTGAGCATACGTAGTTTGTAATGGGAATTCACTGTCTGTTGCCGTTCCTTGCGCGACTCCCGTCATTCCTCCATGGCCAATTCGTTCTTAGGAGGTAACTGACGTTATTAAGAAAGATTCGAAATTGCAATCTGCAAATGGCAACAGTTACGTTACACTCACAACCGATGGCGGAATGAATAATTTCAAAGTCAGAAATAATATTCCAAGACGGGACTTATTTAACAGGGAATTGACCCTTGACATGCAATCGCATATCAAAGAGACAGAGACCTTGTAATACACGAACTTTCTCCACCAAGCGTAATAATAATAATAATAATAATGATAAATTTATTTAAGTGTCAAATGTATTTAGCTGTACAAGCACAAGCTAATTGGGGACACTGATCTAACCAACGATTCATAATCAATTAACAAAAACTCTAAAATCTAAAAAAAATAACATAAATATCACGACCTGCAGAGATCGCAGCAGTCACTATTATTATCTAAAATAATCGCAATATCTAGTTTACGTAGGGTGGTTTTAAACGACTGGAGGCTAGGTGATTGTTTGACCAGGTTGTTAAGTCTGTTCCATAGCGCAGGTCCAAAATAACGTATTGAGAGTTTCCTATAGTTAATAGTATTGAATTGAGGTAGATTAAAGTCTTTCTTTCTCAGATTGTAGCTTGAACTTTTTTAGCTTAAAATTTCGGAAACATTGGTGGGGGCAAGCTTATGCTTAACTTTATACATAAGGATGGCAATGTCTTGAAGTCTACGATTATACAGGGTAGGTAATCGTGATCTTTTGAGTATTGTCTCATAGGTATCTGACTTTGTTCTGTATACTGGTCTTAACGGGCGTTCTCGAAGGCGTTCAATTTCCCTGCAGTCAGAAGCCTTGTAAAAATGCCATATTAAGTGACAGGATAGGATAGAAGACTTATAGATTGTCAGCTTAGCTGGACAAGGAATGAGATTACGCAGGCGCATAAGGAATCCCACTTTCCTGCTTGCTCTCTTACACAATTCACTGATATGATCACTAAAGTTTACTCTGTTGTCGATGCGGACGCCGAGTATTTTGATGTGATCTGTGTTAGTTATAACCTTTCCATCTATGTAAATATCGGTAAATTGTCTATCAACGTCAATATTTCTAGGATTGAGAAACATTGCTTGGAATTTATCTGGATTTGCTGATAAGTAATTATCTCGGAACCAAGATGCGGCTCGTAAAAGGAGAAACCTCACGCCTCCTAAGAACGAATTTGTCTCGCTCCACATTTAGTAAAAACGTACAGAGTTTCAAAATACCCTTCGAGAACAGAGGAATGCTAAATGAGTGTTTTGAGAAACGTATCTCTGGAGTTATTTCTGCAAGAGAGAAGTATACTTTAAAACAAAGAAAATGACGCGTGCAGAGAAAACATATTGCCTTTTGTAATACAATCTCATCCGGCTTTGCCAAGCCTCAAGAACATAAAGATGGGGAAATGACACCTCGAAACTGACCCTCATTATCACATCGCAAAGGAAAATCATTAAGAGATATCCTAATAAGAGCTAAACTTTGAGGGTGGAAGATTAAAAGCACTAGCGAATGGTAGTAGACGCACAGGCCTACCAACACCTTTCAACGGTCGACTGCCTTTTGCTTTCCGGCCTTCCGGCGTGTCGCCTCACGCAAGGTAGAGGTTTTCATGGATCAAGCGACTCTTTTCATTGCTCTAATTAAACTGTCATTCGTTCAATGATCAAGATAGAAGATTTACCACACAACAATTGCGATTAGTTCATTTTCCTTCACTTAGGAAAGTAGATTTACAACACGATTGAATACATATAATATAGGTCCTTGCAGTAGGAACGCCATGTAACGCAACACACTAAACACAACAATGAACCTTTTCGCTCCATGAAAGGGTCTCAAACACTATAGCTTAAAATGCATGAAACGTTTGTACCGTTGGAGTGCGTTTGAGTGCGTTTCGTCAGAGCTGTTGAAGAAGGATCAGAGTGGCCATAAAAATCTTTGAAATGCTTCAAACTACGACGTACAATGAATTAGACCTTCTCGAAAACCGGTCCCATATTACATGCTGAAAAAACAGTGCTTGCGTTTGTCCTTGAGAAAGATAGAATACGCGACAAAATATGTACGAAAACTACTTCTACACATTGAGAATATATCAAATTATATTTATCTATAATGAAAGGAAAAAGAAACGGCCTAACTTTTACGAAATGTTTCGTCAAAATCAGATAATTTCTGCCACTTTTACCGCTATATTGAAAATAACGCTACCACAATGCAATGCAATCGGAGTGCGCACACCGCCTGGTCGATGGTTAAGAAATTACTCACCAACTGACATCCTAAGAAAAGGGGGGCATTTGGGTTTTCGGTTTTGCGGTTTTTGCGATTTTTTAGATCTTATTTTTCGGTTTTTGTGCCTGAACACTTCGGTATTATGGAACAGTTTATCACGCGATATAAGGAACACAGAGTCTCTGGGGTTATTTAAACTTAAGATCAATGACATTTTTAAAGTCTAACGCACGGCATTCACGGAAAACAGCTTTAGTGTTATAGTATGTAGTTTTAATTTTAAATATCTTAGCGTATGTGATATGTATTTTTATAGGCTGATGAATTGATCGTGTCTAAATAATTCGGTTTTGATCGTTTCTGTTTTTGTTTTTGTTTTTGTTTTTTTTCGTTACGGTATCGGATCATATTTTTTCCTACGGTTTCGCGGTTTCTAATAGACCCCAATGCCCTCCTCTAAGAAAATGTAAATAATCTGTAGCGGAAACAGAAAATTGGTTGGTCGTTTCAAAAGAATTTGAAGACTAAATTGAGGCTTTCGTCTTTGATAGTTTATTGTTGATCTTTAGTTTTATCGTCGATGGGAAGATGTTCATGGAAAACGAAATTGGCGTATTTCCCAAAATTCATCTATTTAAAATCACATAAAAAATCTGAAAGATTTTGGAAACTATACACAGATTTTACTTATGCGGAAATTGGGTATTAGTTCTTTTTTTTTTTTCAGTGTATGATAGGTTTGTAAGCTTACAGGTTAAAACGCATCATCAACTACAAAGCCCAATAAGAGCCCCAAGGGCAGAATTCTTTGTAGTGGTAATAAGAACACGGTTTGTATACAACCTGTGAGTCTGGGTCCATCAAGCAGAAACGAGACTCGCTGATGGCTGGTGGAGCTACGCTGATAGCACTGCTTGGTAAAGCAGTTCTGCTTTGCTCGGTTTACTCTGTTACTTCAAGTGATTCAGGTAAGTCAACTCACCATTTGGCCTGTATGTGTTGTAATCCGAACATAAAACAAGTCCATTTTTCCTTCATTTAATTGAATGATATTTGCATCTTAGGAGAAGCTGTAAATTTGAAATCAGCAAAACAAGCTATAACTTCTTACGCGTTTCGGGTGAGAAATTGCCTTTTTAATCCAGCTTAAACTGAGAGGTCTAGGAGATAAAAGTGATTGAAAAAGATTCGCTGATGTACAAGTATTTGAGATATAGGGTTTCGGATGGTATTCAAGCAAGCAGTATTTTTAGTAAATGGAATGAAGTTGATCATGCAGAACGCACTTATGCAGAAATAGAGCTAGATCCCAGAGTGTTAAGACAGTAAATGTAAATTACTTCTAGCTCAAATAATCAAAGAAATAAAAGTTTGAAGAAGTGCGAGAAAATCGGAAGAGACATTCTGTAAAGCCTCTTGCATGGCGACAAAGACTTTCTAAGAATCAAAGGTTCGATAGTTGACTTCTTGATCATGTTTGTGTGTGGTAAACCACGCGTGACTGTATTGATCTTAAGAAAGAACTGTTTAAAAGCATGATAACCGCGGATCAACTTAAGTTATGTTCTGTATATTGCAGCTTGTAATAAGAGTAATTTAAATAACAGAGCAACTCTTCTCACAAAATCGGAAATAGGTATTCAACTACTTCTAAGATCATCTCATCATAAATCACAGCTATGCAGAAAACCAAATAATCTGTCACCCCAAGATATATTTAGCAATAAGAATTCTCTGACTTGTTTCATTGTTTAACCTCTTGGTTGTTATCATGATCGTATCTATACCTTCAAAAGGGGAGCTTACTCTAAGCTGACGGAGAAAACTACCAAACGTACCGCAGTGCAATGATTTCTTGCAGATGAGCTTTTTCTAGGAAAATTACGTCACACAAGGGGCATTTTTCTTAACTCACCCTCTCCGTCTAAATCGTTAGTCATACAGCAGACACCCAAATGTATTCAACAAATACCAAAATGAAACTTGACAGTAGCCGCTTGATAGGTGAATCGTGCATTAATCCGTGCCGAGCCTACGTCTGTCTAATGAAGGTATCCCCTAGAACCTATCGCAAATTTAGATCCTTTTGATCTTCTCTTTATATTTCAGTATCCTTATGCCCCGAAGGAAAGTTCGCGAACGCTGCGCTGATCTGTGTACCAGAGTGTCCATCGGGATACTATGGTGATACACCCACGGGAACCTGCCAAAAATGCTCCTCAAATTGTAAAACTTGCCTGAATGGTGACGAAAACGACAGATGTTCCAGTTGTAATCCTCCTTTGTATCTGAAAGGTATGGCATACTATTCATACTTGCGAATGTACATAGATATATATATAAATATATATATATATATAAATATATATATAAATATATATATAT